CCCTGCGGTTCTGAAGAAATAGACTACAACCTTGCTGTCGACGATGACACCAATGTTGCGGCGGGGGAAACATGTCTAAAACGCATGTGGGCTGCATCACCCCACCCTTGAGGCCTCCAAATGCCCGACCGCGCCATTCAAAGCCCTTTAATTTTTGGTGCATTCCAATCATCGCTGCTTTGCCTTTTGAACTGTCTTTCCTCTAGCCAGATCAAGAGAGTGCACTTAGTGGAGCACCGTAGCGGACGGTGTGCGTCACCCAGAAAACATCAGTGGAGCTCCTAGCTTCCTATTGTGCAGCTGGTGGACTGCAAGTGGATTTGGCTGAGCCGTTCACTTGTGCTGGCTTCTATAATTAGCTGCTCATACACATTTGCACCGCGTTTTAAAACTGCATAGCAGTTGCTTGAGCAGAGAGGAAAGACCGTTTCGCCAGAACCAGGTTGCCTTCACCACGTTTGGCAGGAGTCTTCAGCAAAACAGCCAAGGGCCCCATAATACCGCTTTGCTCTTTCGCTTCACGCCAGAAACTTTTGGAACAGCTCATAGGCTGCGACATGAACCACTCTTTTGGGAATACTTTCCCGATAGAAAAATGTGGCAGCTACAGGCAATCTCCAGCCATCGGGCCCGAAGCGCAGCGGCTTGCAACACCTAGGGAGGGCTAGCCTTCTCCCATGTATGTAAATAGCGTTTTGGCTAAAAACATGGAAGCTTTGGGGAACCTGTTGGCATTCCATCAGCTACATAAGGAGGTCATAACAACAAGAGACCGCCGCCTGTGCCCCTGCCTCTAGTCAGCCATCCTTCCAGTATTCAAGCAACTGCTAGCATCCCAGTGACGTCGGTGCACCAGCCACAACAGCGTGCAATTTATTGAGGTGACCTGCCTGTGCTCGTGCATGCGGGCACTAGAATTGGCACGGTATCAACTGTGGCCATGCCACGACATCGGGACTTGTGTTACATCAATGTGTGATAGACAGCTCGAAGGCTTGGACGTGGATCTATGTCCAGCAGTAATTGCTTTTCCAGGAATACATCATATTGACGACATAAACGGCATTGGATCAGCTGTGGGTCAGCATGTATCCGGTCCACTGCCTCTGTCCACGTCTAGAGATGCTTTACCTAATACTCTCTCGCCAGGAGATCTCGCCAACATCGGAGCAGCCGTTCTAAGAAACCAGAACAATTTAATTCCTGCTTCTGCCCACGCCCCCAGATAGCCTTCCAGGTGTCACTTCATCAAATCTACAGATGCTGCCAATATCGGAAATCTATTGGATCAACCAGCGACCACTGGAAGGGGTTCACGCGTGCCCGCCTCTGTAAATAGACCTCTTAAATGCAGACTCTTGTGAGATGCTCTCCCACTTCGCACTGCGGGAGGGGAGTCACGTTTTTCGGTGCTCTGAAAGGCTTCGCGAATCGATCCACCAAAGGCGTTCAGTACAGATTGCACGAAATTCCAAAAGCCACTTTTGTCTGTTGGTCACACTGGGCCCAACCTGTCGGCAATTCAAGATTGCTTTGATGGCCTTGGTCAGCCAGTCTTCTCTGCGTCCAAGTTTGCTATTTCTCCTCGCCAACATGAAGTTCGCTAGAGTCCGAACTGCCTAGCTTCCCGATAGCCAAGGGTCATGGAGGATAATAAGGAAAAACGCAGAACCTAGCCGGCAACAGAAGAAGCGGCTTGAGCCACATAAGCAAATCCGCAGCATACCCTATGAGTGTTACGCAGAACAATGTATGCAGGCTTCTTTTCCGAATGGCCAGTGCTGCCCATCGGTACATGTAAACCAGTGGACACCACGTAGTCCCTTGCCAGTTGTATGGAAGAGTTTAGTAGCTCATCTATGGAACAACAAAATAAGTGTGAAACATGCCCTTCTTGCAGTCACCAGAACGCGCAAATCGAAGGGAAACCACATTCTACGGAAGCCGCATGTCATCCAGTAGCCCTGCAGGGCAGTCCACGGAGCCGCGTCGAAGTAAAGCGGCTGCTGCAGTTCCACACAAGACCGTATGTCCACAGCTCATGCATACTGTTGCTCCCCACTGCTCATCAAGCATTCCGAGCGCAGGATTTTGATGCACTGGCCGTGCACTCACGCTTGTTCCTTCCTATTTATCAAGTTTGTCGTAGACATAGTAGGCGCGCTTGGCCCTGGCCCAGCCGGTTTCTCAGTTATACGCAATGTATGCCCTTCTCCGTACACTTCATAAGCTTGCCAATCATGTGCAGGATGAACTGTGTCAGAGCTTATGTAGCGAATCACTTTCCGCATGGCTGACGCTTGGGAGCACAGTGCCTCACTGGTTTCCTTGATTCCTTGCTGTCTGCTTGCCTTCGATTGGGAATGCGTTCGAACTTCGACGCGTGTTTGCGTGATCCCATGAAGACCATTGAACGCTACAATGGTGATGCTCCACTCGTACTAGGCCAAAGGTATGTCGTGATGCAGTCTTAGACCTTAAGCTGAGTGACCCTCTGAAACTTCAACAGTCAGGTATCGCCCTCAGACCGAATAGTTTTGTTGCACGCACACCGAAGAGCTTGAATTGTCATCACAAAATCAGCTTCTATCCTCCTCAGCCCTCACGCTGTAGCCATCTGCTGCTTTATGCAGAAGTAGTTGCGACTACATCTTAGCCGGCGGCACTTAACGAACTTAAAGTGCCTTTAGGATACCAAGTTTTGAGCGTCCCTGGTTGTACTTTGTCTTCAGTTATTCCATCGTGCGTCCTTGCTAACATTGTACCTGCTAGGCAGATGTAGGCAGTGCCAATGCATGTGCCAGACAGACTAACAAAGCGCTAAAGGTGTTCAAGTGCGAGCTGCCTTCAGACTGCATGAACGTGTGGCACGACACTTTGTGCTAGCCCCTGAAGATCAAGGCGCCATAGCGCCTTGTGGCGAAGCGGGCTAGCTGACTTCCAATTTCTTTAATAAGGCAAACCACGATCAGCACAAACGCACACACACATACACAGTCCCCATCTCACGCCTCCCCTTACACCACTGTATTGGCCTGTGTCCTTACCACTGGGAGGCTGGCCAGTCTGCAGCAGGAACTAAACAATGGATTTTCTCTAGAATGAATCAGGGTCAGATACTTTGAAGTTTTTGTGCTGGCAGCAACGGCCTGCCTGTCCTAAGCACTGCAGTCTTTCCCAGCACTCCGTTTCCTCTTGTAAGACAGGTTGCTTTTTCTGTCCTTAGAAGGACAAAACACCCAGACACTTCATGCGGTACCCCAAGGACTAAATTTTTTTGAATTTGAACTGTACCTATAGAGTAAATTCATTTACTGCCTATGCAATAGCCCGTACCATAGTGGAAGGCCCCCTCATCCACAAGCAAACACATTTGCCCAGGGATTCGTGCCTGCCACAGGAAGACAAGTCGCTCAGTTCGCGCCTAATGTCTCTGTGTCCAACGACGAGATGGCATGACCTGGCGAGGTTATGCAACAGAGGAAAATTCACAGCTGTTTGTATAACCCAGTGGGGCCTCCACACCATGATGCAGACAAAAAACCGGCTTGCGCGCAAGACACGCATGAGGGGACGAAAGGTAGGGCCCCCAAGGGAGATACACAATTTTATGATAAAGAGCGCGATTTAGCGTGATTCGAGTCTGCCATCATTATTCCAAAGGCCTTACAGATTCAAACGAAGAAGTGCACCTACGCGTTCTAGTTTCTACCTCATTAAAGGCCCTATGCAGAGACTTGTAAGGGGTCTTCGACGACCTAAGAAATGACAGTGCATTAAGATGCACAGCCGGTGGCATCAATTATAATGTTCCCCCCTAGTTCTCCATCGGAGGCCACCTAACTTCAGACGCAATAGAAATCTAACAGAAAGTTATTGAGTGTTCCTCAAAATAGCTGCCTTTTTTCCGTCCACTTGCCAGTCAGGCTTCCTACGTGAGGGGAGAGATAATTGGGGTGGGCGTTGATGCATTTTTAAAAGCACTCCAGCGCTCCCAGCTAGTCGGGCATAGCCTTAATCTAGCGCGCAAGGACATACCATTGCGTCTTTTTGTATCGCGCGTGATAACACTACTCTTCAGTGTATATGATGTACGAAAAGACAGATCAATCGTCTATTCTTCACCTATTCACAGTTGAACAGAACTAGTGCAGTAGAAGGCGCCTGAATCTGGCGTAGCCCCCCCTACGTCAATAGAGTGTAGTAATGACTATTCTCACGTATTGTTCGAACGGCCACTTAAGCAGAATAAATTCCGATCATTCAAGAAACAAGGGGAAAAGCTTTCTGAGTACCCAGTGCAAAGAGCCAACACGCAAAGCTGGTCAATGGGCGCGTCATTATGCGGCACAGAGCACGCCTTCACGGAAGAAGAGTAGCACGTTCAGGCGTATGGTAATGCTCAGTATACCATTATATGTATTTAAATGTTCGGAACGGTGCCATCATAGGATCTGAAATGCCTGCCCCGTTGTGGCGGCTCCTGTGTTGTTACAGCAGCGAGAGCGAAGCCCGACCTGTTTCGCTGGGACTTGTACGGGGCTGTACCGGATTCCAGCAGTGGGAGCAGTAGTACAACAAGCAAAGCAGCAAGAAAAGAAGGTTTGGCACAACAGTAGGAAGGAACTGTTTTTGTTTCTTCCATTTGGCTTCCTCTCCAGTCCCTGATTTTGACGCTTGTCGCTGCATGCAGCAGCTACAGCACTGTCAGGAGAGGCCGTGACGACCGCAGCGCGAACAGGAGAAACTGTAGCGGCTCCAAAAGCCGCAACATCATCGTGGGGAGGGGCCCCCATCATGACCAACGCGCCTTACGCCGTAAAAGGATAGCGCAGCAGTTACACTGGGGGGGGGACCGTCCCAGCGCCAGCAGGCTGGGCTGCTTTGCAGCAGAATGGCTCTCAGGCACGCAGGCCTTGCTGTCGAAGAGCCAAGCCGTCGGAGAAAGCGGCAATTCCATTGTGTGTAGGGGCAGCAGCTGCTGCGCACAGGTCGGCAGGATGGAGGAGGGCACGAGCGACACGAGTTTGGATTTGCTGCACTCCAAGGTTCGCAATCTCCGAGACAAGTTGCAGGCTCGAGCAACGCGTAGACTTGGTGGCGATGACAGTAGTGGCAGCAGCAGCAGCAGTGGCGGAGGGGCAAGTCTGCAGCCTCTGGGGCCTATCGGCAAGGACGATCGCGAATTCACCTCTCCCTGTGCTAGCAGCAGCAGTCGAGGCAGCTGCCGACATAGTGAACGGAAAGACGCCAACCGCAGCCGGACTGTGTCTTGGGTGGGGCAGGAGCAAGGCCATAGTGGCATGGCCAGCGAGCAGCAGCAGCAGCAGCTGCAGCTGCAGCATCCATCGGAGGATAGACACCTGGAGTACAGAAGAAGTCTCCCCGGCGTTTCGAGCAGCAGCGGCGGGAGCGTTCCGCAAGGCGCATATGCTGAAGCCTCCAGAAGCCCTCTAAAACGCGGCAGTAGGGCTTCAGAGAAGGCCATCACCAGCCATCGCAGCTACTCCAGAGACACGACGAGCAGCGGCAAAGATTTCTGCCGCTCGCCCCTGCGTCGGCATGGAGCCGAAGTACACACAGTGCAGCACGGAAGCAGCAGTAGACTGCGCCGCAGCCGCAGCAGCGAAGCTCCAAGTCAGAACCGCAGCAGAAGCAGAAGCAGAGGCCGAGGCAGCAGCAGCAGGCACCTGCAATACCGTCCCCCCAGCAGCAGCAGCAGCAGCAGCAGCAGCAGCAGCAAAAGCGGGGTCAAGGGGCGCTCGACTGAGCAGTTGTATCGCCACAACAGCAGCAGCAGCAGCAGCAAATATGACGGGGGCAGCAGCGGCAGCCGGCGTGATATGCGGGTCGGTAGAAAACACGATAGCAGCAGCAAATATGACGGGAGCAGCAGCAGCAGCAGCAGCAGTTATAGTACGGAAGGAGGGGGTAGAAACAGCACACACGGGGGCCTTTCTCGCTACAGCCGCAGCCGCAGCAGTGAGCGGCGACATGCTTCCTCAGCAGTGGGTGTAAGCAGCAGCAGCAGCAGCAGCACTACCATGGATAATGCTGGCACCAATGATGGCAGTAACAGTAGCAGCAGCAGCAGCAGCAGCAGCGCGTGTACCGCGGGATCTGGCACTGCTGGCAGTGTGGAGAGGGAGGAGGGAGAAATATCTATGAGTGCGCGTAGCAGCGCTGGCAGCAGCCATCCAGCCGATGCTCAACGCCAGGAGCAGCAAGGAGAAGAGCAGCAGCAGCAGCAGCTAGAAGAAGAGACAGTCGAGTTTCAGAAGGATGCGAAGGGGCCCCTCTTCACGCCGACGGAAGCGTCAGCTTTAGCGCCGAGGGCAGCAGCAGAAATGCCTCCAGGCAAGAAGACTGGAGGGGGGGCAAGTTCAGCAGCTGCATCTGAACCGCAGAAGGAAGCGGAGGAGCATTCTGCACGGCCACTTCCTGAAGAGGATTTGTTTACTCCCGAGGTGGGGTCTGCTGACGAGCTGCTGCTAACCCCTGAGGCAACTTCGGAAGGCGTCGAGGCAGCCGCTTCAGCGGGAGGTCCCCCTGCAGCGGATTCCGCCGACGGGCAGCAGCTAAGTGCGGCAGCAGCTTGTGCCAGCGAAACTGTATATGGTCCTTTGCCTCCTGCAGCAGCAGCAGCAGAGACAGTGCGCGAAGAGGCCACAGCAGCAGCAGGAGCTGAAGCGACACATTTATGCTTGGACTCGGTAGAGCAGGATTCGAATCACGTGCACCAGCTGCTAAATGCAGGTGGAGAAGAGGAGGAGGAGGAAGAAGACGACGAAGAGGACAGACACTTGAAGCAGAGCAAAGTCTGGAGCTCCCTCGTGTATGGGTGTCATTCAGTGAGCACGTACAAGCGCCTCAACAAGATTAGTGAAGGCACGTACGGCGCTGTCTTCAGAGCGATGGATCTGAAGACTAAGGAGATCGTGGTTCGTCGCTGCAGGGGGCTTTGATGTCTGAACTCCTTTGAAATTCGCTATGGGGGAGGAACGTGTGCGTTGGCTGCGTGGCAGGCACCCCGCTGTGCCGCGATACATACAAGGCCGCGCATGCATGCAGTCGTAGAGGCGCCTTCTGTTGATCGCAGCTGCTTCTGGTGCTCTGCTCTGCGAGGTTTTGCTACAGGCTCTAAAGCAAGTCAAGTTTCACGCAAAGCTGTGGTCCGAGGGCTTCCCAGTGACATCTTTGCGCGAGATATCCATCCTGTTGGAATTGCAACATCCGAATGTCGTCAATGTCAAGCAGGTCGTCGTGGGCTCTGGGCAGCATCATGTCTTCATGGTACGAGATATTTTTTTGAAGCAAAGAAATAAATATATGTATTAATATGCGTGTCCACGGGGATATACACATATTTTATATGTATATGGACTTGTGTGTCATCTTTGCACGCGCATGTGTACGTACGGCCGCCACACGCTGGGAAGATTTATTGTACCGTCCTGGCTTCTGTTCTCGGGCTGTATCCCCTCACAGAGCCCTTGCCCAGTGCTGTGGTGATATCGTCGCTGAGAGATGAAGCCTGTCAACGCTAAACCTGAATGTCTGGGGAGGGCTGCTTGTGTCTGCCCGTACAGGTGATGGAGTACATTGAACATGAGCTCAAGACGCTGATGGACGAGAAACCTGAATTTACAACTGCAGAGAGGAAATGTCTATTGAAGCAGGTTAGGTCCCGCACTGGTATTTGCACGTGACAAATCTAGGAAGGAGAAACGAACAAAGACGCAGACTCACGAAACGATCTTCGCAGCACATGTGCTGATAAATCTTAGATATGATCAGCGCCGCATGCAAGGGTTCTCCGGCCCTCATGATGCCATTTGCCTTCTGTGTTTGCGTTGTGCTGCGCCGCAAAGTTGCTGGAGGCCTTGGCTTACTTACACGCGAATTTCGTCTTCCACCGCGACGTGAAGCCTAGCAATCTGCTGTATTCGAACAGAGGGGTTAGGCCATCCTTTTCAACTCCTCACAGGCACTGCTTGTTGTGCTACGTCTGCACTGAACTGCACCTTGCATGCTTTGTTTCTCTCTTGAGGGCCCCTGCCCTCGAACATTTATTTTCAACTTGAAAAGCGCGTGGTTTCGTGGCCTTCAACGATCTGTTTGTGCGGCCTCTTCGTGTACCGTACACGCATGCATGCGCGTGCATGCGGGGCGCGGTCCGTATATTGCGTTTCTTATTTGTTTTTGCGTCTTGAAAAGGGTATCCCTGTGGTTTCCCTTCCATGCATCCGGCAGCGTGCGTGTTTGCGTGTGTTTTCCGATGCAATGGATGGTCGCTGGCGGTGCTTCTTGGTCTTGTACAGTGTACCTGCTTGCAGCCAGCCCTTTTCGCGTTTTCTCAGCCTTTTTTCTTGAAACGGCCTAGGTGCTTGTTTGTTGTCTGCATTTGCAAATGCGTGTCTCGGCTCTTGGCAGTGCAGCGGCTTCCAAGGGGGGGAGTGGGGAGTTGGGGTCACTACGATTCCGTGTGCAGAAGGGGGTGTGCGTGTGCAGCATGCTTAGCAGGGCGTGAGCCGTATGGATCGGTCGATGGTTTTGCATGCAGGTTCTGAAAATGGCGGATTTTGGGATGGCTAGAAAGTTCGGAGTTCCTTTCGGCCACAAGAGGTACACCAAAGAAGTCGTGACGCTTTGGTATAGGCCCCCGGAGATTCTTCTAGGGCAGTCGGTGTACAGCGATAAGTGCGACGTCTGGGCTGTTGGTGAGTTGGGGATTTGAATGGGCCTTTTGGCTCGCTCTCTGGGCACATGCAGACTGCTTTTTTGCGCGTAGAGCGAGCGTGAGGAGTCCTAGGTGTAGAGACACCACGCAGAAGCAGGGGGTGAAGGCGAGCGTAACTGAGGCTCCCAGGCATAGTGGGGTCACAGCGTCGCAAGGAGACACCGAGGCTTTTTCACGTTCGGCGACACCTGTAGAATTTTTCTTCTGCAGGAGCTATCTTTGGGGAACTTCTGTTGCGGCGGCCTCTCTTTGCTGGACATGGGGACTTAGACACCCTCAGCAAGATTTGGAAGCTTTGTGGTAGGTGGATTTAGCTAAGGGGAGGGAAGCGCAGATGGCTGCGTAGGTATGAGTGGCGGCACCTTGCGCCGACGGCAGGGTGCCTGCGGCTGCGACGGAGAAGTGGAAGGAGATTTTAAGTGATCAGAAGACACACTGCTGATCGGGACAGACGGAGTTCGTTGCGTGCTACCCCGTGTTTGCCTCTCATGCCCATTCACCTTCTTAAGGGCCAGCGCTGCTGTGGATTTGGCGTATGTGTGTATAGGGACGCAGTCGGAGGAAACGTGGCCAGGGTTTAACGAATTACCGTTGGTGAAGTCGCGAGCTCTTGCACGGATGCCACATTGCCAGCCGACGTGGAGGGAGGTGTTCCCTCCTCCCTCGAAGCACCTCACTATGGGGGTCAGGTGCTGTGGCATGCAGCATGCTGTGTTGCTGCCGTGCATGCTGCATGCGCTGCTGCTTTTAGTGCTGCGCGCTTTCTGCCGTAGCTGGGGTTGCCGCATCCTGGATTGGCTCTTTTTCGGTGTTTGTGTTGCAGAATAGCGGCGTCCTCTCTGATTTAGGCCTTGATTTGCTGCAAAAGCTGCTCACCCCAGATCCAGCGCAGCGGCTTTCCGCTGCGGCAGCCCTTCAGCATGAGTACTTCAAGGAATCTCCGAAGCCTCAGCCTACGGAGCTAATGCCCAGTTACCCAGACACAAACAACCAAGGTAAAAGCACTCTCGCCGCACGGGGGGGGAAGATGTATGCCGGCTCTCTCGCGTTGCATGAGTATACATTTTGGGGGTGTCGTTACGCTGTGTCGGATCGTATGGAGTCACTGCTGCTGCCTGATGTGTTGTGTGTGTGCATGCATGCAGCACGAAGGAAGCGCAGGAGAGGGGGTAGCGCTGACCTTAACGAACAGAAGCGTGAGTCAAGTCATAGTGTCGGGTGCTCATTTATTTAGAAGCCTGCTTTTGTCTGCCAACACCCCCTCTATCGGCCTCGAGATACGAGTTTGAGGGTGGGTGGCCTTGTGCGATGGTAGCGTGTATTCCCCTGGAAGCTATGGCCCGCTTTAGGGGAATGTCTGTACACCGCAGATCAAGACTCCTTCCGGTTCGACGCGCGCGTGGATGCGGAGAAGTTTCTTTCTGCCCTGGACCAAAAAGTTCGCAGCCAACGAAAAGAAACGGTCAAGCCTGGCAGAGAGGGTCTCTAAGAAACCGCGTCGATGTCAGTGTTGCCGCCAACTTCAACGTCTGTCCTGTACGCCTGATCGCCAAAGTCACGACTCCTTTTCGACGCATGTGGCTTTGTTTGGTGCAATCTTGTCCCTCTGCTTCTTGTACAGTGTGTTTGTCTGTGTGTCTGTCTGTGTCGGCTTCTGCTCCATGCTTCTGCTTCCAGTGCCTCAGTGCGGCAAGGGATGCAGGATTGAATTCCTCCACATCCATGCAGGCACACTTGCGTGGCCAGTCACCAGCACGTGTAAAAGGGCCTCAGGGGGGTGGACTAGGAAAATATCCGTGGGGGCTAACTGCTTTTGTCGTCTACTGCTACAGTGCTTGTGGGTGCTGCCCTTTCTCGTTTCCTTTTTCTGAATACTCTGAGCATACGCAACTTGCCTTTGGTAGCAATCCCTGAAATGTGTTTACTGCAAAAGTGCAGGACGGGCAGGCCTCACGACTGCATAGCTTAGCCACCTGCTTCCTTATGCGGCGCAGCCGCTTCGATACAGCGTTGTCGGTGTGACACTTTGCCGCTGCGGCTGCTGCTGCTACTGCCACTGCTGCCCTTGCAGCTCAAGGTACTCTGGGCATCCTCAGGGGATGTCTGCGGGAGCTGTTTCTGGTGAGGAGAGGCCGGCGGCTCAGGTGGGTCTAGTTTGGCTATGCTAGACAGGACCTTGGCTGCAGTCTGTACAGCCCACAGCAACAGCAGCAGCCTGGTCTGCTGCAGCGGCAGCAAGCGGAGAAAGGTGTGCTCTTCCAGCCGCGTGTGCATGTTGTACGCGGCCGCAGAACCCCAGAAGTAACACAGCCAGTACACTCGGGAGGAGACACCTCCTGCCCTAGAGAGGCAAATGAGGGTCCCTATTAAGGGGTAGACGCGCAGCAGCAGCAGTAACACTGGCCCGACAATGAAGGAGGGCAGCAATAACAACAGCAGCTGGGGAGCGTAACGCAGACTAGTCGCTATAACATACAGCACAGAAGGAGATACTACGAAGCCTGTCTGCTGCAATACTTGCTGCAGCAGCACACGCCAGCTTCGAAGCTGGAAGCGAGATCCCAGAAAGCTGCTACTTTGCATTCCTGCCGATGCTTCCGCGCTGTTGCCGCTGCTTGTTGGGGGAGAAATACGGAGTGCCACCACTGCAGCCGAACGTAGGCGCTGCAGCACAGATTTGGTATTGGCCGATGCGGCCTGCTGCTGCTCCTGCTGCGTCTCCTCTAGAGGAGAGAAGTCGGGCAGACAGTGCTGCATGAGCACCTCGCCTGCATCTAGTCTGAAGGTCTGTGCCAGCTGTAGAGTGCCTGTGGATGCCTTCTTCGCTCTCGCTGCGATGACTGGCGCGGTTGCGCTGGTCAAGAGCTTTTGCTGCGCCTGAGCCCGAAGCAGGAGCTGCTGCTGCTGCTGCCGCTGCTGCTTCGGTAGCAGCAGCTGAATGCCAAAAAACTTGCGAGAGAAGAGATTGAGCGCGGCTGCAAGGCCCCCCACGCATTTATGGCCGTAGGCAAAGAGGATAAGGCTGCTGCTGCCTCCCGTCAGCACTCCCAGCAGCAAGGCGGAGAGAAGCAGATGCAGAGGGGCTGCCTCGATGTAGGCCTGGAAGGAGACGGGCAAAGGGAGCGTTAGCAGGAGGCTGCTCAGCATGCAGCCAAGACCTATAGGCATGAAGAGAGAGCGAGAGAAGAAATTTTTTTTTGGTGCGTGAAAGCAGTTTTTTGCTAGCCCGAGGGTGTTGGGTGATTGATATACAGCTGAAGACCTTGAACGATACACTACATACTACTCGGGAGCAGCAGCACCAGTGCATGGAGGCGACTGACCTTGTAGGAACCACAGCATGAGCCAGCATGTGAGGGAACGCAAGGCCCTCAGTCTTCTCTCGACGCAGAGTGCCGTTGCTATTGCCGTTGCTCCCGGTGTATCCGCTTCTAGAGGTGCCAGAGCTGCAGCAGAGGGACCTGGTGAAACAGCGAAGATGCTTCTAAAGACGTCAAAGTTTGTTACAGCAAAGAGCGCTGTGCCCAGCAGTGGCAAGGGTAGCCAAACTACAGACAGGAACCGCGTGAGCCGAGGAATTCCAAGGACGAGGCAGCAACAGCAGTGCAGCAGCACCGTGAGGGCCAAGGGGGCCCCTGCCGCCACATAGGCAGTGAAACCACTGTAAAAAGAGGTGACAACAGCCCGCATGCGCTTCACTCTTGTGCTAACACGTAAGAAGTAGAAGAGGGGTAGCGCTGCCGCCGACGCGGCGATGAGTAACTGCTGTTGCGGTTGTAGCTCTATATACAGCCGAATGCCCGTAGCCACCAGCGGCGCAACCACAGGGTAAACGAACTTTACCCACAGAAGAAAGAGGGAGGCAGCGTCTAAGAGGAGGGCTCCCAAGATGCGCATGAGCTCAAGGAGAGGAATCCTCAGGGCACGCATGCTTGCCAAGACGCTAGCAAAGGCCTCCGACGACTCCCGCTGAAGGTGCTGCACGAGCAGCTCCTGAGCCGTGAACTTTTCCGGGATGGAACGGAGGTGCAGATAAATGCAACAGCACACAAAAAGCAGGAGCGTTGCTGCGGCTGCTGCCCGGCGCAGCAGCCAGCGCCATAGGCGCGCTGCTGCAGGACGAATCCGCGAAGAAAGCCAAGCCCAGAGCCTCATTATTCCCACTCTTTAATCCCACTCATAGCAAGGAGGCCCCAGAACCCTACCAAATAGCTGTGCACGTGTGTGTAAGCGCTCCTGTTGTCTATCCGTACTGGCGTTCACCGGCAGCACCTGCCACACATCGGCTTCAGCAGGGTGTATGGACACCCTAAAAAGCTTTGGGTGCCAGCCACCGCTGAGTCGAAGCCAGGATGCGAGAGTGCAAAACCGACAGTAGGAAGCCAATCAATAAAACTTGCCCCCCCCCTTTCAAGGGAGGGCAGATGCAATAAAAGTTAAGGGAGCAAAAATCAAATAACGCCTATCAGGAGAAGACACCATGTTTTGTTGCTTATCTTGCGGTAAATATCAGCAAAAAGCCTATCAATGCTTCCACGACTCCTCGTGTCTTACGTGCATGCACAGGTCAAGACAACAACGTACATAGGTCTGGTTCTACTCTGACTATACACCATTTTGACTCTGGAAGCATCCTTATATTTTTGGCCATCATTTTCTGTCCACGAGGTAGTGGTGTGTGAACAAGTAACAGTGTCAACGCGGGACATGATCCCGTTCTCGCCCAGGCTACCCGATGGCAAAGGAAGCTGACGGACAAGCAAACGAGAATCATGCCACAGATTTTAAAATTGCTTCTGGCTATAAGCTTGATATCAAGGCTTGATAAGCTGCCTATTACTGATATCTACGTGACTGCCAACGTAAATTACTAAGGAGTGGAAGATCCATGAATAAAGTGGCAGTTTTGGAGGGCATGGTAGGGAACAGCTCCATTCTGTAGTGACTCTTCACTTTAAAGTGAGCTGCAGAACGACTCTACCCTAGTGGTCCGCTCTAAAATTTGTGGGTGGCAAATCGAAGCCAGCTGTCCAGTGTTGTACGCCGATATTTTGGAGTGTACGTACGCCTCACACACTCTGAAAGTTGTCTTTTTAGAAACTAAAGAGTGTAAGGCGTATCAGAGTAGCTTTGATTTTCTTGAAGCCTGTTGCATCTCATCCGATTATTCAGCAGAGGAGAAAGGCGTAGCAACGTGATCAATGTTGGCAGCACGCAGAAGAAGCCTCGGCGAGATGCAAAAACACCATACAAGCGAAGAGCTAAAATGCGAACCCGAAGACCCTCACTGCAGCCTTAACTCCACGAGATGCTCTGTCATGTATCCGTTCCTCTGGCCAAATGCAGCTAACGACGCCTGTAGCAACAACAACACCAAGAGGAACGATTGCTAGGGCTTCGTGAGCAAGAGTAAAAAAAGACTGATGCATGCAGCTCCAAAGGCTTGCGGCCGCTTTCCTGCTTACTGTCGCGTGGGTGATGTGCATACAAGAGATGCGGACAGCGCGTTGTTAGTGCTTTTCACTAGCCCTCTTCTTTGATATTACGCTTTTTTATTGTAGATAATGTGTATACTTCAATTATTCCTGTAGCCTTGCGGGTGGGTTGTCTGGTCGAAGACTGTCCTCCTAACTTACCGTCAGAGTTAGAGCAGAGTGTACCAGCAGATGCAAGGTGGAGGGATCCGGTCCCCTGCTGTGCGAGGTTTGCGTGCACTACGTTGCACGTACAGCAGCAGGCACACAAAAAGGGCTTCTTGGTAACAATAGCGTGCCGAGTGAACCTGCTAAATGCCTGCTCGTTTGACAAGGCTTCACAGTTTCGTTTGTGAGGGCCAAAGGGACTGCAGGACTCTGCAAGGGGCTGTCACACTGATTTCAAAAATCCTTATTAAAGGGCAGTAAAATGGGAAAGCGTACGTACGAGCGAGTGCGACCCTTACCTACATATTTGTAGGGCCGCTTCAGTTCCGAAAGACGTCGCATGCAGTTGTCACAGATTCTGTCGGTCCAGTCAGACGCCTGCTGTTCATCATACTCCTTGTCCCTCAGCAAGTCTGAGTAATGAACAAAAGCCGAGAAACACCGATTGGCATGAGGGGACAATCTAAATGGTGCTACAGTTCCTTGAACGAAATTCGCGTCGTTTCTTGTATGCTAACACAAGTATCTAGGCGGGCATGTGTGTTCCTGTCAATGCGGAAACGGCTGGCTTCTCGCATAGGCAATCTCGGGATCAGTTCAAAAGTCAGGATGAAAGGATTACAGCTGCAACTGCATCCTCCTAGGAGTAATTATCAACAGTTTCGTATCCGCGCAGGTATATATACCCCTGCAGGATTAATTTACAAAATGGCATCGACTTATTGCAAAGTGCTGTGCTGACTGCAAAGCGTCAAAGTACGGGCGCCTTTCTGACTGATGCACCAAAAATCGGGGTACGTCAATATCATGGGGTACACCATTCTGCAGTGATGTGCGTTGTTCACTCAGACTTTCGGGGCAGCCAGCTTTGCATACATCGGACCTACAAGGGTATGTGGTGAAGCTGCAGGTGCACGAACATGCTCCAATTTCTCATGCAATTTGACGGTACTGCTCAAGCAAGTAACCTGATGCTGATTTCTTGGAAAAACAATAGCTCTTTGCATTGAGTTACGGTGATGTAGTAGGCAGTGCTACACACAGGGATTGGATTCACAGTGCATTCAGTGGCAGTACGCGCACCGTCCAGAACTTGCATTACGATTTTTTCAATGTCGTCTGGCTGCCACGTAGGGAGAGCCTGAAGCAATGAAAGTGAGTGTGGGCACTTAGATACCTTCAACCGTTGCTGCTACACACATTTCCAAGTGGTAGGAATGCGGGAAAAGAGCCAACAAAAGGGGCATCTAGGATACCCGGTTCCGTGTGCAAACATGCAAACGGCACACATCTACACGGCTAGATACACTTACAAGCACGAGAAGAGCTAGAGCGATTACAGCATACAATTTGTGGACAGAGCAGTTCCAGCAGTCTACGGAGGCTGCAGCAGGCATATTGACGGGCACTGCAAGAAGTATGGCTTTTCGAGATAGCGACCAGAGAGCCAGGAAGCAGCATAACTAATGTAACAAGTCAGATACATCGGATCGCTCAATTTAAGGGCTCCAAGGAGGGCGCAGCTGAGCGTCCCCAGAATCTTGCACATCGTGCTGAGAGCCTGCGTACCGTTTTGGGAGATTCCTGCTGCTGCTCTGTTTCGTCTCTCATCTCTGTCTGCCTCCGTTGCTGGAGTAAGAGCAAGTCCGTAAGGTTGCGAATGTCCTGAGTTGAGCCTAATACCTCTAAAGGCTACAGATTCCACCAACTCTGGGCTACGGTGTGTAGCATCCCGCTGGTTCTGTCCGTATATCTGACTTGTTGAAGTCAAATAGAGAAGCTCTGAACGTGTCTTTTCAAAAATACAAACGTATCGTATCGGTATCAGTCTACAAACCAGTCTGCTTCGTCTACAGGGGCATGCCTTGCAGCAAGTCGTAAACCCCTTATGCATAAGGCCTCGCCTTCTGGGAGTGCCTTATCATGCTGGCCCCCCAAAGATGCAGAAATATCGAGATGGGTGTTTTTCTCGTTGCTGCAAGTTGAACCAGAAAGTGAAGGGTTTCAAGCTGCGCCAAATGGATGCAGTGCATGCAGTTGTGTGTGCACCTGAAACTGTGTGTTTTATAGTAAACAGCTAATAAAACTATAAGAAAGTTGCATATTTTTGCTTCTTTGCATAGAGGAGGAACGGAGCACAACAGCAGCGGAAGCGCCTTGCGGCTCAACTGTCATCAACGCCTTGCATGCTCCCCGGCGAAATCCTGTCTTTTCCAAATGGTACTCAAAGCAGGAAGACGTGAAACCCGTAAAATAATTTCCATTGCTGCTGCATTCCGTCTCATGTTTCAGATTCCAGAGTGTCCCGGGTTTAATCCAATGTTTATGCACGCCGATCTGTAGCTTTGCACAAGTCTCCACCAGCTGCTGAGTTTCCAAACGGCCTCCTATGACTAAGACTACCTCACGACCACGTAGGTGGTAAAAGTAGAGCACTGGCAGGCAGCCGCAGTTGCTGCTTGTATGCACTGCCTGCTGCACCAGCAGCAGCAGGCAGTGTGAACTACGTCATCCGTGTCTTCCAGAGTTGCAGCAACAGCGGTATCAAAAGTACCAAGTGCAGGAATAGCAGTAACAACGCCATTATCAAGATGGAAGGCGTATCCGCCTCTGTAGATCTCTCTGAGATCCCTCAACTGATGCGGCAGGCCGAGCAGGCCATGAAACCACCTGGTCTTCTGGGGCAGATTTTTGGCAGAGAAGCAGATTATGACACTGCGGTGCAGCTCCTGCAGCAGTGTGCCCAGGTGCGCTGTGGCTTATGTATGCGTTTTCGGCCGTGTTGTTGCGTGAGTCTTACTACTGTCGTTAGTTCCTGACTCCCCTTCCCTCTCCGGGGACCAGCGGCTCCGCATATGCGCGTGCGTCATTTTGTGTCTGCGTGAATGTCTTACTATCTGCCTATTTCTATGCATTCCATACCCTTTTAACCCACTGCACGCCTGCCTTTGTGCTTATCCCCCCCCTGTCCTCTCTTACACTATCTTCGTAATGTCGACCTAACAGTCAGTCTTTGACCGGTATCTCCCCTCTCAAGCAGCTCTCTTGTGCTAGTATTTTTCTCGCCCCTCCCATGTGTCTGTCTCTGCTTCTCTGTCTCCGTACTCCTGTGTTGTGCCTTAGAAATACAAGCTAGCTCGCGTCTTCCCAGAAGCGGCTTCGTGCTACATCAAGGCAGCGGAGGCAGCGAATAAGGCCAAAGACACTCACACAGGTGAGCCTCCAGGGTGTGACATCCGACAGTTTGGGTCGGGGGGCCTACAGGGCCAAAGTCGCTTCTTTTATGTCTCGCGTGAAGTGCCTTCCTGCGCAGTAAGAAGCGTGCCGGCAGCAGCCGCATCCGTAGGAAGCGTCGCTTCGTTGGGTGGTTTGTGTGACTTTGCACTGCAGAGGCAACCTTATACGTGGAAGCTGGGAACTGCATGCGCCGCTACTCTCTGGCCGACTCGGTCCCCGTTTTCTCCAAGGGTATATCGGTGCTGCTGGCTAGCGGTCGGCTAGCTGCTGCAGGGAAGATCCATCGGCAGCTAGCTGAGGAGTACGAAGCTACCGGAGACAGGCCGGCGGCAGCTATCCACTACTTGAAGGCGTCAGAATTGTTCGAGACAGACGAATTCAGTAAAACACAGTACAGTCACTGCATTTGCAAGTACGCCGAATTGTTGGCATGGGGAGGAGACGACCCTAGTAAGCCCCAGAATCTTCAGCAGACTGCGCAGACACTGGAGACTGCGGCCAAGATATTTGAGACTGAGGGTTATAAGGTATCTCAGAACAATCTCCTTCAGTATGGTGCAAAGGATTTGTTTTTAAAGGCCCTACTGCTGCGGCTTTCCATCCCTCGCTACGACCCTGGAGATTTCGTCGATCTTCAGCTTGCCTTGGGGCGGTATGGGGAGCGCAATCCGCACTTTGCGACAAGCAGGGAGGCCCAGTTGCTCAAGCAGCTCATTGCTGCGTCGGAAGAAAGAGACAGTGACGCATTTGCTGCAGCAGTTGAGGCCTTTGACTCCATCACGAGGCTAGACCCTTGGAAGGTTCACTTCCTCCTGAAGGCCAAGTCCCTCCTCGGCGGAGACGGAGTGACCGCGCAGGGAGCACCTGTCCAGCTTGGGGAGGACGGGGAGATAGACCTTTCTTAAAGAATACCTTCGAAAGAAGGATGGGCTGATATGAATGCTTGTGCTGCGTTCGGTATTAGCACCAAGGAATGCCTCACCAGCAACGGCCCTGTCACTTTTGCTATGCTGGGTCCCATCCACCAATATGTATCAATAATAGCACCAGCTGCTGTGCAGCTTGCATGCATAATCCACAGTCTGCATTCATGAAAACCGAGTTCTAGGCCTCACACGGGGAGGGAGAAAGAGAGGCGTGGCCAGGCTGCTTCAGGGGCCCCTGGTAGTCTGCGCCATTCTTTGAGCCCGTTGCTCCATCGCCTTCCAGCGGAGTTGCAGTGTGTCGACCGCAGTTCAATTTTTGTATGAATTAGAACTGGGGAGGAGGGGGCACGGACAGTTAAAGTGCCAGAGCAAGACGGCTATATAGGGGGGCAATAAAGGTTGCAGACGGTACAGGAGAAGAGGATACACCACATGCTGTATTCCAAAAAAAAGGGGGGGAGGCAAGAGCAGGGCGTCGAAAAGCTCTCGCACCCTTCTTACCGAGTATATCTATTTGTAAGGCAGCAGAACTAGGTCAGAATGCAACAGAAGCACACATGGAATGGCATGCAGACTGCCATAGACAAGAAGTTGAGCGTTACACACCACGTTTCTGAAGCCATCAGTAGAACACCAAACCTCGAAGCTCTCTACATGTCCAAAGCCTTGGTGCACGACAGTCCACAGCCCTACGCAGATGTGTTCGTTTGGGGCACTCCCCAGCCGAAGCGACGCTTGCAGCTAGAGGAGGCAATTTTTGATTTTGCTGCCACATTGCGGTGAATTTCTCAATGCAGGGCCCTGTGCTTTTACTTTTTGCTGCGGTTGCCTTACTTCTGTTGCTCCCTCAAAGAAGCCACAGCTTCTCTGGAGCAGGTCAAAATGCCACAGAAGTGCAAAAGCAGAGTCTGTTTAGTTGCCCTGTACCGCTTTTCTCATGGCACTGCCTAACAGTCTGAGGTGCTGGCCTCGAAGAACCGAGGCAGACGCTAGCCTGGTCTGCTGACGCCTCGAGTGCATGGGACTGGAATGAATCCGTGCAACTTTTGCGCCAGCAACAAATCCTGAGCGGCCTCTGAGGACCCCTGCGAATGCAAGTGCACACAATGCACAAGCCCTAGACCTAAGCCTGTCTCTGTTCACACCTGAATATTGCATATTGTTACGGATGTGCTGGAGCAGCACAACGTAACGCTGCTACCTCGACTGCCTTACCGCAGCTTTCCACTCTGCAGCAGATACGGAAACCACGAACAGTCCCCGTTCTCTTAGCAGGCGGTGCTTCAGCACAGTGCTGCTGCTATAAATGCATCCACACCGGTCTGTAGCCCAGAGGCCCTCTGGCTGGTGGCCTTCACCATGTTGCTGCACCCTAAGCGCACGCGGCTGTGGCATGCTGCAGTCGAAAAGGAAATGAGAGCCTCCGTCTGCCTCGACTGCCACATGCCGCTGCTGCACAACACCACAATGCATTCTGTACAACGTAAGTCATAGTTTTTACGCGCTCTTGAGTCGGTTATGGATCAGCGATGCAGTTACGCAAGGGTGCTGCTGGGAGCGAGCATAGCTCTCACTTGGGCGCTTCCCTCTTCTGAGTCACCTATTCTGGTATCCGGGAGTTCTGCAAGAATATCGAGGTAATAGCCCCCAAAAGAGCACCTTGCCTGCGTAGGCCACAGAAAGCAGGAAGCAACCGCGAACGCTGCTCGTACAGCTGCTTCAGAGAAGAGTGCGAGGAGTTTAGCATCAGCAATGAGAACAGCTTCTTGCCACCGTTCGTGCTGCTCCTGCTGCATTGATGCACTAACCTCAACGGTGAGACGCGCCTCTGGAAGCGTCCGAGAGAGGGCCGCAAATATCGCCCGTTGCAGAGCTGCAATGCACACGTACATATCAGACCCTCCAACTACCAGCGGGTTCGTTCAGATACATATACATGTATATGTATTATTAAAAGACACTATCTGCAGCATCATTCTGGTCGTTCTCGTCAGCCTGCATTTCGGTGAACACAACTTGAAACCTCCATGGAAGAAAGCCTACGCGACTGAGCCAGGTGGGGAGGGGCCCCTGCCGCGGACTCGGAGTCTCCCTGGACCAACAGCCAGCTGTGCGGTTCTTGCGCACTGCCGCTGCTTTCGCTGGGACTAATACAACACACGTGCTGCTGAAGTTTCTGCAGAAACACTTGATTTTCAGGGTGCAACGAAGCGCACAAAGACGTATGTCGGGGCGCTGCTGCTGCCGCCGCTGCTGCTGTCAGCTGTTGGTGCACTGCCGGTAGTTGCGCTAACGTTGTCTTCAAGGCGGTGCAGTAGCCTGACTCTGCTTCACGCGGCTGCCGATGCTGCTGCTGCCCTTGCCGTTGCTGTACCATCGGCAACAAATGTTTTCTGACGACTGTGAGGAGCAGATCGAAAAAGGTAGAAACCGCAGATACAGGGCTACCTTCTTCTCCAGCCTGCCCCCATGGCTTCGCAGACTGTATTCCACATGATACCACTGACGAAGTCAGTGAAAAGTCGCTTAACGCCAATGCATGCAAACAGTTCACTGCACTGTGCAGTTCCATGTCGCGCTGAAGCGACTCGTACTGCAGCGGGCGCTGCAACAGCTGAAACATTGATTGGTAAAAAGCGACGGTAGCATCTTCCTGTTCGGGTGTATGTACCCCTCGTGATTGCAGAAGGTGAGCAGGAGTAAACGACAGCTGTGATAAGCTCAAAAGTACCTGTGCAACCTGCTGCCCTGAAAGCAGCAGCAGACGTTGCTGATCCTGCGGATGCTGCTGTTGCTGCAACTGCTGCCGTAGTTGCTCAAGCGGGTCGGCCATGCAGCGGCAGAGCCTCGCCAGGATCTCCGTATCTCTCAGTTGAAACCTGCAGACGCAAACAAAGACACGTGAGATAGTACAAAACCTGGTGATGCCTTGATGGCTGGCTTAGCTTGCCGGACAGGCAGCAAAGGCGGCCTTTTGAGCCAGCCAAGCGCTAGAGTGATCGCAACAGCATCGCACTGCAAGGCAAATGGCAGTAGCGACCATAAGGCGTCTTGATTTTCTGCGCACTTGGCAAGGGCATGCAACAAGACACCGCAATGCTTTAGCGATAATGCAGCACCAGGCACGTTGTTCTGCCCTTTCTGCTGCAACAAGGATCGCGCAGCAGCAGCAACAGTCGCAGCAGCTGAAGGAGGGGCCATTCGCTCAAGCGCAGCAACGGCTGTAATGATATGTCCTAGCGAACGGGGCCCTGTTACGGGCCCTTCAAGGAGCTCGCCCACGACCACGGCTTTCACGAAGTCTTTCTTTTCTTGCTGCTGTTGGGGGTGCAGCTGATGGTGTTTCTGTTGCAGCAGCAACTCCATCAACCGCCTGGCGAGGCCTTCAGAAGTCTCTTGCAGCTGTTTCACCAGGTGAGTGTGCAGCAGAGGGGCCCCTGAGAACTCGCTAAGCGAGTCATCATGAGCCACAGATGCGAGCCCTATGGGAGCGCCTCTTTGGTTATTGGTCACATTGTAGAGTGTAGCGATTGCCTCCAGATAAACCGCAACGTGGGACAAGTGGACACTTGGCATTTTAGAGGCTACTCCGTCTCTCAGGGGCCCCACAGCAAGGGTGGCCAGCAGAAGCCCTGCGGCTCGTTGCCATTCAAAAAATGATTTCGCTGAGCTGTACTCACTCGACCGGCTTTGCGAGTTCTCAAGTGGAGATGCAGCTGCATCTGCTTCCCCTGCTGCTGTTGACGCTGCAGCTGCTGTCTGCGCGAAGAAACGCCAGCACATGGCGAGCTGTTCTGGTGACAGCTGACTCCAGTGATGCTGCAGATTCAGCTGCAGTACAGCAGCTAAAGGCAGATGCACCTTGCCTGGGATTGCCGCTGGTCGCACTGCAACTGAGGAGCACCTTGCTGCAGCTGTTCTTTGGTACACCTTGCTGCTGCTGTTCGCAATCTGAGCTGCAGACACGAATTCATGATGCCTGTGGCCTTTGTTATTTGTGCTACCGCCGTTACAACGATCGCTGCTATTGTTCCCGGAAGCAAACAGAAGAGCTGAATGGTCCGCAGCAAGCAACAACAGCTGCGCGATTGGCGGCGCTGCCATCAATGCTGCTGCAGCAGTGGTTGCTGCTGCAGCCACATTCGCGTCGGCTTTTGCTTCTGTCCCTGCTGCTCCTCCTGCCACTGCTCGTGTTGCTTTTAGCGTTGCCGCATGTGCCACGGTTGCTGGATCCTCAGTATTTCCGATGGAGGCATAAAAGGAAGTTAGGACCCCATTCCAAGAAATGCGGTGCAGCAGAAGCGAGATAGCTTGCGATGAAGCCAGTGCCACCTGCTGCTCCTGCTCCTCTACTAGTTGCAATTGCGTTTCTGCAGCTTCAAGTTCCTGCTGATCTAGAAGCTGTAGACTCGCTGCAAGGCCTGCAAGGTCACGGCAAGAAGAGAGGCTGAGCGAGAACGCAAACGGTTGCACTCTGTTTGTTTCTGCTGCTGCAGCAGCAGTGTCTGTTGCAGGTGATTGTTCGTGTTCAAGTGGCTGCATATCCAAGTAGAGGGGCTTTCCAGTACTTTTTTTGAGACCTAGCAGACTGAGCCGCAGCCGTGCCTCTTTCATTTGCAGCAAAGCCGCCTGCAGCATCAATGGCAGCAGCGGTGAAGGCCTGTGTTTGTTCCGCAGTACCAGGAAGAAGTGCAGCAGTGCACTCAGGTTGATCTGCTGTCTGTTGGGCAGCCGCTCCCACGCAGCCGCAAGCTCTTGAGAACTCTCTTGCAGCAGCAGCTGCAGGCCATGGGTAATCTGTTGTGCTGCCAAAGTTATTGACTGCTGCGATTCTGGATGCTGTTGTTGTTGCTGCTGCTTTTGGTGGTGTTGTAGCTCCGTTTCAAGCTGCAACATCAATCTAGCGTTTTTCTGCTGAAAGGCTACGTTTTGCCTCTGTAACTGCTGCAACAGAGTTTCTTCAAGCCACAAAGAGACAGCGCGTAGCTGGTCCAGACTCCACCCGGGATCCTGTTGCTGCCGAGCCGCCAGTAGGAGCGCTGAGCAGAATGCAGTTACGTCGTACCCACTAAATTTTCGCACTTGCAGAGACATTGCAGCAGACGCAATTTGCTGCAGGGCCTCAGGATGCTGCAGCTTCAGAATTGCAAAGGCGTGCAAGGCAGCTGTCAGCAAGGGTGCGGTCAGGGCATGTCGCTCGTGGTCTTGTTCTTGATCCTGCTGGAGTTCGTGCTTCTTCGCAGCAAGCTGCTGGTGTTGCTGCTGTCGTAATAAGCCCCGTGCCAGAGCTGTTACTGCTACCTGAACCATTCGACTGTGTTGCAGGAGGAGTTGCTTGTGTTGGGGAGAAAACTGCTGGTGCTCGTCATGTCGGAGCAGCTGCTGCACACGAGCAGCTGCAGAAAGCAGCAAGACTGCATCCCTTAGCCTTAAGGCCTTCTCCATAGAGGCCGCGCGCTTACAGATGGCACTCCATAGATCCTGTGGGGCAGCGCAACACGAAGAATTGTTGACGTAAGTGTAGTACACTAGTAAGTGAACGAACTTCACTTAACAGTAATAATAGTAAAATACTACCAGCAAATACTAATAAACCTCCAGTTTTACTTGGAATAAGTACACGGTACCAGTGCACACCAGCATACATTTTCGTGCAAGTGCTAAGAATTCTGTTCCTGAAATTTCCTGAATGCTCAATTGAGCTTCGTGTTGCGGGAGCGGTAGGAAGGAACCTCCAGAAGCCAAAGGACAACCCTAGATAGAAAGGCTTGTAGCTCCTCCCACCATGCTCTGTAGCTACTTTGAGCAAAGGAAGCGGCAGAATCGCCCCGTAAACGCAGGCACCATCCTTCCTTATCAGAACCAAGTATGCCTGTTGCTGCTTTGCAGCTGAATCAGTGCCGCAAGCGTGGAACCTCAGTATAGGACGCTGCAAACCCCCACTCCCCAACCGCAAGCCATAAAAGACAAGACATTCTGGGTAGTCCCCATCAAAGCTCAGCTCACGCAGTCAATTCGAGGGTGAGAGGCTGCAGCCTTTGCGGCAGCGCTGAGGCGGCCTGGAGGCGCCTCTGCCACGTCGTGCTTGTTGAGCAGCAAGGCAGCAAACGAGCTGGCGGCTGCGCCTGTGTTGCTGCCACTGCTAGTGCTGCTAATTCTTCTCAACGCGCTAATGTTGTCTGTGAAAACGCCGCAGCCTGAGAAGGCAGGAAGCTCTGTTTGGGGGCCGTGCTGCCTCAGCAGCCTGCGCTGCTGCTCCGGCTGCTGGCGCTGCCATCGTTGCTGACTGCGTGAGGTAGGCCTTGTGATTGCATGTACAACAGCCGCAGGAATGCGTGGTGCAGCAAGGCCACTAGGAGGCAGCTGCTGTTGATTGGTGACCGCCAAAACGACGTAGCAGCTGCGGGGAAAGAAGAGCCAATGTCTTATAGAAGCTGCGACACTGGGGGGGAAGTGAGGGCATATTAGCGCGGCAGCAGCCGTTCCCTTAGCCCACGCTGCTGCCTGTGAACGCCCCATTCTGTAGTGTTTGCCGTGAGAGCCTCTTTTCCTGCGTAAGAAGAAATCCCCTAAGTCATCTTCAGGCTATGCTGGTCTTCTCCCGCAACAAAAAAACCTGCGGAGTCAAAAGGCTGTTCAGCTCTCATTGCTGGGGGCTGGCTGCTTGCAGTTTGTGGCTAATTCATGCGCATATAAGCTCTTCGCTGTCGGCTTGCACAGAATGTGACCAACAGCGCGCCTTTGCTGATGAGGCTGCTTCACTCCCTGCGCCGCCGACTCTGGGTAGAAAGCGCCGCAGCCACAGAAAGCGGAAACTTCAACCTTCAAAAAATAATGCAAAGAAAGAAGGACCTTACACACATTGGTCGCAGAGGAACCTATTTCAGGAAAATGCAAAGTTCTAGGGTGTGGGGCCCGGGATGAGACAAGCAGCCACGAGCGGCCGTGGAGAGGGATGCCAACACGGAGTCGCCCCCCCTTTATTGGCTTTTTTAATTGTTGCAGCGTTTGAAAAAGAGCTACCAAGACCTTGCATGAATGCCTTTTCAACCAGAAAATTAGGCTAAACGATCTTGCCCATGGGGACTTCCTCTGGTGAAGCTAGCAGCTACTATGGCGCCATCCGTGCCGGCAGCTGCTGTGGTCTTAATGGACCTAGCGGCTCACATACAAAGAACTCGAGACTGCAACGAGGAAATTGGTGAGTACCTCCTACGTTTGGCTAGAGAAATGCAATGCTTGTTTGGATGCTGCCAGCATCGATTGCCAGGTTTCGATGTTTATTAGGCTCCTCTGAGCTAACAGCGATGGACTTGTCTTGGGAAGACACCTTCACGTGCGAGACTCCCATATCCCTAAACGGCTCACTAACCTCGAGGCGGACGAGGTCTGAAATCGTTCGCTACGAGAAAGCTTTTCCACAGTCTAAAACTTGTGGCTTTCACCCCTCTCGGATGCGCCTTGCACCACAAATTTTCACGTAGAGCTCCCGAGAATGGGACCTCTTAAGAGAAGCAGAACATTGTCTTCACACGATATCATCTGTTGGTGGCCCCCTCTGCCTTGCAATCACAGCGAGGGGCTTCGAGCTTATAAGCCAGGTACGCCGTTGCATTGGTCCCCATCCATAGATAAACAATTCCCTGCTCTCGGCTTGAGCATTGCACCCTGATTAACCCCAGCTTTCTTAGTAAACGGGTGTGATGCACTTAGCAGTCTGTCAGATTGTTCATTCGTGTTTCTGCCATTGCCTTCGCGGGCTAGATAGCACCTAGGCCCTTTCTGCAACATGGGGTAGCATGAAGTAAGAATTTTAAGGAACTAGCCATTTGGCTTGACTGTTCGCATATCTTACTTGTACCAGATTGTCGATAGCTCGATACAATGAGAATCAGTATTGAGTGCCTACGGGGTACATTTTGTGTGCAACTGGGTGCGAATGCTTAATACAGCTACGTTCACTTTGCTGCACCCGCTATGCACTCCAACCAAACACTATCGTGGCGCCTACAGGTGATTTTTTGCAGCTGCAGGCGCATTTCTGATAGGTTTTTCGTCCTCCGAAAGTTTACAGATTGGCGTAGATAGAGGCCTTCAAAGAATCTTCTCTGCCCCACCGGCAGCCGGTACCCGCAACTGCAACACACTCCGATAGGTACAGAAAATTGGTCCTTGGTGGACCCTAGCCCCATGACAACTTTCTTTGTGATATTCTACAATTGCTGTTCTGCTGCTGAGCCCGAAATCTCCTCTCACGATGGGCCAGGGCACCCCCATGGGATTAGGGGTGCATTTCCCTCCGCACTCATGGGCAACCATACACATTCCGACAGTTCTAACCCCCTAGCCACCCACCGACAGTTTGGATTTATGTGGCAGTAGCCTTCAAAGATGATTGGCATGCTGGAATAGTCCTATTTTGCATTTCCATCCCCATCTGAAGGTTTTTGGGGAACCTCTGGGGCTCCCACAGCAGATTGTTCTGGTATGTGGCAGGCTCTCCCAGCACCCGTTTTGCAACCTTTCTTCCTGTTTTATATTCAAGAGAAGACGCAAGCCAGGTATGCTTTACAACATGCCTTTCAAACACTTCAAAACGTGAAATCAAAGAGACTGGCTGGAGTCTCCGAGGGAAACGTAGAGTGTGACGCTGTACAGAAGGGTGGAAATTGCCATACGTCTTTTCCCACAAAGCGGGCAAATGTAAAGTTTCAAGCACTGCTATCAGCGATGCATAGTACCGTAAAATGCCTGTGCCGAAGGACGTTCATAGCCTTCTGCAATATATGCATGCGAGACCTAATATCTTAGTATTTAGAGCAACCCAAGTCGCATTTATTTTCTAGTTGTAGCCTCAGCATGCACTTTATCCCTGCGTATTACTTCTGAACTTTTTTCCTGAAGTTTTGGTGCTGAAACTCATTATCCCAAATCCTCACACAGGCCCTTTGGCGGATGTACAGGAGTACAAGGCGCTACAAGGAGCACAACTAATTATGCAGCTTGCTTTCAAAGCCACGATTCTAGTATATAGCTCACCGAAACCATCTTCCACTTTCACAGTAATTGTCATATTCAAATTGGATGCCACGATGTGTTGCTGAAGATGGAGTCGGTACGGAGGACCTCAGTGGGACGCCGGCCTACGAGCCACTATTTCCCCAAATGGTGGTACTTCTCCAACCCAGGTAGATCATGTGCTATATTACTGCCTTCTGTGGCAGGCTAGGCTAAGCTTTGGCTATTTCTAGTACACAAGTTGCTTTCATGTGAGGAGTACTAGAGTAAATAGCTGGTGTAGAGGTTCGCGGATCTCGGAGACTGCAGAATAGCGTTAGCCGGATGCCGTATACTCGTCTACATGTTGCTCTCGCTCATCCCTAGTTAAAAGCTGAGAAGACCTCTCCAATTCGGGAGTGGAGTCGCTGATACTGAGCCAGAATCCCTCATGAGTGGCAGCGTATTTTAGGGAACAGCTAGCAAATGCACGCCAATGATTGCGCAGCGCTGAAGAGAGACAAACATGAGATTATGATAAGCGGCGGTTAGCTGCGTATTCAGAGCCTGGACAGCTGTGCCTGGTGGATTGGCAGACTTTACAAAGTGCAGCCAAAGTTACCAGACAATACTTTCAACTAGATGGTTTAGACCAAACGCCGTTCTCTCTCGATTCAAGGGTCTTTCTGACTCTATTGCTCTTCTTAGAAGTCCACAATGCCATGAGCTATCAGTATCGGTTCATAGAAAGGTTTTACAGCCTCCCGAACCATTTATGAGCTTTGTCGCGGATTGACCCATGTGAAGGCGGACGATGTACTGAGTTATGGCACGTTATTGCATGTAGACGCAACGTCAAGCTGCCTCTTTGTAGAGAAGGCAAAACGACTAAGCATTACAACTGATCTAGAATGAGCCTTCATCTTCAAAGACGATCATCATAAATGTTCAGAAGACTCAGGGTCCAGCTGACTGGTTCTCTAGCGTTGTCCTCATTGTGTCTTGTTTCCATCCCCACCGCCCTACTAGGATGGAGGCTACATGGCAGACCTACATTTAAGACTATGGTACATTTGTTGGGGTCATTTTCTGCTCTGAATTTCCGAATTCTTCATTTTTCTGAAGTTCAAGTTGTCGCTGACCTGGTAATGCTATCGTGGTTCTGTACACTACACCGACAGCTGTCGGAGTACTAGCTTCTGAAACCACTGATAGGCCAAGAGCACACTAGTCAGGAAGTTTGGTGAGATGAGATGGGGAACGCCAATCTCAGTGGCTGAAAGGGCAGCTAGTGCGACGTTGGCTGCCCGCGGGAGAGTTCGCAGCTATGCTTGGTGAACAGCCGAGACACCATGTACGGTATTTCGCATGTTCCTTGGTAATTGTCCTTTGAAAGCGCAGGCTGTGCTTAAAGAACTAATGGATATACAGGTACTGCTTGAAAAGTTCTCGATGAATATTTTTAAGGCGCTATCTATAATCAGATTTATGCGTAGGCACTCCTAGATATGTTGTTCCTACTTCTTTCCTTACGGCCCTTTTGGGGTTTAGAGTTGACTCTGCTGTATGCACTGGCTGTACTTGGGTGGAGAGCCTGTACTGAGACCCGCACAAGCACTGCTCATATTTTGATTGCACATCACACTTGCCTTCTGTTCTCTAGTGACAGGATACTGACACATTAACAACAGCGAGCCGGCGTGCCTCCACGGTCGTCGTGTTTTGGTTCCTCCTTCGTTGATGTCTAGTGTGCCTGTGTGTTTGTTCCCTGTGACTTCACTTTGGAGGTTGACACGCGCAATCGCTTTGCTACTTTGCACAGTTTCAATCTACTGAACGCTTGGTTGGTGGCGATAGAATAGAAAAACTCTCGGTTTCCTGCACGCCCTTCTCTTGACGCATAGAAGTTGCAGCGAACAAAACTAAACGGATTCAATTTTGTCACGCTTGTTATATTCCCAAGATTTACTAACAAATTGACCAGTCGGATTGTTGGTATGTATATCTTTCCTATTGCAGATACACTACCGGCTTGAAACAGCACAGTGCAGTTTCCTCTGGACAAGTTAGATGCTGTGTGTAACTATCTGAGGAGGGTCGGGGGGCCTAGAGGGTGCAGCTATGCGCAACTTTGGGGCTCCCCTATGTCATATAGGAAATTTTGGAGCGCGAGAGCAGGAGAAAGAGCGAGTTCTTGTGGATTAATAGTGAAATACCTTGTAACTAGTTTGATTGTAGTCTACCTAACCGACTCCGATGGAACGCTACACTCGGTGGAGAGCAGCAGCATAGGAGCAGCGCAATAGTGGATAACAGTAAAGGTCCATATCCGTTTCAGAGCATCTAGTTGATAAAAACATGCAAAATGTGCAGTCAGCTGTAAAGACTGTAAATGTCTGTAGTTTTCTGGTGTACACAGTACATTATTTTAAGGAGCATAGGCTCCTGTGGCATGGGGTGAGCCCTGATATGCAGCAAATAAAACAATAGCAGGACAACTCAATTGATTCCTGCTGAGGCATAGTTGAATGCAAACTATCTAGGTAGCAACTTCACCGGTGGCTTGCCCCGCTGCATTGTCTGCGAGTGGCTAGCAGGGGAACAGCCCTCCATAACACTTTCACCCATTGTTTTTGCTTCTATGTTTCTATGAGATTACAATTCATGTGGGAATAAACAGCCAACCCTTTAGGAGCAAAGGAAGCTTCAACACATACCACGTGAGCCTCAGGGCCCCATTCTGCGCAGGACTGGCCAGCAAGGCAGCAGCAGCAGCAACGGTAGTGAATTGAGGTGCTGCTGCTGCCCCCCTTCCATTCCTCAATATCCCCGTCAGAGAGATCAACAAATGCTTACAGGCATTTCCAAAGAAATTGACATCATTTGCACAACAGGTAGGAGTCCTCTCTCCCTCTCTCGTGGGCCGGTTGCCCCCACTGTTGCGCTTCCTAGTGCTGCAAGAGTGAGCCCCCATGTGGGAGATCCCTACTACAGTAGCTATGACTATTTGTCGATCTCTTGAAGGCATTCGTTGGGACGTGCCATATGTCCGCCTAGCCCAGAAGGGCCCCCACGCATCCAGCCTACGGTTGGGGCTTTCCTTCTCAACTGGCCTTTGATTGTCTTGGCTTAGCAGTTCGGTTCGCTTCTGTTCCCTTTTCACTACTACTTGTGCAAGACATGGCATGTTGGGGTCTACAGAGGCCTCAACGTGTTTGATGAAAGCATTCAGGGGAGGGGTAACGGGGGGGAGGCGCCGAGACTCGCTTCTTGGCTGGGCAGAGGGGCCTGCTGAAGAATTGATTTCCACGCTGTTAGTGCGGTACCAGTGGGCGTAAGGGATATTAAACTTTGAGTTCTCTGCAGAGTGCTGCGCCTATTAAGGGAGATGCAGGGACAGGCTGCATGCGACTCACTTCGTGTGTTTCTCGTTGCTGCCGTTTTGCGGTACGCACAGGCGTCGTCCATCTGCTGGGAGTGATTCCCACTCGCTCATGCCGCCTGGGAGGTCAACTGACTCATGTTTGTACATTTCGGCTGAGCAACAGTGAGAATGGCGATGGAAGAGCCCACTTCAGTCTCTGTGACCGGGATGGAGGGTGGTGTTCGTGATTGTGAAGCTACTGAATCCAGCTTCACGGAACAGGAAGGAGGGACAACAGCTCCAGCTGTTGCAGCACCTGCTCAGCTTGCCGGTGCCACGAGCTCTTCCGACGGCAGCACAGGGCATGCATATTCGACACTCATTCTTTTAGACTTTACCTTCTTGAAGGCCGGAAATATAACAGAAGTCGTCGAGTAGGTGCAACATTCCAAAGTGCTTGCGTATTACTGCATCGATACACATAGTTCCTCCCTTATTGCACTCGTAAAATCAAGTGCGGCAAAGTAGTGTGCGTACGGGCATGCAGTCGCACAAAAGACTCAGAAATCGGAGCTTCTTATCGTGTATCTGTCTTGCATGTGCTGTTCTTTGAGTACAGGGTAGCATGGGTGGTGTTTGATGTTTCCACTCGCCAGTCCCTGGAAGAGGTGTCGGTCCTCGTTCGACCTGAACAGCTGTTGCCCCCAGCAGAACTTCTAACAAATCTGGGCGTTACACAAGCAGAACTCTGTTCCGCATGTAGGCTTGATTTTCCTTTTACGGGTGTAGTAACATTAGGGGTAGAAGAGTTACCCACATGACACCTTTGCGTTGGACTTCGGTTCCAAGTTTTGTTTTGATGCATTTCCCATGGCTTCTGTTCATTGTGTGTGCCTTTTAAAACCAATCAAGCCTACTATGGAATATAATTTTTAGAGGCGTTACATTCTTTTGGTTGATCCTTGGTGCTTGCTGAACCATTGAAATCCGATGCTGTGTGCTTGCGCCGCAGCTACTTTGGGGGAAGCTGTTCAAAGGCTTGACAATGCTATCTTCCAAAAGTCTCAAGACAACAGCCAAACGGCAATCATTTGCGCCTTCGGGGCAGGGAAGCTTAAAGATTTTCGCAGCTGCGCTGTGGCGCGTCAAGTTTCTCTCTCAGCGCATTATACGCATTTGGTGGACTTGCACCCCGTACTAGAACGATTTATGAACCGTAAGTGTCATGATTTGTAGCAGAGAGGCCTTTCAAAGCCTGCTTGTAAGGCTAACGGGCATTCGCAAATAAACCAAATCCGACAGGCAGTTTCAATGGTAGGGCAGTGCTAGAATACCGATTTGGCGCTAAATGATGAGTTCCTTCCATGCTGTATACATGTGGAGGTAATGTTTTGAAACCAGCAACTCCAGTTGGTACGATTGCATCAGAACGTATTGTAAGCTTTCTTCGATTCTGCAAGCGTATTCGGAATTCTGCAGAGTATTTTGCGCGCATTCATCAATATACGCACCACGTAACATCAGCTCTTCCGCTGTTGAAATGCTATCACCGCAGTATACTTGCTTCATCAACATGAGCCGTCTTCGACATATGGTTGCGGGTTTTGAAATTATTGGCACAGCGTCTGAATAATTTAAAGCCTTATTGCGCACTCCTCTTTATATGGGATGCAAGTGTCTTTGTTGTTCGGGTGATCGTTTTTAACTGGACTAGCTTTGCTCTCTGGAGCAGTCGTCAAGCGAATAGGTTTGTTCGATGATGGCACATGGGCAGTGTATCATGATTGAATACTGCGCAATGCTGCTTATTCATTTACTGTAAAAGCTAGTCATATAGATGCAGTTTGTTGCGTAATTTTGTCGGATAAGGTCAAACTTTGTATGCACGTCCTGGGTGTATGGATCATGTGTTCAATGCCGAGTACATCGGGTTCGTGGCTAGCTTGTCCGGTCAATACGTTACGGCTCTTATCACAACTAGGAGCTTCATTCGTGCTTTATTTACCAGCTACGTTGTTGGTTGCCCTTGTTGTATGTCAACGATTGAAGCGCCGTGTTTTGTCTACTATTTGACAATTTGCGATCTAAGCCTCTCATTTGCCGGCCATACAATGTTTGAGAGAGGTGGGCGCGTCAACCAGCAGGAGAAGGAAGCTGAGGATGACGCTCATGGACTTTTGTCTGGGCTGCACCTTGCACGCCATACCTTGTGTTGCACATTGGGGGGCTTTTGTCGGGGTAGCTCTGGGTTTTGTGAGCTCTTCGCTGTTCTTGTTTGCAGTTAAGGGGGATGATTTGAGGAGCCTGGGCACGGCTGCGGGCGCGCTGCAACTTGCAGCACCAGAAGGGCGGGAGGAGGGGTTGGCGGCGTGTCGCTGCATGTGTGGCATTTTGTTTCTGCTGCTCTCGAAGGGCCTGGTGCTGCAAAAGGAGCATGCCGTCAACTTGGATGAAGCAGCATCGGGGGAGGCCTCGAAATCAGCTACAGACGCAGCAGGGAATGGAATCCTTAGTGTTGGAACACACCTCCGTCTTAGGGGGCTCCCATGGGACGTAAATGAAGAAGCTGTCGTTCGTTTCCTGAAGCCAGTTGCGAGTATTACGGAGGCTGATGTCTGTGTCTGCGTTGGCCTTAACGTCCGTCAGCCACCTTGGATACTTTGGCATGATGCTGTCTACTTAAATTTAGCAACATATGTTTCGGGGTGACAGGGAATAGAGTAGTATTTTGATCGGCGCGTGCATTTGCCCCATGTCTGGGCTTCATTGACATCGTGTGGGTTTGAACATTTTTTGCAAGCAATATTGATATGAGCAGCGTATGGAGTGTACTCTGTCATTCCCTTTGTGCTTCTTTTAGAAACGCGTCACAGGCGAAGCATATGTGAACGTTCATTCAACTGATTTGCGGGACTTAGCGGTTCGGACTCTACATGGCCGGATGATGGGTCAGCGTTGGATAGAAGTGGGTAGTACACTATATATCTTTTCACGAGTACAACCCCGGTTGAAGGTTGTAGATCCACACGCATTTAGAAAGGTTTTGGATTGGAGAAAGCTGTTGCCAATAGATATTTTAAGCTAAAGCTATGCTGGTGTGTTTCATGGCTTGTGCTCCCCTTGCAATTGTGGTGTTGCAGGTATTTCGCTCTAGTGCGGAAGATTTTGAAAAAGCCGTCCAGCGAAGGGTGGCCATGCTGAGTTCCGATTCAAGGGATGGCCGAGACGCAGATGTCAAAGGTTTAAATATAGTGAGACACGTGCCTGCACCAGCAGTCGATGTCGTGCTTTAGATGATTAAAGTGTGACTTTGATTCGCAGCTGTTAAATGCAAGTAGGGGAAACCTGGGGGCTGCTGGGATGCTTGCTGTTTTTCTTTGCAGACAGTATTAAAGCTACGTGGACTTCCATGGTCTTGCACCGACGGAGACGTTGTTAACTTCTTTCAGGGTACGTAGTCCTTGTTTGGCCCATGCACTAGCGGTTTTACAGTCGTCTAACACTTAAGTGCCTCCTTTGTGTGATGCCTTCCTCAGAACATGGATTTGAGATCTCTCGTGAATCCGTTGTTTTGGGTGTCGCGGTGGACGGAAGGATGAACGGGATCGCTTATGTCGAGCTTCCAGACTCCACAGTTGCCGAAGCAGCAAAGGAAAAGCTGCACAGGAAGTACCTTGGCCGGCGTTTTGTGGAGGTATGGCTCTGGGGCCTGTAGACAGCGGGTGAAAGGAGATGCTTGCTACTCGATCGAACATTTGTTAAAAATAGGTTCTGTGACCAGTTTAATTTGTAGCCGTGCAAATGTGTGCAAATGTGATCGCTAGGTCTTCGTACGTCCAATCTTTATATTGCCCTAGTGTTGCTTGTTTTTTCGTGGGTCTTTAGGTTTATCCTTCAACTCGAGAGGAGATGCACCGAGCAAAGCGGCCTGGCCGAATGATGCCACATGAGTTGGGAATGGGAGCTATGCGTATCCCGCGCCCGGTAAGCGTCACACAGAGTGGATATTAATGAACGTTTTTGTGCATTCTGCTGCGCCTAGGTTACTGCATTTTCCTGCTCTGTGATAGCAACGCAATATTATGGCGTGCCGATTCAGGCTCGCATGATGGGTGGCGTTGCCCCCGGTCCATACAGCGGAGGATACGAGGGTGCACCCCAAGCGTACGGAGGCATAGGGGGAGGCTTGGGGGCCGCCCCTGGCTATGGAGGTGTGGACGGCATCGGGGGACACCCTGGAGGCTATGGTGGTTATGGACACCCTGGCCATGACCTGTATGGAGGAGGCTATGGGGCCCCCCCGGGGCAGCCTACATATGGCCATCCCCCCGCACAAGTTGTGCAAGCTCCACCTGTACAGGATGTTGGTCCTCCCCCTGCCGGATGGAATTATACAGTTTTGAGGCTTAGGGGGATGCCATTTAATGCTAATGAGCAGCATATTGTGGTGAGCGGGCTAGTGTGTCACTCACAGTGTGAATATAGGTATCCAGCTTTCTGAATCTGCACGCAGCTGTCCACTCCGTTTCACGTAACAGAAATGCGTGTTGCTATAAAATACCGCGTACTTTTTGCGTGTACGCTTGTGCCAGCAATTCTTTCAAGGTTTTCACATGACGGCCATTTTACCGTCCACCATCCCGATAGACGGTCGACCATCGGGAGAAGCGTATGTTCAGTTTTCTGACGTCAATGAGACTTGGCGAGCCCTACAGACAAGGAACGGGGCTCGAATGGATAGGCGCTACATTGAGCTTTTTTCTGCAAGCAAGCAGGAAATGACATTTGCAGCACAAGGAGGGGATCCACGAGGTGAGTTGTGTGGCGTGCATACACGTCAGTGACACATTACGGCGTGTGGCACCCTAGATGTAGGTGCTTCTCATAGAAGCTGCTCATCGACAGGACGCATCCGTTTTCAGCGACTCGCGGTCTATGCCCGTGTCTCTTGTTCATGCGCCCTTGTTTTCTGTTGCTGCAGCGTTTAGGGAACGGGATAGGGCTTTTTAAAACTTCACATTGGCCTGTAGGATGGCCCACAGGAGGTCATGCGGAAAAGAGGCAGGCATAGTAAAGTTGCTTGAGGTGGAATTGGCCTCGTGGCGACGCTTCAGAGGGCAGGTATATTTTGGGAGCTTCCAGTGACTGTGGCTCCTCGAGGGCATCTATTTGTGGATCGATCCTTGGAATCGGCACATGGATGGTTTAGCTGTGCGTGAGCATCGCTGTTGCTACCTGGCTACCGAGCGTGGCAGTGGCGAGTTGCGAAAGGCTCAGTATCAAGATCTTGCCTATCCTTGTCTCTTCGAATGCGAAATCGCTTTCAACGGTGGGGTTCACATGAGAACTGACATAGTGTATGAGGTTTTGACTGCATTAATGCCGTGAGAATTGACTTGGACTACCATAGGCGCATATCGTTCTCGGTAACTTGGCCTTGCGTGTCACGCCAATTTACCCCAACACCAAGGAAAGCATCAGCAGTAATAATAGCTGCAGTGGGCTTCCCTAGCTGCGCGAACCCAAGTAGAGATAAGAAATTGCTCGTTGCTGGCGCTATGCTGAATACCTTACGCCTACTTGAGGGTAACCTGTACTCGGGGCTTGTTAGACCTATTTACAACGAAGTGCCTGGACAGGAAAAGAACCTGTTTTGGCACTCGTAGAATCGCGTTAGCCTCCGCTTACAAGAAACTACGATGTTTAAACTGATAAAGAGCATTCTCGTAGCTACTGGATCGCACGGATTCGCGCATGCTAACTGGAACCAGAAGGCCAGATTTGGTACGTATAACCAGGCTTTTATTGGTCAACGCCAAGGCTATAAAGTTGCTCACCGAGTTCATTGGTGTGTCATCGTAAATCGGTTCCTTCCTCCAGAGGCTTGCTGCGAAAATCATGGTGCTTGCACATTTGTTGGTTGCTGAACACGCATGCGCATTTCCATGCGCTTTACGTGGCTTCGTGAGACGCTGAGGTTGGCGATTGTGACAAACGACATATTTCGGTGTTTGTTAGTCCGTTCAATTACATTTTTTAGTCCTGAAATATGTACCGCCAACGGTTGACATCCCAACTCGCTCATTCCACCCTCGGACGCATGGTATTTTTGACCTCGTATAGGGCGCCAGTGGGGTGCCTGCTGATGTACGAAAGGAACGCTGCTGCATGCGACGATCCTGCTGTCAAGAAGACGCGGGTGGAGTATGGTAATAACTCTGTTTGGGAAAGGCATCAAGCCTACCTTGAAGCAGTCCGAGTTCCTTTTTTTAGAATTAACCACATGCTGTATAAGTAGTTGTGCTGCGCACCTGCCAAACGACTACGGCAATAAGCAGCGCATCGAACAGAGAGAAGTAGCAGCTACAAATCGAGCTTTGCGAATTCTATCGAATAGTGTGATACATACGAAGCAAGAGAGAGAAGGCGCCTAGCTACACCAATCCCTGTCCTCTACTAAACATGACTGCCTCCATGGTGTAGAGGGGAACCATGCCGCCAATAAAAACAGTCATGTATCCAAGCGAAACTGTGCACTTCAACGTTCTGAATAAGCATATATAAACCTGATAGGTAGACGTAGAATATGGCCACTCCCAGTTTGAATTCAGCACCCTGAAGAATACAGCAGTTAACCAGCCATGTGGTTGAAATGTAGCGGAGACCAATTGTAATAGCGGATTGCCAGAGCACCAAACTAACGTGCTCCGTCCAGGCGACGCACTTGGCCGGCATTCTCTTTGCTAAAATGAGCTTACTGTGGAAGGACGCTTCTATGCAGCGATCACTTATCATACGGAAAATGGATATCTTTAGAAGGTTGGATGGCCAAAAGGGCCATCTGATGACCTCAGTTCAGTACGCTGCGATCGTTGCAATAGAACAAGCGCTTATGTCGCAGAGCAAGCCGCTGGTATTTGTGCAGAGGAAAACTGCCCTGCCTTTGTTTTTTCAATAATCGAATTTCCTAACAAAGCATCAGTATGCTTCATCGCGTTTGGAGTAAACAAAGTCACAGGTTCGGAGGACAAGTGTGCGATAAATTCAACAATCTGGGGATGAAAATAACTAGAAGGCGGGCACTCGCACTCTCTTCAGGATGCTCTACAGCTAAACTCTACGCCGACCCCTGGGTGATCGAAGCTCACTGCAGAGTAAACCCTTAGTAAATAGAGAAGTACTAAGTATGCTACGGGATACCGTTTTACAGTGGGTTCTAGAGTGAGACGATCCCGCTAGGGTCTCCGTAAGAAGATGCTTAGCCTCAATCTGACAAAAAGCTTGCTAGAAAGTTCTTATGTTTCGTTAAAAGTGGGATCCCCACTTATCTTGCATCCAACCTACAAGCTTTCTGCATGAGGGCGGAGGAACAATTAGGATGGGCGCTGCCGCACCTTTTTTCTAAGTGTATTAGGCTGAGCTACACTCAGGCTCTTTCTATTGCAGTAGTTTAAGCTGACTAACAAACAATTTTAAGAAAAAGGAATAACTGTTTGTATGACTTTGTTGCTGCATGCTAATGTAATTTTGATAGAATCAGCATTAGTCGTGTGTGTATGTATGCTGGATGCTATGTGTAACTAGCTATGAGTGCGCGGGGTGCTGGGCCATGCAGCCACGCCCATCTTTAACTTCTTTCTCCGTTCTTGTGGGTGACTGTTAGGGACACAGATAGAGGGGAGGGAACGCTATGTGAAAGAACACTTCAGAACTTTCTGCTTAGCTTGTATGTAGTCTGGACCTAAGTGACTCCCCACAGTGACTTTAGTTTAAGTGTGGCATCAGATGGACCGCAAGCTCCAATGCATCTGCTCCTTGTCCATCCACTGGCTGTGGGGTTCAGTGGGACGTCAGTCTTCTCTACAGCAGTTTTATGGTTTTGAAGAAGTTGGTTGATAATGCAACGATTTGATTCTGGCTGCCAACAAACTAGGAACAAAATTCTTGGATAATGATGTTTGACAGCACCACGTCTATTAGGGTAGCGGAGGCTGGCCTGCAAGCTGATGTGAACGCGGTGGCTTTACAGCTGATTAAATGGCATTTTTTGTCAGCAAAAATATGTCTACGGACACATCGATGATGGTATTTCCACAAGAAAAGCATAACGGCGCTAAGTATGGCCAATTACCAAAAAATATCATCAGCAAGTTAAAATGTGTACCTCGCTTTGCTTATCCCAAATGAAAAAAAGCCAGTGCTCCCTGCTGCCAGTTCTTACGAGGAAATTGCACTTTCACGGTGGCTCTATTCACGCGAAAGCTGTCTGCATGCAGTAATTAGTATACTTCACGTCTTTTTACACCTCCTGGATCGTCTGTGTTTTTCAAGAACAGCTCAACAGATAGACCAGCGATTTGATTCTTCACCAAATCTTGGTTATATTTAACTAGTGAAACAGAAAGTGTTCAAGGGTAGTTTAGCACGCTGCACCTACAGGAGCGTAACCAGCTGAACCAATGGATGAGTAGCCAGCTAGGGAATCTACTCATTCTCAGAAATAGCTACTGTAGTATAAAGCGTGGAAGTGTAGCTAACCCCGCTGGAACTACAGGGGCGGTACGAGATAAACCAATGGGAAACCGACGTTACACACCTTAGAGCCAGCCCTAAAAGTAGGGGTTTTGGCATGGCCCAATAGGGAAAATGGCCATCAGTTGGTGCCAGGCAATGTTGAGGTACCCTGCCTAAGAGCAGGTGTGCTCGGCCAGCCTCTTGGTGGCGCAGGCAATCCATATAGCTGTGAGGGGCTTTAATTCTCTCTTCTTGCCACCAAGAAATCTACTATCATAGTAGCCACGTATATTTTCTGTAGCCCAAATACTGATATATTACGCGAACGGTTCACATAAGTGCAAAAGGAAGTGGAACAACCCATTAGCGGCCCCACCCCGCATGCGAGGCCAAGCAGCCCCTGTGTGCTCCTGTCTAGCTCCAGTGTGTGTTCAAAGTAGGGTTATGACTTAAAGTATGTACCTTGGCCATGTCTTTTATGGAGGTCGACCGAAGGGGGTGTGCATGTTTTCAGGGCGGTGGCTCCCCGCCTTGCTACTAACCCCTAACGATCCACGGTCTCTGGTTCCTTGTCGTTAATCTATTTGAGCTGTGCAAGCAGGTCCAGTTAATTAGTGCTAATTCGGCACAAGAATGCGATTCAGCATATTTGCGTCCGGCTACGTCTATAGAAACCCCTGTCCTGACAATTCTGCCGTCCGGGCTCATCTCGCTGCTGCTTCCTAGAGAAGACCCCCGACGAAAATGGACGCAGATTGCAAGTTTATCGAGAAACCAGATACTTTATCTGCTATCGAGGAGAGGATCAAGGAGCAGGCACCGACAACTTCACCTGGTGCGTCACCGTTGTCAGCAAGTTCGCCACCAGAGAAGGTTGCAGACGAGGTAGCAGCGCAAGGGAAGGCAGCAGTGACAGTACCAACAAAAGCAAGCTTAACAGAGGCAAGAGATTTCCAAGTGTTGGATGGGGTACACGTCTCTCAGCTGCCTTCCCCAGACGCAAACGAAGGAGGTGGGTCTGGTGATGCTGAGACACAGGCAGTCCCTGCTTACCGAGAGACAACAACCAGTGATGCGGTGATGCCTAAGCTAGACAATTGCATGGACACGATCCAAAAAGATGTTCAGGCATTGCAACCGCAGCAGGAACAACAGCAGCAGCAGCAGCACCAAAATCAAAAGCAGCATGCAGATAAGGATAACATAGAACCACCGAAAGTTTGTGAAACACAAAAACACTCGCTACAGTCTGCCAGTGCCAGATATGAGGGACAAGAGGAGAACGAACTGGGGAAACAGCAGTCTGCAGGGGATATAGCAGCAGACATGACGGACGGCGGGCGCAGCTATGAGCGACTCAGCAATGCAGAATCAAGCGCGGCAGAGCCAATAACTGTAGCGAGGGCGGCAAGTGCAGGTCGAGTCTACACCATTCAGAAGATGATGCGTTACGCTGTAAAGAGCCAGAGGCCCTTCCACGCTCGTGTACCTATTGAGGTTTCCACCCAAGGAGCCGCTTCTACGCAGGCAGTAAATGTTGGCTCATCAGAGGAGAGCTTGCCTCTAGCCAAACCCGTCTTGCCAAGTGGCAGCACATCTTCCATCCAGCAGCATGAACGGAAGAGAAGGGAAGGGAAGCATACTAGCGAGGAAGACAGGGTGCTGGAAGGAGATGGGCGTGAGACTCCCACTGGCGATTCTTCGGCCTGTGCAGTTTCTGGGGAGTCTGGAGCAAAGCGGCTCAGCGACCTGCCACAAGTAGGACGAGAGGCTCAAGAGCTGTCTTCCAAAACTCGCGAAGACTATTTCAGTTCATGTTTCAGCGAGTGAGGGGCTGTTACTGCGGCCGCTGCCCTACCCGGACTACAGCAAGCAGGAAAGCCCACCCTCCAACAACGCATAATTGCTTGTTTATTTCTGTTAGCTTCTTTCCCTCAGACCAAGCTTCCAACTTGTGCAACGCCAGGGCAGTGCAGCAGACGCGTCTGGCGCAGCACAGGCGCCTCAAGGCATCAGGAAGTCTCGACAGCCGCCAGGTCCTGCTGGACGTCAGACAGGGCCCTCTTTGAACAGCAGTTGTTCTGCTGGTAAGTTCTATCTTTTCGAGTTTACTCCCGACTACGTATTGAGCTGTACCTAGAGGCCGGCAGCGCTTTGCATTTGTTTGTACTCGCAGTGGATGATCCCCGTCCCCCGCCAGACGGAGGAGATGCTCCCCCGTCAGGGGACGCCAGGGGCGGTCCGCTGCTTAATGCGAAGCGAAAGCTTGGAAGGCCATTAAGGGCTCCTGGAGCAACACCTATGCAGTATGTGCGAAGGGGGGGAGGGATTCAGAGCTTTTTGGGGTTCACATAGCAGAGCGTAGAGCTGTCGGTATGTTTCTTCCTCTGTAAAACACTCGACGCACTCCAGTGCTTGTGCCACTAACGTTGTTCTTTAAATGCTTTCTGGTTTGCGCTGCGTGCAGGGTTCGTTCGAATTCTTAGTCGCTATCGTAGCTACGATCGAGTGAACTAGAGGAATTCTACGACTGGAGATGCAATGCAAGGCCCGCCTGTTCAAGTCATTTCTCTCTAATTTTGAGGACTCGACCCCTTCTGTCCATGTCTATTCGGTCTTGCTGCCCTCACCTCTTACAGACGTACGAGTAGAGGCGCTATTGCTGCTGCTGTCCGCAGGTGACTCAGCCTGATGGGAGCCAGAGGCGACAGGAGGCGCACCCTGCATGGGCAGCTCACGCGCAGTGCGAGAAACGTAAAGAGGAATCGTGTGATGCCTCAGTGAAGGGTAGCCCCTCACGGCTTCACGAGGAGTTGACGGATGTAGATGGGGGCCTTGCTGCGTTCTCCATGGGAGATATCCGTCTGGCGGAAAAGGCGGTGGAGGGCGGGATGACTTTGGAGGGGTATTTCCGTTCTGTGAAGGATACAAAGCCCAACCTAAAGCAAACGAGTTCGGATCCCTCTGCCACGGGGACCCCTGGAAGCCTTCCTGCTGAACGTGAACAACAACATGCTGCTGGATATGGAGATGCTGTGCAAAGCCTATGGGGCCCTCAGGGGCCCCCTGTTTCTCCGCAGGCCACTGTGGGTCTTGGGGGCGTACCCCTGGAGAATGACGTGGAAGAGGAATTTTCAATTCTTGAGGAGACGGTGGGTTTTTGATTTCGAACATCAGATATCTGCTGATGTAGTTCCTACCAACGAGCTTAACAAAGACTAGTGCGGTGTCTTTACGGCGCAGGACTTCGCCTTGGGATGCGAGTCCCGTGGCAGGGGTGCCCATGGCAGTGTGGGTCATCAGGATTCTGCAAGCGCTCGTGAAAAAGCAGCTGCGAGTGTTGCGGCTGCACAAGCCGCTGCGGCTGCGCTTTCCAGTCCGGGAGCTGCGTCTGTGGCGGCGTGGTTCACGGCAATGCTTGCGGGTTCTCCAGAACGAGTTGTCAGTCCAGCTAGAGATCGTTGCGCCAATGAATCCTCGGGGAACGCCACCTGCACTCGGAGTCAGAGCTCGTCTCATCAGAACACGGGCTCATGTGGGTCTCACTCTCCTAAAACTGCAGGCAATCAGCGGCAGGAGGTTTGTCGGAGGCAGCAGCAACCTAAAGTACCCCAACGGGGGAATTACCCCATACTTCGCCACTCGGAGGAGCAACAAACATTTCAAGCGCAGCAGCACGCACCCATGAACCAGTCGCAGCCACGGGATCAGCTTCACAAGGATCAGCTCTGCTCCATGCACCAGCAGCGGCTGCACCAGCAGCAGGCCATAAGGCAGCATAGAGGCCAGCCTTGTAAGTACAAGCCCTCTTGTGACAGAAAACCGTTCGGTCAAGTCCTGGTAATCAGCAACCCTGCTACTGTGCAAAAAAATGGGCTGGCACGTGTAGGCTGAGTATTCCTTTTTGTGGCATGGGGCAGCAACACGCATGGATTGCGTGCTGTGCTTCCTAGAACTCGTGAAATAGAACGAGTTCAAACATGGTGCAGGAATTTTGAACTCGGCGCGAATCTTATTCTGCTGCCTGTTTCCATGCAGTGGATGCAGCACAAGGCCGCCAGGCAGGAAGACAGCTCCTCTCCCTGATCGGAGTAGTCCCGGCTTCTGACAACGGTGTGGACAGACATGTTCCCTCATCTCATGGCTGTTTGCCAATAATCCGCGAGGAACCCCCTGGGAAGGTGATACCCAGATCTGGCATTGACCTTGAGCGGCAACTAATGCAGCAGCAGCGTCACCTGCAGCAGCTGCACTCTGTGGAACAGCGAAACCCACAGGCCCAGCCGTCGCTCCATGCCTCAGGAGGCCAGACGTAAGCAAGCTTTTCCTTGTTTCCTCCTAGAATGCACTTCCGATTTTTTGAACCTGTGTAATGTTCCCGGAGTGCTTCTGTGCCCTGTATGCTGAATTTAGGCCCACTATGCCAGTGGGAGATGCCTCTGCTCCAATGCTTCATCACCAAATGGGTCTTAAGAGGCCCCCTTCTGTGCTCTCCGTCGGGCACTTGAACCTTGTGCCAAACGCGCACACCCATCCGGTGGCTAGGGCAGCAAGCGGAGAACGAAGTCTGCTAAAATTGCTGCATGCCCGCGGGGGCCCTGTGGTGGCTCCAGGTGAGCCCTCCCCGGCGTGGTCCTCAGGTCAGTGAGAAAAATGCCACACTGTAGAGGTAGTGTCTAGATATGCGTTTTTCTTTGTCTCGTTTGGGTACGCAAGCTTCAGCGGCCGGTGCTGCTGGCTGCTCCAACGGAGCACTTTAGAACGAAAAATGTGTGTCGTCGCCTTTTGGTTCAGGGCACGGGCGCATAGACGTAGGGCGATAAGTGCCATGTTTAATTACTTCTTCCGTATCGGCTTCATCCATTTGAAAAACGATGGTGATTCCGGAATGCCTTGAGCGTATTAAAGGTTTTTTCCAGCTCGGCATACACTAAGCCGGATCGTCAAGACGATGTAATACGTATGCTTTACCAGTTCGCATTTTAGCCTCCACTTACGAGTGCATAGTATTGCGAGAACTAACGTGCATACCTTTGCTGCATCCCAATGTAATAGGTTCACTTTGAAGTACCTGTTCGGTGAACGGCAATTTTCGGCAGCACCTCACCTGGCTAGATTAGCATGATCTCAGTAACGGCGCCCCTTCAACTGCGAACACCAGAGTATAAAGTTATTGCTGAGTACTGGCACAGAAGCGCAGGAGCGCGAATGAATTCACTGGCCCGATTCCTTTTTGCCTACTGGTAGAAATATTCATATGCTCATGCGTGTCGGCACATACGCAGCGTTGGGGGCTCACAAGCCTTCATGCACTTGGGTGGAGGAGGCACCCAAGCAAGCGAACCACCCTAGGGTAATCCGAGTTATGAAAGCTTTTTGAAAGGCGCATTAAAACCCGATGCTCGTTATGGACAACAAAATGACTTCCATAAGCTTAATGGCGGCAAATTGTTTACACACACCACACCATGGCATTCCTTTTTCGGCGTTGAATACCGCTGCTCGGTTCCGGTAAGGGAAAGGGAGCAAGAACCACTGGTTCAATGTTGTGAAGCATCCGTAGCCTGTTGGAAGAGAGGGTATTACTCACTCATAAGTCACTAGCATAGGTGTTTAAAATAATGGTGACTCTTTCAAACGAACAACACAAGTACGAGAGCAGCTGTAAGGCGGTCGACCAGCTTCCTTGTTTTTCAAACGGCCCCCTTCGTCTCTTCCCCAAACTGCATTTTTGTAAAAGCAGTTGAAGGAGCACCGATCTGAGCAAATCCAGGAATACAACTCAGGCAAGAAAATCCAAGCTCACAGCTTCGCAGCATCCTTGCGGGAGCGCAAAGGTTAAGGCCACGCCTTAACTTTTGAAAACTTTCCGGATATTACTCCAGGCCAGCAGCCGAGCAAAGTGTTCCATAAACAAAACTGCCATTACGAAAAACACTTGCGTCTCTTCTCACAACAGTTGGAGCCCACGCCATTGTTGCTGTACGTGCTCGTGCTAGTTTCAGCAGAACCGAAAGGCATTGTCCATGCAGGCAGCTATTCAGCCCTCCTCAATAGACTCATAGACATCTTCAAGAGGATGCCGTTGCAGTTCAGCTATGGAATAGACAACACAAGACGGCATACCAGTATAATCGAGTCTGCGATTGCTTTTGTAAAACACCGTTTTGTGCGTGACCTCTGGGGGAAGGGGAATCTTAAAGCAAGCGTCTGTAAGGTCAGCTGTTAAGTTTATTTTTGGTCGATGTTGCTTGTCAATTTGCTCGCCAATATTGGGCATCGGGAACTTCTTTAAAGTGATCTTATTCAGGGGCTTGAGGTAGCCGTAAATGTGCCACCTTGCGTCGCTTTCGGCACCAGCACCTGTTGTAGCCAAAGGCGCTAGTCGATTTGTGCACCTTGACCGATCTCAAATGAACATCCGACTCTCACGCAATCTCCTCTTCATGCCGTAGGCGGCTTCCGATATCGCAGGAGATCGCTTGGGATAAACGGCGGATTTGTCCTTATTGTTTGCCCATTCCTACTCTTCCTCTGTCAAAGGTTCAGGCAAAAATCTTGATGGATAACTAGGTGCAGAATTGGCAAGACATAATGCATGCTTAGAACTGCCCCCTCTTACTACTTTGTTGAGTCGCTCGCATGAAGACTCGGCCCCAACTTGTTGAGGCAATGACTCTACCCTTTCCACCATAGATGAAATGAGAGTTGCTCAGGGGACCAGCAGCTGCTTCTTGCTAGCGCCTTGTGACGAGGTGATTACCACAGCACACAGCTGTGGTTGGATGGATGATGCACTCCCTCCAATGGATCAACAATGGCAATGAAAAAGCACTGCGTCAGGGTGGAGGGGTATGCCATGAAAGTCAAGGACCATGCTGATATGACTCAATTCCGATGTAAAATGACTTTGGATTGCCGGTTACTTCGCCAATTCTTGCTTTCGGCCTCATGTTTACAAACCTGAGAACTAGGGACTGCTCTAACGAGTGCACAGGCTGATTGCACTTTTGTGCTCTTTCCTTGAATAGAGGACTCATTTCACATCCAGTGTCGAATAGCGCTGGCAATTCTTGCCCATCAATGGAAACTTGTAACAAAGAGGAAACAAACCGTGGGAGGTTTTTACTTGCGCCTCTATCGTCTACAGCCCTCTTCATTGCGCCACACCGTGTGTGGGGGGCTTGGCGTTCCTCTGCACATCTCTTTTGCTCGCCAATTAGCCTGACTCTCCTAGGCTTAGCCCCGTTGCTCAAGTTTTCTAACCTTGTGCATTCGCGTGTAGGTGCGGGTGACACTATTCAGTTTCCCACAATAGAAGCGTGTGTTGAGGGACTGTCTGAGATTGCCTAGGACCATGGCTTCCCTTCGGCTTTCTTTACTCGTCTTTTAAGACTGTAGGATAGGGCAGGTTGACAGAGAAACATCCCTTAATTCCAAGTTCTGGCGTGCCTCTCCCCTTTTAGCCAAGCTTGCAGGTTTTACACTCACTCGCTCGTGACATTCCACGTAGTTCACTTTTTGCGGAAGCCTCGCCGGTGAGCTGATCAATCGATGAGTCGCTGGGCATCCTGCGACCACCTAACGTGCCACTTTGGGCGAATCTGAGATAAATAATTAATAAAGCAGCGACTTGCTTTGCGAACCAAAGTTTCATAATTCTCCACATATCGGGCTCTTGCTAGGATTTTCTGCTTTTGCTCTCTTTGTTCTCCCAAACTATGCTGTTGCGCTGAGCTTCACATAAGATAAACCAAGGCGAGTGTGCAGGCTTGAAGTGTAGAAATCCCTGCATGCAGATGCCCTTTACATGAATAGAGTAAAAATTAAAATGCTTCTCCCCCCAAGGCACGTGCCACAAAGTGTACGTGTTCCTCTTTATCTGGGAGTGTCAAGTAAGGAACATGATAATCTTCCAGTACTCACTTATCCTTACAATTCTCGTACTTTTCTGGTCGGCATAATCTCATCGATCGGTAAGCATCTTAATGGCGCTATTGTCTCTACATCAGCTTGTAGGCCGGCTTCAGCGGTACCAATAAGCGTTGATCCCCGTCAACTTCTATCATTAAAGTGTATGTTATCAATGGCCAATAATAATCAGATCACTGAATTGTAAAGTAGCTTGGTCGGATACAGACAATTGTTGTACTGGAAGCTTGGCATTTCAATGCTTTGAATAAGGGCAGATGCGCGGGGAAATAGCTGCATAGAGCTACGAGGTGCTACCGATGTAACATTCCTCATAGACATTTAGTATGGCGACACCCAGCCTTAAGCCTGAGATTATACTTGATAGAAACTTGTTGAGTGCCTTACGAAATGAGCTGGCCACACAGTCTCACCACTCAGGGTCCCGACATGGGGAGGGGCACGTGCTGCACGTGTTGCTGCACTAATTCACACCAAAGCTTCACAGCTAGTGACACTTACAATAAAGCGCGCATAAGCGCACACACACGGCATTGGCCATTATTCCATCGAGTTAGCCTACACTGCAGCCAGTGCGGTAACGAGCAAGCAACACCAATAGTAAACTCTACACCAAGCCATTAGTTGAGCCCGCTTACAGTAGGAGAAAATGCCTGAATGTGACGCCCGGAGCATGATCCACTCCTCTCCACCCGTGCTGTAGCTCCGTTAGATGAGGGCCATGAGACGTTACAGGAGCAGTACAAAAGCTTGCCCCGCTGCATCTGACTCTTTGATTTACAATTATAACGTGTTGTATGTAGTGTGTGGCAATTGCGAGCACGAGCCTTCTTGCCCCACCGGCCTCCCCAGAGTAGGTAGAGGCTCCTATTTGCTGCTTCCAGTGACACAGGGAGGCTTCATCTAGCTCAAAAGACAGCAATTATCGAGTTAGATGCTCAGCGATTGGGCAGTCGAGCACATGGGAACAACTATTACAAGCATTTCTTTATTAGCAGGCAAACGCTCTAGCTCAATGGACAGAAGATCGAGTAAACCTCAAATCTTTTGTTTGGCTCAGTGTATCCTCGACACCTAGGGACCTGCTGCCGCCATTAATATATCCCTAGCTTGCATCCAGCTGCCTGATCCGAGGCTATCCCGGTCCTTCTAGCTTCAGTGCTTGCTAGAATGAACCACCCATTTGCAATTGGTCAGGCTTGTCCATGAGCGCTACCCACGCAGCCAGCTTACGGCTACCTTTGAAAAGCTCTCTAATTGGTTCTCTCCATTCATGAGGTATTTGAGACGGCAATACATGCATGAAGCGCGCAGCAGTACAGGCCCCACACCAGGCGTCACGTAAGCCATGCCTTCCGACGGTAGGCACAGTAGAGTCCTTCAAATAGATAACAGTTTGCTAGTCCCCTGACCGCCTTGTAGGCGCATCTTGTCTACTTCAGCTAGAAAAAACTTAAGTCCAACAAAAAGTTCACCATGTGGCATGCTATAAATCTGACTAGCCCCCAAAGTGGCCTGTGTACAAGGCCTGGAGATTGGTTTCGACGTGCCTGCAATAAACATGGAGTGACTCTTTCCTACCACTGCTCTTAGCCAGACGTGTTTGCTGAGACCAACACAATCGGACGCCTCTCTAAGGCAGCCGTCGTCAAACACTGCTCCTGCTGGGGGTGTGTGGGCAATTAGAGCTCGTCCATTGAGACTTGTTCGCCTTCTGCTTCAATATTTCCCTGCAGTGACATTAACAGAAGTGGCGCCACAAGTCCATCGCTGGATATTCGATCCGCTTATTGGCATAGTGACTGTGTAGACGCTGCACATGCGTAAAATACGGTATTCAGCTCACTTCAGCAGCAAGCGTTGCAGTCTCTGCACGACGGTGTTTCTTTTCCATCTGAATCACGCCATTTTCTCAAACACACGGACAATCGTGGAATCTGCAGTTGACAGCAATAATATGCGCCAGCAGGTTCACCAGCAGAGGTATCAGCATACAACGGCAGCATTTTCACGTACCTTCCGCTTTTTCTGCCTCAGAGTCACATGCTCCATCCGTTCAGGAGCCTGCATTCTCCAAACAACGCATACATTAAACCGTAAATTCGATTTCTTTGACTCCAGCTGTATGGTCCCAACGTATGCTGCTTTCCAGAGCCACTGAAACCTTATAGTATATCCGTGGCTATACCTCTGCCTCCGTGCGCGTTTGCTCCCTTTGTCGCTTTGTGGCGAGAACATCTCTGAACATAAGACGCTGCAGCCGCAGCGCAACAGGCGGCAGAGAGCATTGAAAAGTGGAGATCAGCCCACCTGTCTCTATACCAAAGCAAGAACCAAACACTGCAGGAATGAGGAGCTCAGGATACAGTGCACGCACATATGAGAAAAAGCCATAGGAGTGGACCTAAAATAGTATAGAGCCATTCATACATCTGCGCTGAGAGGACCAGAAACAGGTCGCATGAAGCCATTCAGCTACAGATAGATGCAGAGTCTGCATACCTTACGGCAAGAGCCCCTTCAAACTGGTGGCACTGCCTGGACAGGAACTGCTGCTTTATTGGCTGTTCCTCTAAAAAATCCAAGTCTCACCATCTCGCCTTGCACTGACTGGAGCGTCTGTGCTGGCCCATTCGTTGCTTCTGAATCTGGGCAGCAAAGCTCTCCTTCGGCTGATGATACCCCTAGACTGGCCAGTTGCCTTTCCACTAGCTCCTTTTGTAGTGTAGCCAGCGATTCTCCAGAGTCGCTCTTTACGCCTACGAGCCGGACAGCTCCCTGCATTAGCACCAACAAAAGCAGCGACATAGATCAATCCAATTCCGCAGCTGCACTTGCAGCAGTGAATGCAAAGTTATCGGGCAGCTTGAGGATTCTGAATGGATGTGACAGTAGAGAAAGAGGCGGTGCAGGAAACAGGTAGAATGGGGGAATAAGGGGGGCCACAGAGCAAGGCCAAAAAGGTAGCAGTCAATATATGTGAGAGTGCGCATCTTGTGCAGAACTTTGCACTGGGAAACCAACGAGGGAGGCATGCTCCAAGCCGAGTTTGAGCAGAATTTCGCATGCCGCAACAACCTAAGAGTGAAAGGACAGCACAAGATTTTTCGACTAACAGAATCTTTGAATCCAGATGGCAAAGAGTAATAAGGCACTTTCCCTTCCTGCCACTCTTGTAGAAACATCTTAGCGGCCGCGCATAAGTCCGCAACTCCTCCTTTCAAGAGCTTGCCTCGCCGCATCGCAAGGCCCTGAAGAGCTTCCCTAGGACTTGTAAAGATGGGGAGCTGATACAACTGCTGCAATGTAGGCACACTTGATATAGATATTAGTGCCTCAGCAACTGCCTCTGGATTGGGGATCTGTGGGACGGGCAGGAGTGACTGCAGCAACAAAGATGCAGATGCGTCCAATGGCCTCTGCTGCTCCTTTTGCTGTTGTTGGGAAACTACTAAGGACTGTGGGTGGGGTAGGATTCTGGCAGTATCTTCCTCCCTGGCTGGAGGCGCAAAGAGGACTCCAGGAGAGTCTATAAGCTGCGTCTTGCTATCGAGCTTGATAAACTTTAGCTGCCGAGTGCTGCCTGGAAGCGCTGCAACCCCAGCAGAAGCGCTCCGCGTCAGAGCATTTACCACGGAGCTTTTACCAACATTCGGATAGCCCACAACGCCCACTGTCATAAAAGCCTTGCTGCTAATCTTGCTGCTGCTGCCGCTGCTGCCGCTGCTGCTGCTGCATAGCACCTTGCTGGAGTCGCCGTCCTCAGGAGCCACTGGCTCTCCTCCCGCTGCAGTTTCTGCTGCGGCTCCATCACCAGCACTGGAGACCTTTGCCGCTGCGTGACCTATTGAGGAGAGAAGTCGCATGAGCGGCTGCACTCCCAAGGCCTGGGAGCTGCTCCTGCAAGCGAGCGCACAGAGCTCAGACAGTCACTACCTCGACTGAATGCCTAAATTAGAGAGCATAAAGCAGACACCAAGCTTACCCGCAAGTCCTAAATTAGTCCGATTTACAATACACGCCTCCCATCCCCAAGATCCGAAGATTAGGGGCTAACCACATACCTCTTTAGTTTCTCTGGGGCATGCACAGGGTCCGCTGCACACCATCGGCCGATACGACTGCAGCCGCTGCCACCACTGCTGCTGCACTTAAAGGCCAGTACAGGAGAAACAGTTGTGCGCCGCAGCTGCTGCAGCCACGCAGCGACTGCGGGAGCAGGCAACAAGTCTATTTTGTTCAGCAACAAGATCACCTTCTTCCCCTCCCTGGAATATCGCACACCAACCAAACAAGATATACCCTTGCATCCTAAGCCCTGCAATGCAAACAAAGACGACGCATGCGCACCAGTAAGAGCAATCACCAAGTTGTAAAGCCCAAAAAAAACCTACCGGTGAGCCCATCTCTCCAGGCCTGCGCAGCGAAATGCGAGAGGAAGCCTCGCATCCAAAACGTGTATTATGATGTCTGAAGCTGCGAGTAGCTGCCTCAACTGCTGCTGCTGTTGCCGCTGCAGTGCAGCAACGTGCTGCTGCTTGGCGCTATCACAAAGAGAGAGTGTGGCGGCAATCGACTGCAGCGCCAGGTCTGCCTCTGCACGAAAATACAGTCAACTCCACATCCTAAGAATGATATTGGGCTACAGAGGACCGCTCATGAAGCTTCTGTGTGCCCTTACAACCCGATTTTAGAAAATTTTTCAACAACCCCTATCATTTGATCACGGTCAAGCTCAAGCCCACCCGAGGGACCCTCGGCAGCTGCTGCTGCCTCAAAGACATTTGTCGCTGCCAGCTGGTGTGCGATTTTCTGCGCTTGCGTTGCGTTCGACTGTCCTTCATCGTGCAAGGCTGCTGTTGTTGCCGCCTTCTCTTGTTGCTGTTGCTTCAGCACCTGCTGCTGCCGCTTCTCCTCTCGCTCCTGCAGTAGCCGTGCTTCCTTCTCTTTCTTCCTTCGAAGCATATTGGCGACGATTTCTCCCTTAAACGGGCACGAGTTTGGTATTCCTGGGTCTCTTCGTAGCTCTGCAGACAACGTAAGAGGGCAGCACCAGGCAGCGCAGCATCGCGAGGCATAGCAGCAGCAGCAACTACAGCAGCCACCCACATACCAACCACGGATTTCGCCGACACAGGACATTTGCTGGTACTGAAGGAAGGCAGAAACATCAAGTCGGGGCAGTCACAAGCTTTACACGTCCTACACTAGCAGACAAGAGCAGCGAACTGCAGCTGATAGCAGTAGGACGCAGTGGTGACTTACTTCGCCTCACGGGTCCACCCTTCGCCTTTGCTTCCTTACGCATCTTCCGACGATGCTCCCTGACCTTCTTTTCGATCTGTAAAGGCACGAAAGCTAACACGCCACTAGCATCCGCTTTGAAAGGATTGCACATCCTGCCAAGGCTCTAGATGCACGGTGAGCGCCCAAAGTCAGGGATTTGAACTCACGTTGTACTTTTTGGAGAGCTTCTGACGCCTTGATTGCTCTGAGCACCCGCAGAGAAGTTGGGCACAGAGCCCTAATTGTGCAACACGACCTTGGATTTAGAGTATCGATTGCCGTGTCACCAGCGATTTAGTGGATATGTCTAGTAGCAGCCCTGCCTGCAACATGTCAAGAGCTTTCATATGTTGCGCTACAGCCAAAATGTACAGATTTTAACTAATAAGATTAGCCTTACTCTTCACCTTCGCCATCTTGTAAGCGGTGTAGCAGGTCTGCAGGGGAGACCCATAGGAGAAAGTAGCAGACACTGAAGCCTGAATCAACCCTCCTGACGCACCAAATCCCAAAACCATATATTTTAAGCCCTCAATGCAAGAGAGCGTTTGCTGTGGGGAACCCAGCACCCCACAATGTATGGCTGGCGGAACCCGTGGGGCCCTGATGGGCCCCCATGGTAACCTGCAATAGGACCACTGTGCTGTAGAGCTTTAAATGCAGGATTCTTCATACAGTACAAACGCTTGCTAGAGTGACGCCTATGACGTGCCCATAAAGCTGTCGAATTGGCACAAACAGTTTTGAGTGCTCTCTGCCAATGGTCTTCTTCTTGCTGGTTGCTCGTGAGTCATTGCAGTCCTTTGGAGTCTGAGTTATATTTCTGTGCTGTTGTTTCAAACGCATCCATAGTCCTTTAAAACCTTACGGCTTCAGATCCGTTTGGCGTCACTGAGTTGTGCTGTGTATGTCCGTTTGCCGTGCCTAATGCAGCACGAATCCTGCCATTTATGGGACAAGCTATATGCAGGCGCTTTCTAAGGCGTTTGTTCTAGTCTATTTAAGATTTATTACTTGGAATGTTTGCTCATTTAGGCCATATGCTGCAAAGCAGTGTGCGCTTCGTACTGTAGGAAAGAGCGGTGAATGCCTTTGGACTGGGATACAGTGCTCCCGTGCTAAACTCCAGAAAAGCACTCTCTACTACACCTCTTCCATATCGTTAAGCATAACCAAGCAATTGCCTTACTGGATTGTCTCTTCGCGTATCCTACATATTGCAGAGTAGTGCTAGCCCGATATCATGCAACTAACTCTGAACTCTTGGACTGCAAGGGGGTGCCGCAACGCTGTCCCTAGCTGTACCTGTCCCTTCTTCTTGGGAACTCTGGGAATCGCAGACACGAAGAGAGAAAATTCTCTTGAGAAACGGTCGAGCACTTTCCATTAAGCTTGCACTGAATCTGGAGTTAAGTGTCTCACTACGGCTACCCGAGATGATGTAAGGGGTCAAGCAGCCAAACCAATAGGAGTGAAAGCCTGGTACATGAGACGAATATCAAAACCGGCAGGAGTAATCGCATTGATGCCTGAATAAGAGGGTTGATTTCTTCGGAGATGGTTTTTCCATGGGTTTTCAGAACCGTGAGTTAGGAGTTCGTTGGGCTGGTATCTCCGGCTGTGCGTGCTTTGCCTTCACTGGACACTCGTGCTATCGTATAACGTTGAAGAGACTCGGATAAGCACCGAGAATCAACAGTGAGTGCCGCTTTAGAAACGGGCTCTGTGACGCTTTGATATGTGGGGTACAGCAGCAGAAACAGGGCCGTTTGATGATTCCCAGGTTCAATCGCCCTGTCGAATACTCGTTATCAGGCCTCATTTTCCCAGTTACTACTAGCGATTTCAATTAGTGGCATGCAACACTCAGCGCACACGCACACAAGCGCTAATTCTTCTCGCATTAAATTAGCTATACTCTGCTACATGTAACATACACAAAAACCCTAATCAAGTAGAGAATTGTTTTTTCTTTTTTAATTTTGCATTTGCTATACCCGCTTTCGTAGAAAACCCAGTGTAACCAAGAACCGCGCTATGTCTTCCTGCTCCCAGCCATCAGAGATTCAGGGTGAGGAAAAATTGGCAGCTAGGAAGCGCGTTGCTGGATCCTCGAAGCTGTTCGAGCATCCACAGCTAATTAAAATTGCATGTAGCGCACACGGGCTCAACGTCGAGTCGTGTGGTATCAAGCTAATAATACTTTGGCATAATTTAAAAATCAGAATGGATAAGCTAAGCAGTCGATTCTTTCAGTAGTTCCTAGTAAAAATATATAAGATGTAGTTGAAAGCTTTGCAGCATAGCACAGCCAGGTATGCCGCTACAAGTGGCCCGGAACACGTCGCTGCACAAGTCTTGTGTTGTTTGTATGTGGCTCAATTTTTACATGGTAAAACATAATATCATCAATAAGCTTAGATACGGAGAAAATTTTGTTCTTAACTGTTTGAGAAGCTAGAGTTGTAGTCTTCCGTATAAATTTTTATGCACTCGAAACCGTTATTTGCTTTCAGTATGTATACCTATGTGCATACACTGATCTGCCGTAGGGCTGAGCCATCTGTTGCCGTACGGGCGTAAAGGGCCACTATGTCTTAAAGGTTTAGTGCTTCGAGCATGTCTTGTTTTGAAAATAAAACAGCTGCAGGCGTCAATGCAGTGCTAGTCTTTTACATGCATGAGAAAGGAACTGTAATATGGCACAGCTATGAGTCAATATGAGTCTAACTGTAGTGTGGGTATAATGCTCTCGGGGATCGTTATTGTAGTCGCGTGTAGCGCTTTCCAGCTTAGCAGTGTTTTTGCTGAGGGGAGACAAGGGGTATTACAATACATGTATTGACATTACACGTAGTCAGATAGACATGATGGCTTTTTTCTGCTTTATACAAATGTTCTATTGATCCGCAGTACATGTTTCATAATATGCAAAGGGATGGTGCCCTTGGGCTTAGCCGTCAGTTTTGAAGACTTGACTTCGACTATAAGACCTACGGGAAAGAGATTGCCAAACTTATGATGCATATTTTATTTATTCTACTACATGTATTGCATTGAATAATCCCTCTCTTCGTAGAAAGCCTGCAAGATCCTTCACTCAGTAAGAGTCCCCTGGGATTGCATGCAGCCAGCGGCCCTTTGTTACAATTATCAAGACATAGAATATGCATTCGATACGCACTCCACCGTTTATTCATTATGTGTTCTGCATAGATATTAACAAGCCCTTTTAGGGGTGAAGGGGAGAGCCATTATACTTTCCAACCTTTTTGGTACTCAGAGTGGGGCCGTCACCTGTTTAACTAAGAACTGTACACTCGAGACCGTGACCCATACTTTTCCTCCAGAAGCATTGAATTCATCACTTGAGCGGCAGGCCTACTGGTTTCACCTGATTTCCACCTAGAGTTTCCCAGTTTCTTGGTGCGCTGCCGTTTCCACAGCATTGCGGTTCACTCCACCAGCCACACGCCAACAGCGGCAGCGAACAGAGCAGCAGTACGACCAGCCTACGCTCCGATGGCAGCACTGGGCTTTTAGGAGTGGCGACTGGATAACTAGCAACCGCCGTGGCAGCGCCGGCAGTAACCCCTTATCCAGAGTGGAGAAGGCTGCCAGCATTATCGATCTAACCCCACCTTTACAAAATGGAGTCCTCACCGCAAGATTCACTTGCAGGGGATCTTGGACCAGGCACGTCTTTGCAAAAACCCAATATTAAGCACACATGTATCGACCGCCCTTGCAGTTCTTCATTCATAGTGATGCATAAGTCCTTTAAGGCTGCACTGCTCTTTGTACAGAGTTCAAGAACGCCAAGTGTCTCAACCTCTGCGAGCTCCAGCTCATTTTAGGAGACCAGCTTCGCTTGCCTGTCTCCCGTCCTGCTGAAGCGCATAAGTAAGCCTCCACATTCACTGTACAAGTATTGCAGCCGCTCCCTGCAGGTGCTTCTCACAAAGCAGGCAAACAGTCTATTAGAGGAAAAATATAGAAGGAGTCATGTGGTGTAGCAGGTAGAAGGAGCTATTTGAGGCAGTCTGTTGAAGTGTTATAGCAATTGTAGCGAACTTTGTCAGTTCTTCGTCAACGGAGAGGCGATGAAGCCTCTTCAATCCCTAATTTAGCTTCCTCTTGACAAGCATCAACCCACCATAACATACGGATACCGCTGCTGTTGAAAATTGCCCAACATTACTTCCAGCAGGGACGCTTTTAACACCTACTTCTACATTTTCTCCCGCGCTAATGTATTTTTCAGCCGCTACAGGAGCACCATGAGCAGTAGTCCTCCCTCTGGCAGCCTCAGCCAAAACATGCAAGGCATTTATGAAAGCAGGTTTTAGTAAAATTACTCTCTTGTGCACCTTCAAGGTATCACTACTGGTCAGAAAAGCGTTCTCTTGATTACTATGTGTGTGCTTAGCTTGATTAAGGCCTCCTACGAGTATGCTTCGCGGTTTGGGAAGATGACCGTTAGGACAGCCGTTGTGGAAATCCGCAAGTAAGCCCCTAAAAGGTAGCTTCGGCTTCTGCTGCGTGTGTTGCGTTTTGATGATTCTGTGGAGTTCCTCTGCGGCTCTCTTGATAGCGGAGATAAGCGTGGCCGCATATATCTCTGCAGGCACCTCTTCCGGAATAAGGGGCATCGGCTTGTTTTGCATTCATGTTGGTAGTTCTGCATTTAGAACCTGGTCTGTGCTTTTGGTGTTGCTGCAGGCATCTGGAGCGAGAAGGAGATCTGCAACAGTTTGAGTTGGCGCTGCTGGTAAATCTGCTGCCGCGAACTTCCGACGAAGCAAAAGCACACATTCCTTCCCTAATCCGTCTCTCGCCTGCTCGTCTTTCCCGAATTATCGACACCCTCGAGGTTTTCAGAGTGCATGCCTCTTGAAAGGGTGGATGGATAGCAAGAATGAGCAGCAAATCAATATTACGGTGTGCTTCTCCTGCCAGCCTTTCTACATCTGACATGGTACTGGCATGCTGAAAGTTGAGTGCCTAGAGAACGAAATGAATTGGGGGCTTCATCATGGGGCTTCTCATTGCCGTCTTCGTAGTTGCAATGAACTCGGCAAATCGAGTTGCAGCATGACCTTTGGAAAAACCGTTTTTTGCTACTGTGAATGCCTGTAGAATAAGTATTATTCTCAGTTTTCCAATACGCACTCACAATAGGGAGAGGCAACTAATTAGGCCATTACAGTGACAGCCACCACCGCAGCATGCGCAACTCAGGCGAATTGTCTAAAATTCAGTGCTCTTAACAAGTATGGGTTTGTGGAGACAGGTCACAGTATGCTAATCAAGGTGTTTGTAGACCTGCATGTATTGACATTTTTCACAGCTGCTCAGGATATTTATTTCGAGACAGACCGCGCAACAGCGCGCTATCGAAAAAAACGTGATCTCCTTCGTGGATGGTGTTCCGTTACTTTAAAGGAGCAGCCTAACACCCTTGCGCGATACGACATGGGGCTTGATCGCAGGTCATTTGACTACAGTGCTCTGGCAATCCGATGCAGTCAATCCTGGCCGACTGGTCAAGCGGTTACACGAGTAGTGTGAAGAATCTTACACCTAAAGACGTCTGTAGCTTTTTTCTTTGGGCAGTCAGGGAGCAGCAGTTGTGATAATTTAATAGTTACCTCCCACAACAAACCTGTCATTCTGATCATTGTATCCTTCGCCATTAAGGATGTGTTATGCTGACATTTTCTGAGGGAGACAAAGAAGCTTTTTCACCGGATCATCTAAGTATTAAGCCTCTCTAGCACTTCCCGCCCAAATTTGTCAGTCAGCTGCTTCTCCATTCATGGGATTTTCGTGAGGCGCACCCTGGGAATGGGGCAACAGCCAGTGCAATAAAAAGTGTTTGTACAACAGTGGGGAAACCGTGGGGACTGAAAAAGGTGCATATTGCCTGAAGTCCTGCCTAGGCGCTGCCGTACCTTGCCGCAGTGCTGCTCCGCGTCCTACGAGGTAGAGTTCCCAGTAGGTTTACATATACGACAAGCCACCAGTGCTCAAGCCCTAGGGAAAGGAAATGATGTGCACTCCGATGACCGGACAAGTCATACTGCATCATAATCGCGTTCAAATTGAGCTCTATGCGTGAACTGCGAAGTATTTAGATACCATATTTTCAACGGTAGAACACTTTCGTCATCACAAGCTCTATGCGCCTCAGCATCAAAAGCGTTCTGCTCATGCAAGCGCCAGGGGATCCTAAGTCCCAGCAAATAGTGCGCTTCGTCGGCTCACACATGTCCTGGATATTTACGTATTGTTGGTCCATAAGTACCTGCGAACAATATGACAGCAAAGCTAACGGGAGCCTTGTAATACTCTAGGGCCAAACTGCTTTGAGCCTTTTAGTGTCGAGCAAACTTACGCAAAATACTTTTTTCTGTAGGCGAACAGGCGTTTAAAGGGGTGTAATGGAGAGTTGTAGTTTAACTCTGAATATATTGACTATCGGCCGATAATTGGGGGAAAAGCCTCGAGGGCAATGCAATTATCGCGCACCAACAAACTTGCATTAGCGTAACCAATGCCGTTCCCAGGAATTAAGGTCAATCGAGCATACGCGATATCCAGTGGAGCGCTTCATGATGTTGAGGAGACTCATCTTTCCAATTACGCAAAGAATTTCAGGCGATATAGTGGGCTAAGCTACACATTAGCACTTTCAAGTATACTACTTAGCTCAGAATTCGCGCAGAGTTGAGTAAGTTGTTTGGGTGTGCTTATATATCACCGGCTGCAATGTGCACTAACTCAAATGAAATGCGAGTGCGCGGCAGTCAAATGAGATAGGAGTCTTTGTATCTTGCGTGTGAGCTAGATCTCACGTCCTACTTGCTGTGAATGGTCGTAGTGCTTAGAGAGTGCCGCAACGTACACACTAGCTGTATCCTAGCATCAGGTTCTTGAGTGTACATAAAGAGCCAAACTGACAAGAGGAGGCACATGCTCTAGAACAGCATTTAATATATATTTGACAAGGTCTTCAAAGGCATTGGACTAAGTGTCTCCTTACGGATTTCCTTTCCGAAGCGCTACAGGAGGGTCCCTGAACCATTAACAAATAATTCAGGAACCCAAGCCATAGCTTTGCTTACTTCCTCTATAACAACTGGGGTCATTAAAGAAGTTGCTGAGTTAAGATGATTTATGTCGAGGACTGCTGTAGCAGTGTCCGTATTCCGGTGTGTAAGCACTTCGTTGAGCATCATCTAGAGACACGAGGGGAAACGGCTACAAGAAGTGAGTCCGCCAAAGCCTGAGCAGTCGATGCCGTTATATAGGCAAGGTCAAAAGCTGCTGATAAGCGGGCTCAGTAGCAACAGGCTGCAGTTTGGGGAAAGAAGGCTATCTGGGTAGCGCCATCGCCCTACCGGTCGGGTCCTGTTGGCGTGGCACACGCCTTTTCTGGGCTTCCGAGCGCAAGTCTCTCCTGGAAAATAAGATCTGTGATAGTAAGCAATGTATAATGTTACTCGATATATGGTGACATACCTGTAATGATTTTTAATGACTCCCGGTTTTCACGTTTCTGTGGTGGGTCACTTAGCGGCAGTGGGGGACCTGTCGGCAGCGGTGACACTGCCATTTCAACGCCAGAAATGCTTTTCCTTGTATTGAAGAATTGTCTTGCCCCTTACCATATCTTTATATCTTGATATTTTTCAGTATTGCATGTATTTGTCATATAATTTCCCAACTTGTATCGTGCTGCCGCCAGGTGGTGGCGAGTGTAACCGCGCATTCAACGCTACGGATACACTATTGACATCCGTCTTGCTTAAGATGCGCAAAATCATAATATCACGCTGAAATAAATTCCATCAAAGTCCCAATACAGGACCTCGGGTGCTCGATCCAGCGGCAGGGCAGCTAGATCTTGTTTTGCTTGACATACACCCCTCTATATGCATGCAAAGAGGACAGATGACTCAACTTAGTGTTCGTTCTGGTGTATGTACGCGTTGACCTCCTGTAAAAAATGCTCGAGGGGAGCCTTGCACGATCTCCTCGATGACATGCGACACGATTGCCCTGCAGCACCAGCAGCAACACCATCAGGAGCACAAGTAGCCACGGCAGGTGTGCAGCAGTTCTCGGGAGCCAAGACATTTCCGCCGCTGTGCGCTATCAGAGCAGCAACGCTTTTTTCAGCTGCAAGAGTACCTACAGCGGGAGCAGCGACGACAACAGCAAAGCCATCTGTGATGGTACGCAATGTCCCTCAGATCAAGAGGCCTGGGTCCTCTATAACAGTTTCCTATGGCCTACATGGAGAAGAAATCGCTTCGAAAACACCAAATGCATATTGTAGAGTTGATTCTACCCCTGACGTTGCTCCAAAAACAAAGACCGTCTCTCAGAGTTCCCGTCGCCGCAGAGGCAGATGCCTGCCTTCCCTCCGATGGTTCAGGTAGGAGCTGCGTGCCATCCAGTGGTGCCCTAAAAGTAGACTATGACTTTTCGCTCTCGTGAATAAATGCATGCTATATTAATATTCTCCGTGCGATGCTGCTGCAGAGGCAACAAATCAAGAGGGGACCATGGACACCAACAGCAGCATCTGCTGGCAGCGCAGCACCCTGTGTCATCCAGAGCGCCCCAGTACCTCCATCCCATACAGCAGCAGTTGCAGCAGCATATGCAGCAAAAGCCAAGGCTGCACCAGCATTCAACTTTTAGCGAGCATCGGTTACAGGAGAAGAAACTGCCACTGCTTACACAGGGAGGCAAGGAAACGAGTGAAAACTGTAGCAGTTGCAGCGGAGCGAGCAGCAGCAGCTACAAGGAGACTGTCAACTGCGGTGTTCCAGAAATCGTAACAGGTCCAATGCTTTCCCCAACTGAAGCTGCTGATAACTGTGTAAGTAAAAGCGGCAGGTTGAGCAGCGACAATGTCTGCATCCAATCGCTGAGAGACTCTTTTCCGACTTTCAGCAGCCCTCCAAATGTCGAGATACTGGAACTTCTCTCGGCGCACTCATCGGTTTCTGGAAGCATCAGCAGTAGAAGCAGGAGTAGCAGCTGGTCAAAAGTTGGCAGCAGCGCATCCGGGAGCCGAACGGATACTGCAGGATGGGAAGACCCACTTCTGGGCAACTCTGCTCCTCGAAGTGTGGGTGGCATTTTATGGACTACAGCGACTGCTGCAACATCTGCAGCTGTCACTGCAGACTTGCGTCGAGCCGACAGTCAACCAAAGCCTGGTGCCACAAAGGCCCTGGCTCTGTCAACTGGTGACTCTGTCGTGGGTGGCGCTATGCGAGAACAGCAGATAGCAGCAGCGACAACCGCAGCCGTGGCAACACAACCGATTAACATTTTGGGGGCAGCAGCTGATGCTTCAGACCATTGGGAGGGTCCTGACCTCTTTGAAGCTCCGTTGTACAGGGCGCACAGCAAAGCTGTGGCATCTACGAGCCAGCAGCAGGATATGCAGGATATGCAGGTGCAGCAGCAATATCAGCAACAGCAGCAACAGCAGGTGTGTCAGCAGCAACAGCAGCAGCAGCAGGTGCAGGTACGTCAGCAGCATCCCCCGAAACGTGCCGACAGTCATTGGGTGTCTCCTGTTTTTCGTGGGCCAGTCTTGCCTTATATGGGGTTAATATCAGCAGCACAACCGCCGTCATCGGCAGCACCTAGTGCAGTGCCGGCTGCGTGTCACGCAGCCATAGCAGACGTTGCTGGTAGTACACCTGCAGAATTATCTGCACTGAAGGCAAGGGCAACGCCAAAAGATACTTTCCAGAAACAAGACTACCAATGCAAGCTGCAACACCATGAAGTCCAGGAACAGCCGCTGCGACATCAGCACCGAGGGCAGTGGCATACCTCGGAAACTCGTGCACTGCCTCTGCTAGGCGGCAGCTGCAACGCACCATTGGAAAGCAGTCGTTGTTCTCATGCGGACGCTGTCAGAAGCGACAAATGCTGCATCAGCTCCTGCAGATCAGCCGACTCAACAGGTGGCCCAGTTCGATCCGCAGCCCCCTCAACGACCAAAAGCTTAGAGAATTCGGCTGCTTCTCCACCTGCATGCAATGCTGCAGTTGCCCGTGTTCCTGCAGCTATTGCTGCACCTGCTAGTTCTCCCCTTGCCTATAATGCTGCTTGCATTGGCACAACGGTTCCTCATACAGCACGCGAACAGCCCCCCAACGGTGCATTACAGACTAGCCAACGTACAGCGCGGTTAGAGGGTCTACACAAGCATACTGGGCCACAACAGACGCACAGTTCGCAAGGCATTTTGGAATTAATGACGCAACTCCACGAATTAGCACAGCAAACGAGGCAGCCGGTACATCAGGGCCAGCAAGGCGGCGAGCCTACACTGCAATTGGGAATCTATGAGCCGCCCATACTGCAGATGGCACTGTGCTGTAATAAGCCTAGCCATAATGATGCCGTAGGAGTCCAACCCTCCGCTTCTGATACTGCGATGGCTGCTGGTGTCGTGGAGGCGTCGACAACAGCTGTCAGTGCAACAGCCACGGCTGCAGCGGACCACACTGCTCCTTCGGCGAAAACTGCGGTCTCACCAGCGGATCGGTGCCTCAACATACTACGAACTTCTGACGCTTCAGGTCGCAATTTTCGCGATGCTTGTAGGCCGCAACCACCACTTCAGCAGCAGCCCGTCCCAGAGCAGCGGCCGCCGCAGCAGCAGCACTTGCAGTTGGTGCCACAAGACAAACAGCAGATGCAACACCAGTTTCCTCATCTGCCGATCGTCAGCTGTGGCAGCTCGCCAGTTGTGACAGTCCCCCCATTGGAGCAGTGGCGCCATATACAGCAGAATACTGCCCATTGCGCTACACCTCTCTCTGTAATTTCGGTGGATCAGAAGCAAACGTTTCAGGAGCAGCTTCCGCTGGAAGCACAGTCGCAACAACAGTTGATTCATCAGGGAAAGGCCGGCCAGCAACAACTGATACAGCTGACTACGCCCTTTGAAACGCCTTTAAACGCATTAGCAAGGCCCCCTCTGGAAAGCAGGCCTTCAAGCCATGTTCAGCAAGAGCAAACCCACCAACATATACTGCTGCCGCACCGTCGGCACAGCGGAACGTATGCCACAACCCGGTTGGAATCTCCGAGGCGGCTCCAGCAACGCTTTCTAGCCTCCGTTGAGCACCGTCAGCTGAAGCAGCTGAAAGAGCAGCATCAGCCGGCCCTACCTGTCGAACCACTACGAACCTCGTTAGGCGTTCGCCTTTCGGTAGAGGCAGAGGCAGCCGCCAAAGAAGCAGCAGGAACAGCAGCTGCGGCCGCTGCTGCCCGGCCAAGTGGCAGCAGCGCTCGCGGCTGCTCACCCTCTGATACAGGCACTCCAAAGCACATTCAGCAGCAGGTGCAGCTGCAGCCGGTATGCAAGCCCCCCAGTCTAGTTTCTGCTCGGGAGGATGGCATGACTGCAACGCCGAAGGCAGAACGGAAGAAGCCCACGAATTCAGGAGGATCTCACTTGGAACCAGCGGGGGTTTCCTCAGGGGGACGCTGGTCTCCTGCGGAGCAGCAGGCAGCAAACGCTTCTCGTCGAGCGCACTTGATAAGGAAAAGTTCTCCGTCCTCGCTTTTGCATATCTGCTCCGCAGTAGCCCAAGAGCAGCAGCCGCAGCAGCAAGCATGTGGTAAAACGGGGAGTACGACCGACGCATCCTTGGCTGTTGTTGCTGCTCAAGCCGCAACAGCATCAGGAAAGAAGCGGTTAGCCGAAAGCACAGCCAGTCCGATGGAACTCAACAGTTGTAGCACAAACATAAATTCAGCCGCATCCTCAGTCAAGGGCATGAAGAGTGCTTTGACGCCAAACCTTTTGCAGCCCGCGAGGCGTCAGCCTTTACCGTTGGAGCAACCGCTAATATACGATGTGTCTGCCGAAGCAGTAGCCCCTGTGGAACGGCCCTCAACGCCGGTGCGCGCTGAGCTATTAAGGAAGCGACTGGAAATGCTGCGAACCAAGGGGAAGCTCACAAAAGACACCTTTCCGGCAGCAGAAGTAGCAGAAATCGTCAGTGGCACAAGAGTGGAGAGGGAGGGACCTTTTTCCGTGTATGTCTTGGATAAGGACTGGTCTCTCGGGTGCAGTGCGTTAGATCCTGAGTGGCCTCAGAGGATGCTTCAAAATACTAAAGAGGGCATAAAGCTTCATGCAGAGATCAATAAGCTCCTTGCCCTTGCAAGGGAGGTACAGATAGCCGATACGCGCTCAACATAATGTTAACCCAGATGAGGAGCCCAGGCAACTAGTAGCTGCTGTGTTGGGTGCTGCTTTTGCTGCTCGTGCTGTGGAATTGCATTTACCGAATCATCGATGATCTTAGCTTTACTCCTCTTTGAGGAGTAAAGCCTTTATTCTGTGTGCTTAAGCCCCACCAACTGCATAATAGGTGCCTGGAGGGCGAGCTAAACTAGCTAATGCAGCTGCTGCGTCAAACCTCTACCAGCAAGCAGCATCAAGTCAACTTGGTCTTCATTGAAGCCAACATCGCATATGACAATTTATTCGGACTTGCCGAGTTAGTGGTGTGGCTGTCCATACTCTGCGTCGGCTGCTGCCAACGCTTGCAACCCTCCACCTCCCACTCTCAAAACTCGTCCATTTGCTGCTGCTTCTGGGCTCCGCTTTCATGCCACTTAGACACGTGTCTTTTTCTGCAGCTAGCTTTTATGACTGCCTGCTGCTCTGTCTAACACTTCCGTTTGAATCACTCTTCATCTTTGACCTTTGCTAGCACACGTACTCATGCCTGTTCTCTTACGGGCTTGCAAGTGTCTACATTAGCTATAGGAAGCCTGCCTCCAGGCTGAGATGTGTATCTGTTTGATTCAGCAGATTACTTCTGCTATACACTGGCTTTGCTAAGCTACACTTTGAGGACTTCTAGACAGGACAGATTTACTGGAGACACACCTAGAACGATGATCTCTTCAAGCTCTAGGACCACATTGTATTTGCTTACGCTCAAGTAATGACTGAAAAGGTTGCTGGCTGCATTAACTGGCTGCTCTATTTTGTCAACTGCCACTCTCCCCAAGGCCGTCTCCAGGAGCTAGAGATTAAAAACATCTAGATGCGTTCCAACGAGTTAGTTGAAGATCAGCAACTGTTCATTATTAGGGAAAGCAGCACACTGCCACATCGCTGTGCCAAGACTCTTCCGAAGCAAGCGCTTCGGCGGCAGTGCTTTTCACCAGAAGCTTTGAAATTGCTAGAGAAAAAGAGCATCTTGCAGTACACCAGTATATTTTTGCGCGCGTAGCCAAGATTGGAAAACAGATGTGTAGTGGTGTAGCTGTTTGGCAGACAGAAAAACCTGTATTATGATTCCTAGGCCAGCGGAATCTGAGGGCTGCTCAGTAAAGCAAGAAACCCTCAAAAGCAAGAACCCAGATTGCCAAACACGCACATCGTTTTTAACGTCTTCTAAGTTACTGTGCTAACAGCTTTGAGTGACAGGATGTCCGCTCCAGTGGGCGTCTAGTTTCGAGCTTCTCTGGGTCAGAAAACTTGTTTTGGAATCAGTTTTTTGAGGGTCCTTTCAAAGCACCCTGAATGCTGGAGAGCCCTTTGGCAGTATAGAAGATTTTACATGCCGTCTGAATATCTCTAATCAAAAGGCACTTGTGCCATCTGTCCGTAATTGTGTCCGTCGTGTCCATGTGTGCCGCACTCTTCCGTTTCACCTATTTCAGTTTCGCCTATTCTGATTATGAGGTACTGTTTGGAACATCTTTGCCAAAAGCAAGCCACTAATGTAACATTCGCAACACGTAATGTTCATCTGTTCAAGTTACGAGTGTGTTCAGGTGAATCCAAAAGTCTAGAAAAACATTAGCAAGTTGGATGCTCACCAGCATGAATGCACTGCTTACACGCTTACCTCACTATCGGCACCTTGCTCAATAGTGCGCATATTTGTTAGGCTTTTCGGGGACCAGTGCTAGCATATCCGTAAGCACGTTTTGGTTGCGTCTGCTATCACGAGTTTGAAGACTCCTCCGATGTTGGTTTTTCTACAGAGGGCCTCTAAAGGCTTCCCCCGAAGCATCCCATGGAAGGCACCTTTTGAGATTCCTTATTTGCTTCAATATACGCTGGACAATCTTAACGCTTTTGCGTTTCATTTTATTTTTCCAAGGAGTCTTCATTTACGGGATGCTTCCAACTGGGACACCATGAGTCCAAGTTCATGGGGAGCCTTGTAATCACACGCGCTTCCTGTACAAGGCCCTGCAATCACTTGGAGTGACATCGTAAAAGGACCATCAAGGGCTCCACAATAGCAAAGAAAAATCCTAAGGTGAAGATAGCAAATATGTGCTCATCAGCTGGAGGGGTGGAGGGATATAGAAGTCCCGACTCCTGAGTCAGCATCACCAGAACCCCTGGACCTTGCGCATGTACTGCCAACTAAAAATGAGCATGCTCGTTGGATATCCAATGCCTGGGTTTTAAGTTGTAAGCCTTAATATTCAGTAGTAATTTCGGTGGGCGGGATCTGCAGGTAACCACGATCGAGGTAACTTGGTGTACGGCCAACGACAAAAGGTTTATTGTAAATGCATGACTGACCGTGAATCGTATGAGAGCAGGATCGATATCCTTTGTCATTTGTTGTGAGAAGTCCACTGGTGTTTCTACAGACTTGAGGATGGCTTCTGCCTTGTCAGGTGGCAGAGCAAACAAGGTGCCAGGAGTAAGGGATATGGATTTGGTACAACATCTAGCCCACATGTGATGCAGAGCTGATATCATAGATTCGTCCTCTCGCATTCCCTGAAGGCACCCAAATGGCTGGATTTACTGCAGTTGCACACAAGTACGAGCCCTCACTCCTGCATTTATGGTGTACGCAGATAAACAAGTGCGCATCACTGTAGAGATGTTGTGGACGTTTCTGCTCGTTAGGTGTGGATTGAATCGTTTTTTTTGGTCTCAATGCGTTGACGTTGGGCGTTGTATTACTTTTGGAATAATATTTACTGTACTGTGTGTAAGGCCACTTTTCTAATGGGTCATTCGATGTAAGATGAAATCTCCATGGCAACTTGCTTAAAAAGTGCTCGGTGCGTCTCCATGTGCCGATATGAGTGTTCAAGGCAGGCAAATACTACGTCTTGCCTCTGAGATTTAGACAGTGCAGATTCAAGGCTACATGATACGCAGACAGAAAAGCAGCCATGCGTGCAATTGTCTAGAATTCTGAAGTATCACCGGGCATGTGCTGTAGAATCCGTACTATTGGCTGTCTGCCTACTGCAACCCTCCGTGTTCCCTTTACACTATTGTGTGTTTACGGTGTGATCTTCCGTGATTGAGTTGCAGCACAGGGGCTTGAGGTTTTTGAACATGTGACCTACAGGGACACGTATCTAAAATATAAAGTCTGCATTGCTCTTGCCGCATCCTCTCATCCTCTTCTGCGGAATCAGGAATATCTGCTCCAGGGTAAAGCGCGAAGGCTGTCGTTTGAGCCCGCTTCAATTCAGACTCCAGCACCCTACTCCAGAGCCGAGAATCCACTCCCTCTATACTGAAAAGACGTGACTATGGTGAACTACGTCTAGTCACATAGGGGCTTTTGGGCAGCTGCCCCTTGATATCCTTGTCGTATATTTGTTCGCCGATGATCCACGATCATTGGGGATAGAAGTTGATCTGTAGATAAATCTGAAAGATATTGGAGAATGGTATAATGAGGCTGCACGCCTGTACGGTGACTGTTGAGAAAAGGATACTACGGAAGGGATGCATCTGTTGCCTTCTTATTTTGCCTTTTCCTCGCTCTCATGGCAGAGTGCCCTGACAGACGAACATGGAAGAAGCTTCCTCATTTCACGAAATAATCAATACGTAAGGCTTTGGTCCAGCAGCAGAGTGCAAAAAGCATTAAAAATCTACCTTTCAGGAAAACTATTGCAAACAAATTTCGGGCAAGTGACTGGACATGCCTGCCCCTGCGAGACAAGGCTCGCCATGTAGGAGCTGTCTAGACTAATGCTCTCTTAGCTATGCAAATCCAGGTGAATCCATCAAACCACGCATAATAACATCTTAGATAATGAATTGGATGTAGCCCGATCGATGAGCGCAACCCTCCTGCCTCACTTGTCGTTCTTTTTGCCATCCTGTGAGGAACTCTTAGAAGTCTTCATCATTCTGCTCGCTACCAATTTTAATTCTTTCAGGAAAGCAGTTTTCTGCTTAACACGAATGATTCAGAGGTTCCATGTGGTTTTGAGATAGCATAATATCTAGGTCAGACTTTATTCCTCTGTGACCTGACGCGATGGCCTCTGCTAGAGGGACCAGAGATGTGATCCTTTCGACAAGCTGCTGCATTCTTTGGAAGTAGAAGCGGCGCTCGCCATATTTCGTGGGCGTGATGCAAGAGATACAGGCCTTGCTGTTGGTCTAGCTACATGGTCTTTCGCTAGGGGCGCATGAAGAAGATTCAGAGTAAAAGCACACACTGAATTCGTCCTCGCAGATGAAGCTAACCCACTCCTTCATATGTATGGGGAGACGTGCATGCTGCCTAGGTTGCCCACAGTGCAACCAATCAAACTGTGAAGTTATTAGCCGATAGGGCTCGGAAGATGCCCATACGGCATTGAAAGCACTGAAGCAAACTTGGCTGCACCCAGTAAATCCATCACCAAAGAACAACGAAAGTCATAAGAAATGCTATTATATACACTATCAGTCCAAAAATGTTGTATGAAAACGGCAATCGACGCACCCGCACAGTAGTCTATCGCACTGGGGCGGGCGCGCGGGAATATATTTAAAAAGATTTATCCACATATACTAGAAATGCTAATTAAGTGGAGGTAAATTGTGTTTGGTGCAGAGTAGGACTGACTGCCCGGCATGAAGAACTTCGCTTTCTGTGCGCTAAGATTTTCTATGTAGATGCTTGCAAATGGCGAACATTGCCGGAGGAATAAATTTAGTAAACCCGGTTGACCTTCCTCGCTCAGCGACATACTACTAGCTATCGGCACTTGGACGAGTTTGCTCCTTTGAAGGAATGCATGTTAAGCTTCCCTAGCTTGTGATAGGCTTCGTTGCCTCAGGGACAGTACTGGTGACCCCAGCAGGAATATTAGGTTAAAATGAGCGGAAATGCGGATACGAGCAAGCCGGTACTTGCTTCTAATGTGTCTTTCTTGCTTGCACTGGTTCTTGTTTTCAGGCAGTCATTTTCTGATAAAACGAAGGACACCATGCATTTCAAGCTTTTGAGCTCCAAAGAGGGTGCAGGAGTATGCCGGTGTATGATTTGATACCAACTTAAGAAAATATATACCATCCCCGCAATGGGAAGCTGGTAAAGTATAAACTAATTGAGTTTTAGTTTCTTTTAAACTAATGGAAATGAAAAGGCACTTTGCTCACAAACGCATACAGCATTCAATAAGAGTCTTACCACCGAACGATACTGGGATTGACTCAGGCACTTGGAAGCCTCAAAAGCATGTACTACGCTAGCATCCGTATCCAAAAGGAATTGACTACGTATACGTGTTTTTGGAGATCCCACGAACTGGTGTTTACAAATATTGAAGGCGACAACTACAAATTTGCGAAAACAAATGGAAGTTTCATTTTTTACTTTCAGAGAAAACTGTGACTGTATAGGCCTGTATTCTGCAGCTGCATTTATTTGCTCATTATTCGTATTAAAGTGATTGCCATGTTTCGTTTTGTGGATACTTGCATGCAACTAACTGGGTTGGTGGTTATCACGGCTTACTGCCTGCCAGTATCTAAATAAAGCAAAAAGGCGCTTGAAAAGAACATTAATGTAAACACTTTTGCAACGAAACAGGAAATATAGACCAAATGCACAAAATAGCACACGGTACACGCGAAAGTCAGTGAGTGGCCCTGCTACTCTAACCAGCGAAGTTGGCCCCTTTTTACAGCCACCTATATCCACCACTTGCATGCTATTGCCTGATGCACGTAGTCGCATCTAGTATACATGAACTAGCAAAACGAATGAACGCTAATTTGTTCTCCGATTAGTGGATTATAGTGGGCTCATTTGTTCCTCCATGGCCTCGGTCCTACCGACTGGGAACAGGAGACGTGCAGGGGCTGAATGGTCACTTTGTTCCATTATGACACTTAGTGTGAACGCCTCCCCCCAAAGCAAAGAGATATCTGTGCATTTGTTTCACTTCACAAATCTATCATCATTTAAGAGTGCACTATCCCCCCCACCCGCATTAATAGTTTCATCCTGTTAGCTGGTACAACACCATGGTGGTGATACATGTGAAGACAGCGGACGACCAAAACCAGTTTTTATTTGAAAGTTCAACAAAAGAAAAAGTTAAAGATGTCGTGTCCGCTATTACTACGCTTCACCTAATAAGACTGCAAGCCCTCAAGGTAGCTGAAGCAGCGGAGGCCTTGGCAACCTATGGACCTCTCCGACCTGAGGAGACCAGAGGTCTCACAGAAGAAGTCAGATAAATCCGAAGCCATAGCCGATAGCTTATAAGCTCTGAAGGATAGATGGATTGGACCGTGCTCGTCAAGATGCATAGAGGTGTGGGCTGCTTTCTATGTTTCCATTGCTAAATGCCGAGTGTCCACGCAATGTGTGTTATCAGGTGGCCAAGCTGTCAAACCTAGATGTTTGCCCTGATGGAACCCCCACGAACCCAGATCCACATCTTTATAGGACGGGTGTGCCTCCTGCTAAAGAAGTGGCAGACGTCATTCTGCGGACCTGCAACGAAACAAAAGAGGCTCTTTCCCACAAAAAGGTGTGGCACGAATTTGTACACAGCTTGTAGTTTAGTCGGAAGGGATTAGGGTTTGCTGATTAGGTATTCCCGGACACTCTCTCAGTGAGTTGGTTTCGATAAAGTACACTGGGTATACATAGGGTTAATCGACAGCCTGATGCGGAGCCAGTGGACGCAGCACACAAGCAAAGAATGCACAGGACAGGTTTAGAGCTAGAGGCCAGAAGGGCGCTCACGCAGACACAGGTTTACGGGCAAAAGGGATTTCATTCGCTAACAAAATTGTTAAGTGTGGGAAGAGAGGCATTTCGGGTGCAGAGGATGGCGTCCCTGAGGACTAAACAGCGAGTTACGAGACTGGGTAGTCGCCTTTTGGAGCGCGTGGGCATACGTTCAAATCTGACGTGTAGGGCTTACCCTGAAACGAGGCCTTAGTCTGAATGTGTAACTATAAGGGGTTAGTTTGACGTAGTCAATCGAACAATGCTTTTTTAGGTAGAGCTTCGCGAGTGTTTGACTCTAGTAGCTGCAAAGGAAGCGCTGAAGGTCTTGGAAGGCGCATTGCAAATCGCATACCCAGCAAACCACGGTCTTCCCACTTGGGAACCAGCAAGATTGCTACTAGAGGGAAAGGAGACAACTGCCTGCCCAGGAATTTCTGAGGTATAAACGAACTGGCGAGGCAGCTCAGGCCCTCCACCCGTTGACGTAGACTTTTTGCTTATGCACAATCTTTCTAGTTTTCTTGTCACCGCTTGCACATCTGGAGGTACTAAGCACTTTCGTAACTAGATTTCCATAAGCGGTCTGCATCATTTTGTTGACAGCATTCCGGAATTTGAAATAATTTGCTGTTCACTGCAGTTACTCTCCTGTCTCTCTAAGGCTCGTTACGAGTCTCAATAAGTCCCGTGCTTTTGTGGTTCGCACCGCAGCAGACTTTGTTGTTTTTTCGTGCTGTCATCGTTGCAGAGCATTACCCTAGAAAATGCGTGCTTGTGGTGGACGGGAAAGCAGCTGCATCGGGATGAATGCCTTTCCAAGTACCTGGGGACAAATGAAAAGACAAGGACTGTCATGAGGCTACAGCCAAACAACGCAGGTTTGCCCAAGCTCTTTCAGTAGGGTTAAGGGCCCTGAGTGTTAAGTGCTTATGAGTATGCCTCGTGGTTTTGAATCTCTTATGGGTCGGAGGGTGTTCACTGCGGGTCTGATTAGTGTACTTGTCATTCTATTTCATAGTTGTTGTAGTGTTCGACCTTTCTGTTGGTTTCTTCCATTTGCTATTATGCCACACTTCCTTGGACCCACTCCGCAGCCATCCCACAACAAGTGGGACAGCTGCGCATACTGATAATCGTGCAGGACCCCCAGTTCGGGAGCCGCGTATGGACGCGGAGACTCACAAGGCAGTTCTTGCGTACTGCCACAAGAAGAGACAAGAAGACAAGGTGGGGTGATTCTGGACCGGACTACCGATTAACGCTCTCACTGCCCCCTTTGCTGTAGACACTACATGCCCTTCCTTTGGTGTTACTGCTGCCTGGGCTTTGCTGGCTGCTGTCGTCTACTTCCATAAAAACTGTTCCATCAAAAATACATTTTCATTAGCCACTATTTCCTATCGACTAATCTATCAAAACCTTGCTCGATGTTTGCCCCTGTCTGACTTTTTGTAGCTCAGCGAATGACTTATGATCTAAGTAGTTTTGCCACCTCATATTGACACCTAGTCTTTTCTTTGTTTGGTTGCAAGTGTTCTTATCCTTTCACCCTTTTACTAAAACTTGTCTGCCGCCATGTATCAGGCGTTTGCGGAAGATGAAGATGACTCGTATTTGTATTCTCCCTGGGCGAACCCCCGTGGCCTGAAGGATAGTCTCAGCGGGATCATGGGCCCAATTAAGTGGAAAGTGTGATAAAACCGAACGGTTGCCTTTACCTGTGGAGTCACTTCCTGCAGTGGCTGCGATTGCTGCACCAAAGAATCATCCATATAAGGGCTGGTGGGATATGCCATGACCAACATGAGGAATAGATTTAAGTACATGCTAGGGACCGCGAACCCAGAGAGACAATGCCCCCTTAGCCTGAGTTAAACAGCTAGTCATCGCCGTCCGAGAGCCTATCATGTACTGCAGGGATAGGAGTGGAAGCATGCTCATACGTTCCAAAGGCACAAAAAAGTACTTCTCCATACATATTAATAGATTATTGCGCTCTGATATGCGACGGGACAGTAGGAAGCTGCAATGGGGCATCCTGATGCAGTAACGGAGAGAAACTCGCAGTATGCAAATGTCCACAGCTTTGTGCTGTACAGAACATAGAGTATTCCGATAAGTAATGTATCACAGTTTGTTGGTGCCGCAAGATGATGAAAATGATGGATGCAGCCACATTACTGGTTACTAATTCTGCGGAATAAAAAGCACAAGCTGAAGATATATCTGAGAGCGGTTTACCCTGCAATGACCACTTGTTGGTTGGATGCGTGCTCCATTGCTCAGTCCCTTGTGTTCCCTCAGAGTTGCTTTGGGTTGTTTAAAGGGGGCTGTTCTCGAGGTGCTGCCTTGCCGCGGTGTCGCTTTCTGTATGCTCTTGCAACTTTCTTGCCTCCAAAAAGAAGGAAGCAGAAAATCAGCATCACACAGCCACAAGAAAACCACCAGCTGTCCCTCCAGTTCGTCCTTTGCCAAGCTGAAGGCATCGTGCCCTCCTGAAACATAGGACAGAGCATTAACATGAAACGCTTACACCCTTCGACAAGGCAAGATCCTGGAAACTCAGGCTAGCAAAACTTTACACTCTAACTGCCCTTCGGCCCCAGCCAACTGGCGCAACCCTATACCCAAATTCTGAACCGTAGAGCATGCACTCGGTGTCCTGGCTGACTGCAAGTGCCGCAATGGCTTGATCGATATCCAGAAGTGTTCGCTGAGAAAACTTCATCGGCGTTTTTTGGGGCGTCATAAGGGCCTTTGCTTCATCATGAGATATATCGGAGAGCGAGATAGAAGGTGGGAAGGATAGAGCCTCGTTGTAGCAACCAGCCCATGTAGCCTGAGCCCATGCCTGCAACAAGTCGTCCTGCTTCATACCCTGAGCGCAGAAAAGCAGTCATCGCCTGCCAGCATATCTAAAGAGTGCGGACCTGTAGTAGCTGCGAATTAGATCGAAAAGGTACAGGGACGTGGCAGGGAAGATACTGAAAGGGAGACATGGGAAACAAGGCTACGTCAGAAAAGGGACAGGTAGAGATCTCGACAAAAGGAGCCAGTTGAAGGGGGAAGAGTTTATTTGAAAACATAGATGACATCCATGAAGGCAGAAATCACACATCCACACAGCGGGAGAGATGGACAGGCAAGAGACGGAGGAAGCCAGAGACATCAAGAGAAGGGTCTTATGGAGTGATGCTGACTAGTTTGGGCGCTTTTGCGGCGATAAGCTGTTTGAGAAGGGCAACATTGGCGATGAGGTGTCTTTTCGTCATAGAGAGACAGAAGAATACCAATTCCAGACGCGACTCCAGATGCGCAACCTCCCTGTACCACATAGCAATTTGCATACTTCCACATCGGCCGCTTTATCCCGCTGTCTACGTCGTGAATTTGCCTAAACCAACCCATAGCTGCCTTTTCACGTCTGCTTTCCATTCCGCTAGTCAACCTTTTCCCCTCTAGGCGCTGCTCCCGCCTTCAGCCCAGCCTCTATCTGTCTCTCGCCTTGTTCAACCGTTCTCGACCCTCAGCCTCCTCCCCTTTTTGTAACAACCATGACCATCAAGGCACCTGACGCCACTGAAGCCATTCTACACCGCAGAGTCGCTCAGCTACACTGTCACATCGACTATTGCTGTTGCTGTTAGTACTCACCTTGGGGATAGGGGGGGAAAGACTACTGGCTCTGCGTTTGGTTTTAGAGAGGCGGCTACCGAATCCAGTTGTTCAGAAAGCGAATTCAGCAACGAGTCGCTGCTGTTCATGTTGCGTTTACTGTCGTTGCTGTCGTAGGAAACGGTATTGGCGATGCTGCCCTCGCTGTTGCCAATTTGAAACTGGCTGGGGGCAGCTGGAGCTGCTGTGGCTGGTGCATCAGCACCAGATGAAGAGGACGCTCCAAGATACACCAGAGGGTGTAGCTGCTCCCAAATGAGCAGACACGCCATGCTGAGAAAGGTGCTGCGTCGTATACCCATATTCAGTGTTATTGTAGTAGCCGCTGGTGCCGCTGTTACTGATAGGGGGACTCATGAAGCTGGAATCCTCAGTGGTCCCGCATTACGTAGTCTGAATGCTGCAGATACAGCAGCAAAAAGTTGCAGCAGCTGCCGTTGCACGTGTTGCAGTTCGTCCGTATTCTTCCGCAGCACGCGGTCGGTTGCTGCCCCAGCGTTAATGAAGTACCCTTGCTTCAGCAGCTCCTACTATCGTAGGTGCTTCTTTCTATACGCAGAAGCAGGAGGGGCAGCAGCAAGCTGCGGGTGGTTTGTCTTGCTGTGGTGAGACGTCTTTTGCCGCTGTACACCGGCAAAAGACGTTGCCACCACTAGCAGCAGAGCTAATGAAACAGGGAATGAAAGCTCTGATGGGATTTAATCGTTGCTATTGTAGCCAAACCCTCAGCAATGGCTGTAGGAGCACGAGCAACTGGCATGGAAGGGCGAACTGCCTGGTCCCTAGAGACACCGAGACCGTATATGGCCAGCAGCGGGCGGTGCTAGGGAATTTTTGTGCAACAGTTGTAAAGAGTTTCCTGGGTTAATCTGTAATACATTTGATTCTTTAAGTATTTCTGTTTCTAATCACTGCTGCTGTCATTGGTGCCGCAGCAGGGGCAGCAGCAACGGCTGCCCTCGCGGAACCCTTACAAAAAAGGTCGCAGCGGGGTTTTTTTGATACTTCCCAGAGGTACTAACCCAATTTCTTGCACGAGACAGCGGCTGTCGTAGCTGGCTCTGTAACATCAGTATCAACGGCGGCAAGCACTGTTGCTCTGGTTGCAGGCAGGGCAGTAGAGGCATCAACGATTTCTGGGGGGAACTCCCCCAAGTGGTGCTGCAGTTTTCAGGGATTCTGTTGTCTTTGTCTGAAATAGGTCTAGGAATCCCTGGTTATCGAGTTCACGCGTCCTTTCTGCCTTATAACAAGGCACAGACTCTTGCAGTACATACTATCCCGCGTGCAGAAACGCATAGATTCTAGATGGGTTACCCCTAGACAAAAGAATGCATCAGCGACAGCAGCAGCAGCCGACGCCTTAATGCTTCCTAAAGCTCCTTTTACCAGGCAGCAGCGCCTGCCGCAGGACCGCTAGAAACAGCGGCTGCAATGGTGGGCGACTCTGTGTCTCAACTTTCCGCAGTAGTGCATGCACTGCGCTTAGTGGCCTGCCCTACAGCTTCTGACAGCCGCAAAGATCTTGCAAAGCAGGAGTTGCTGCGGCGAGTGGAACTGTTGTTGCTATTGCGGCAACAGCAGCAATGTCAAGAGTGGCGACTCCAGCAGCAGCTGCAGCCGGTGCAATTTCCGCCTCAGCAAGAACACCAAAATCTGGATTGGGAGTGCCAGTGGGAAGAAGAGGCAACCACAGAAGCTGAGGTGCTCCTGCAGCTGGAGGAAGCGCTGATTCAGCTATGCTGCCAGCAGCCTCCTGCTGCCCTGCAGCAGCAGCTGCTGCGTCTGCTGCTGTTGCGTGTGTCTCTTTCTGGCGATCCAGGGGTGTGGCTCCGAGTTGCTGCGCGGCTTCTCTTGGCAGCAAGCGAGGGGCTGTCTTTGCCTCCTCCCATTCTGGCGTTTCTTTGGACAGCAGCTGCAGCTCCTGGTGCTGCCTCTGCTGAGAAGGCAGAAGCAATTTCCCCCTTTCCTCCGCTGTTGCTATGTGCGGAGCTGATGAACGCAGGCCCTCATGTGCTTTCTCCCTTGCTGCCTGCTCTTGCGGCTTGTGGAGCCAAGCTAGTGCAATCACCCGCAACACCAGAGGCAACAACGGTAGCAGCGGTTGCTAAAGCGCTGCGCACTGCAGTTGCCGCAATAGGGGTTTGCGGAGAGAGGCTTTCAGGGAAGCTGCTCAAAGTCGCGCTGGCATGCCTTCGCTGGAGCACGACCAAGAGTGTCAGTCAAGCCAGCTGCAGCCACAGCAAGAGTAGTCTCAGCAGCAACGCGGGCAGCGAAACTGCAGGAGAAGCAGCGAAAGAGGCCTTGCTGATGCTACAGCAAGTTGTGTGGGTATCCCCACGGAGTGTTACTCAGCCCCTTTGGAATTCGCTGTTTGATGCGGTGCTTGCTGCTGCGGTGCCTGAGCCTTTGGCGGCTGCGAGGGAGGCAGCGGCTCTGGAGTCAGCACAGGAAAACGTGCCGCATGCAGCAGCTGCATTGGCAGTCCTCCTTGCTGCAAAGTCTGTTACAGGGGCGAAGCAGCACAGGGGGCACCATAAAAGCAAGCACTCCCAGCAACAGCACCGCGCAGCCACACAATTCCAAGAGGCGTGTGAAGCAACAGCAGAAACACGATCATTCGAAAAAAAAGCCAACGACATGGCAGCGCCTCCCGCAGATAGCTGGTTCACTGACGCCAATCGTGCCGGAGGCTTTGGTGCTGATCCTGTTAGGCGTTCCCTCCTCTCTGAAGTGGCGACCCCACAAGACGCCTTTCTCTTTCTGCGGAGACACTGGCTGTTGCAACATGCGACTATAGCAGACCCTAAGAAGAGTTATGCGGGATGTGCAGTGCCGGAGTTTTTCCCCGTGTTTCTGCCAGCAACGACACACCTGCAGCATGGGCAAGAGTTTCCTCTGAAGATGCGGCAGCGGGGTGTTTTGCGTCAAATATTTGCTTCTGCAGTGGTCTGCCTCTGCCGCTTGCTAATGGGGTGCCAGCCTCCCTTCACGCTTGTTTTCAGCGCCTTTCGCTGTCTCTTGACCCTACTCACTCAAGTTGCAGCAGCAGAATCTCGCTGCAGCTCGTGCAGCAGCGGCGATAAACGAGGAAGAGCTGGCAATTCCCTGCAGCCACCACGCTTGAGATCCTGCAAGTGCTGCTGCAACTGCGGTAGTGACCGCTGCCTCACCCCTTGTGTCTCTTTGGAAACACTGCACTCGCGCGCGCTCGCGTCGCATGCAGCGCAGCAGCTTGTGGCACTGCTACAGCCACAGCACCTGCTGCATATGATGCAGCACCTCAGTAGGCCAATAGCAGCAGCAGCAGGTGGGGGAGCGACAGAAGAGAGACTCGCTGCTCGTGGGAATGCAATGCAGCAGCTGTCGCGTGCAGACGGATCTGCCACATCCACTAGCAGCTGCTCGCCTGCTGACAACGGCGACACGCACACGCTGGTTCTCCTTGCGGCTCTAGACATCCTAGAAAGCCTAATAATGGCAGCAGGGGACAGTATTACCCCTGCTGTCTCCTCCGTACTTCAGAACGCACTGGTATCCGTCTTGACAGCGGCTTCAACTCCCAGCCAGCCACTGCACCCGCAAGCGCAATGCGTGATGTGGCCTGCAGTGCAACGCCAAGCGGCTGCCTGCGTGTGGCGTCTCAGTTTGATCATGCCCTCTCCCGCCACCCTGCATTCCCTCCGGCTAAACCTGATGCAAGCAGCAGTGTCGGCTTCTGCTCCGGCTACTGCTGCTGCTGCGACGGCTGCAGTTGCAGCAGCAGTAGACACGAGCAACGCAGTTGAAACAAACGCAAGACAGAAGCTCAAGCCATACTTTGGTCCATGGGGGCCCTGTATTGGTCTGGCTGCCTCGATTGCTGGTGCGCCTTCAGTTCTGCAGCATGCAGCGTCGGCAGCCGCAGGATCGAAAGCGGCAAGAACTCCTGCAGAAGTTTCAGCTACAACCCCACCAGAAGAAACATCGGAGGAGAGGGGCCTCGAGGAGATCACTGGTAAGCAACAGGGTGCAGTGCAGCTCCCACCACATGTGGTTTGTTACCGAGACTGGAATCGTAGCCAGAAAAATTCATTGTTCATGCTACCCTCTCCTGCACTTGAGTGTATATATATATGTATATGTCTGTGTGTGTGTATATGTATATATATATGCGTTTCTGTGTATATATATGTGTGTGTCTATATATATATATATATGTATGTATGTGTGTATGTGCCGTTGCATTCGTTTCCTTAGATCTCTGCTGCCGTCTAGCGAGAGGAGAGACAAGCGTGGAGCGAGCATGCCTCTTTGTGCTTGTTGAGGCTGTGTTGCAACAGCCTGCTGCTAATGCTATGGGAGACGTATCCGCCGAGAAACCGCGCCTTCTATCTCCTGCAGTCTCCTTGTTCCTTAGGGCCAGCAGGCAGGCTCTGTCTCTTACAGATCCCAGCAGCAGCATCAATCGTCTATTCTGTGCTGTGGATGCGGCGGAGACTGCAGCGAGCACGCCATTGGAAGGAAGCGGTCTGGAAGCGGCAAAGGATGCTCAAGGAGCAGCAGCAGCAGCGACAGTCAGCAGTTTCCTCTTGGAGCTTTCTTGCGCCTTCAGGGCTTCTGCAGCTTTCTTGCGGCAGCAGCCCGTTGGAGCGGAGACGGTGGTAGCAGATGGTGAAGACAGCGCTTCCTCCAGAATTGTGCCGCTGGTCTTAGAGGCGGCTCTTGCGCTCTGCGTCTGCAGCTGCAGCAAAAGCAGCACAAGAGGCACCCAGATTTCACTCAGTCCTCTCAAAGCCGTGAGTCGTGAAGGAGCTGCAAAGACGCAAAAGCAGGCGCTTTGTCTTCGCTGCTGCTGCGTTCATGCTTTCCGCAATGCGACAGCGCACGTGGCTCTCGAGGCAGCAGCGCTGGAGTCTTTGTCTTTCGTGCCCGACATAAACATCCATTGTACCGAGGAGCAGCAGCGGCTTATGTTGCAACTTGCGCTCTCCGCGACAACTGTCAGCAATGAGGAGGCCTCCCAGTTTCCAATTGCGGCAGTTGCCTGCTGCATCTGCCCGAACGCTGGAGCCGCCGCAGCAGCTCTGCGTGTCGCTCCTCTAGAGCAGCTGCAGCAGCAGCAACTCCTTATCGAGCAGCTTGTGCAACAGCAACAGCTGCAGCGAGGATCGGCAGACCCATCCCTCTTTATTGGCTGTGACACAGCGGCCGACAGCTTGAGCGGTCCTTCATTTTGGGAAAGTGTCTGGCGTTGCGTCGTTGATACTGCCGCTGCATCCTGCAATGCCTTGCGTTTGGATACAGCACAGGCAGGAGGGGTATCAACAGCCAGCCCTTTAGAATCGGGTTGGAGGAGTTGTTACCCCCCTTTCGTTCTGCGCGTGCTGCAAGGCGCGCGACTGCTGCGACACTTGACGCATACTTTTTGTGGCGTGGACGACTCCCCTCCAGCGATAGCGGCACTTGAGCAGACAGCTTGGGCAGCCTGCTGCAGCTGGAGCAGACAGCTGCCTCGAAACGCTGCTCTCGCGGATGCTGCTGCGCATCGGAGGGGTCGTGCCAGCAAGCGAGGTGTAGCTGCTGCTGGAATTGCGTCTCAAGGCATTTGTAAGGGCCTTAAGGCCAGTTCCAAGCAGCAGCAGCTGCTGCAGCGCTTCGTTCTCCCGCGGCTCAAGAGGAAAAGCAGCGCTGCTGCAGCTGCCAGTTCTTCAGCCGCTACTGACGATCCCGCTGATGATGCAGCCGTCCACCAGATCTGTCAACAGAGCTGTATTGCCGCTGTCCTCTCAGACATTTTCAACTCCCGAGTAGCCTTTCTTTCAACGCACAACACGCACCAGCCTCGGCGGGAGCCGCTTCCCCTTCCTGTCGTTGACTCCCTATGGTGTTGCTGCGAAAAGGCCTTAGCAGCTGCGTCTCCCTTCGAGCGTCTCCTCTTCGCTGACGCGGCTGGAGCTCTCTTCAGCCTCTTGAAGCATGCTGCTCCCGTACAGCGGCGCGAGCACCAACAGGACCAGCTCCAACAGGAGAACGAAGAAGAAGAAACGACGAGGCTGCATGCTATACAACGGCATGTCAGAGCCTTCTTTCTTTCAGTGTCTCCGGCAAGACTGCCTCGAGATGCGGAGGGAGCGTCACGGAGCAGCGATGCCACACTACTGAATCCAGCTCAACTATGCAGCCTTTCGCTCGTCGCTACAAGTTTGCTGCCGCTGGTGCAGCCGTGTGTCTGCCTGGATCGCGCAGCAAAAGAGACAGGATTCGACTCTACCAGCAGTTGCCGCGGAGATATCTTACAGTTTGCGCTGACAGCGACATCCGCCATAGAATCAGCAGAGGACTACCTCGCAACGTTTGCGCCTCCGCACCCTACAGCGGCTGCAAGCGTCCCCTTCGGATGTGCACTTCTTTGCGTCATTCGCTTCTTAGGGGCCTCTCTACCTGTCGTCGCTGCTCTAGAGTCTGCTCCGGGAAGCAAAGTCAAGACAGAAGAAGAAGAAGGCGCTCCATCATCGGACCTCTCCGCTTCGTCCTTGTCGCCTTCTGACAACCAGGAGGAGCAGCTGCCACTGCAACAGCAGCAAAGCGTGCTGCAGCAGCAGCTCTTTAGGGCCATGCAGTTCTCCCTGCTGCTGCGCGCATCGCAGTCGTTGTTGACACCTGCCACGGTGCTGATCGCAGACGCTGCGCGACGTCTGTTGCTGTCTCTGATGGAGCAGGCGAATGCAGCAGCAGCAGCTGCTGCTAAGGAACCCGCAGCGCTCACTGCGGCCATTGAGGGACCTATAGCTCATGCGGTGAGTGCAATACAAAAGGCACCCTCTACCACGTATTCGGGTTGCTGCTTGCATGCCTTCAAGCGTCTCAGAGAGAATTCAGATGAGCAGGATACTGCCAATCACCTGCGGCCTGTGAAGCTCCACGGGTTTGCGTTAGTGGAGCAGTGTTTCTTTTTGTGAGTTGTGCCTCAACAGCATTTATTTGGAGTTTGCAGCAGCAGGTTGGTGTGTGGGGCATGCTTGCAGGCTGTCGAGGCCGCTTACCTCGTCTCCGTCTGCATGCAAGCTGGAGCAAACTGCAGCAGCGGCAGCAGCAGCAGCAGCAGCAGCATGGCCGTACTGCTACAGCTTGTTTCTGCGCTGCCGGCAATGCGGTGTGTTGCGGCGTTGCTGCGGATCCACGAATCCAGCTTAACAGCGTCAAGTCGAAGCAGCGACATACTCGCTGCTGCGTCGTTATCGCTGCGTGCCGTGATTCCAGCTGTAGTCGCGGCAGTAGAAGCTGCCATTGCATGCCCATCTCTTGCTGTGCGCCGAGAGGCAGTACGCTGTCTTCAATCTCTGTCAACGCCTCTTGACAAGACAGAGTGGGGTTCAGTTGTTGCTGCTTCTGTGGCTGCTGCTGCAGCGGATTCTGAAGTGGTTGCAGGCGCCACTGCACCAGTTCCAGGAGATCCCCAGGTGGCCCTCTTCCTGTTCGAAGCACTGAACTCGGAGCGAGATTCTCTTCAGCAACAGCAGCTGAAAATGCTGCTGCTGCAACACGTCAAATTATGGGGGGTTCCCAACGTGCTCCAGTGGGTGTCGCTTTTAACGTGCATCTGCTGCAATGGTGTTGCCGCGTCTCCCGCCCTCCGAGGCTGTCTGTCGACCCTCACGCCAAACGGAAGCAGCCACAGCAGCAGCATTCCTCCACGTCTGTTGCCGCGTGCCCAGCAGCTGCTACCGCAGACGAAAGACGCTTTGCTGTCTCCACTTGCTGTGCCTCGTTTGGTTCCACCGCTCATGGGTTTTTTCTGGCGACCTCTCCCGAGCATATCTGCTGCTCCTCCTTCAACCTCAACTGCAGCAGCAGCAGACGGTGACGTTCTGGAAGAAGGCGAGACGTGGCTTCCAGAGGATGGGGGGGCAGACCCCGAAGTGCGATCCGTCGTCTGCGCGACAGCCGCAGAATGCCTTGAGGCCCTTCTAACTCTCCCAGGTGTACAGCCACCTCGATGCAACAGACATGCCTCGGCTGCGGTGCGGGAAACTGCAGTTCAGCACGCAGACGAAATTGACGCTTCGCTGCCCTTCACAGAGAGCTCTACCCCCGGCTTCTGTCCCCCCAGTCCTGATGGCTTCGCCAGCTGCGCTGGTGTTCAGACTCCAGAATCGTGCATCGCTGACTGCCTGCCTGCGCTGGTACGAACTGGCTGTGAGCTGATGCTGCGGGGTGTAAGGCAGCAGCAGCAGCAGCCGTCCAAGCAGACAGCAGAAAGCGGAGCCACACTCGCCTTTTGGGGGCTGAGACTGGTCCTTCTACTGCTGCAACGCTTCGCATCTACGGCGCAATCCCCTGCTATGTTCCGTGACACGCCAATCCCAGTGCTGCAGCAGTATGAGGTTGCGATCTCCTCGACGGTTGCTTCGCTGCTGCGTTGCTTTTCGCCTCTGGAGCCTTCCATTCTTGCTGCCACAGAAGGGAAGGAAGCAGCTGCAGTCGCCGCTGCAGCAGCTGCAGCTGCCGCTGCAGCAGCAAGGGCAGTGGGGAAGGAGATGCAGTCGCGTCGAACAGCTGCCTTGCAACGTCTCCGCGCAGCAGCGACTGGAGGAGAAGCGGAGGATCGACGCGAGGCATGTTACTCCCCCCGCCATCAGCAAGATCGCATGATTGCCATGGGTGTGGAGGTTTTGTGGAGATTAGCGGCAATGGGCTGCTGCCTTAGCCCGTGGCGGCTCGTTGGTCTGCTGCTGCTTCCCCTGGGTGACGAAGCGCAATCAGCAGCAGCTGTAGTGACAGCAGCAACTGCGAAGCGCCCACCGGAGTGGCTGCTGGAGCGACGTCTGGCCCTTGCATGCCGTCTGCTATGTTCTGTCGTGGCTACGCCTACAGCGTGCCCTACCTCAGTTCAGGCTGCACGTCCGATGCCAGTCTTTGCAGAGCAGCGAGATCAGTGGCTAAGCGCTTTCGACTCGCGTGCTGTTGCTCTGACGCTTCGCCTTATGGGAACTCTCCTTCAGAAGAGTTCGCATCACGCGGAGCAGCAAAAACAGCAAGAGAGTGAGGACGCTTTCTCTAGGGTCGATCTTTTGCGGTGTTTGGCGGTTCTGTGTGAGCCTCTTCTTCCGGAAAATACAGCACCTCCCCCCGTTGCGTCTGCCCTTGCAGCTCTTGCAGTCAGCGAAATGAATTCTCTTGCAGCTTGTGTAACTAAAGGGGACCATGTAAGCTTGGCAACCCCCCTAACCCCCGCAGCATCAACAAACTTGGCACCTGTCACGGCCATTCGCTCCAACGCCTCTCTCTTAGATTGTATCACGGAAGCTTTGCTGCTGCCTCTGGAGAGCGCCGCTGCGTCTGCTGTATCAACAGCGAACACTTCAGCAGAACGGAAGGATGATGCTGCTGCACCAAACAGTCGTCAGGCACCAACCGAGGAACTATGTTTGGCTCTGGAGGTGAGCAGCCGGCTACTGGGTGTCCAATTTCCGGTGTCTCGACAGCAGAGCGGCGAAGAACCGAAGGATGCTCATCAAAATCTCCTTACAGGCTCTGGTGATCCTGGAGATGCAGAGGAGGATTGGGAAGGCGACTGGCTTGCGGCAGATAGCGGTGTTGATTTTGTTGCTGCTTCGGTTCCTGCTGGGGACGTTTTTGCTTCTTCTTGCCTTGAGCCTGCTGCCACAGAAACCTTGTGTCTTCTTTCCTTGAACCCCTCGACTTTGAGGCGAGGCTGTGCCTCTGCACAAAAGCTCGCAGTAGCAGCAGCGGCTGCCTTTAGAGTAGCACGACAGGCGGATGGGAGGAATGGGGGAGTTGCAGTGCCACTGTGGCAACAGGAAAAGTTCGGGGCAGGAGTGGAGAAGCCAAAAGACACGGCATCCGCAGCGGCTACAGCCGGCAAGGTTCTCTCTAGCTGCCTGTGTTTCATGTGGCGCTTAGCTGCTGCATTACAAAGCCACCCAGAGGCACTTGCTGGAGACGATGCGGCTGCTGCATTCTTTGGAGCAGCACGGGAAGTCTCACGGGCTGCCCTTTCCGTCTGTGGAGACGTTGCAGGAGAAGCCTGGCGAGCAGTGGCACTTGGAGGCAAGGCAGCACAGCGAGACATGAACCCCCCCCCCCCTAGCGGCATGTGTGAGGCTGCGCTGGCCTTGCTGCAGCGGTGCTTCTGTGTGGTTCCTCGATTCCCTGTTGCTTGCGCAGCAGCTTCTGCAGTGTCTATGCTGCTCACTGATTTGGAGACAGCTCTATTTCCCGCCTGCCTGTGCGAGGGACCAGTCAGTGGCCTCTCTCCGGTAGATGCTGTGAAGCTGCTCCGTTCCTTGTATGACTCGGCAGCCCAGGCAGCTGCAGCTACTGCTGCGGTAACAATAGGCGAGCACTGCTGTCCGCAAGACGATAGCGCCCCCTTCTTGAATCATTGCGCAAGTACACTGGAGATCGCGGTATCTTGTTTTGTGGGAGACTTGGCTGCTCCTGCAGGAAGTGAGCCGACAGTGGAGGCAAAAGGAAGGCGTCTTGCGGTTGCCTCTGTACGGGCAAGAGAAGCACGGGGTGTTCTTGCGCTTGCCGCTGCACTCGTTGCTTTGGAGTCTCTGGCTGCCACGGGTTGCCCCTGGCTCAACAACAGCAGGCAGCAGCAGCAGCAGCAGAAGCCTGCATGGTGCGAGAGAATTCGAAGTGCCCTAGAAAGGCTTAGCGAATTTGCATACTCACTTGAGGCAGACTCAAGGGTGTTTGCATTTCAAAGCTTTGTATCTACCGCAACAAGAGACTCCGAACGAGCTGCTTCAACACCCGCGTGCAACCAGAAGAGAGCCGAAGCAGCACTAGAGCCGCGTGCCACTCTGTCTGTAAAAGAACCAACCGAAGGTAAAGGTTTGCATGCGAAGCCCACGGAAAAGCCGACAGATGCCCCGCTAGCAGCAGGAAGAAATGCTGCTGCAGGGGACGCAGCAGCAAGCTGCATAGAGGGTCCAGCACCGGAGCTGACGCTTGCAACGGAACAAGCAACACGAGACGTCGCAGCAGCAACAGCAAGGAACGGCACAGACACGCAAGAAAAATCGATGCTTCTCTGGCCAGCCGATCGCCAATATGCCGCAGCGCAGCTACGGGGTGTGCTGCTCCGCTTTGCCTCTCTCTTTGTTCATGAACGCACCTCGACTGCTGCTAGCAACCCCCAGGCCTTCCCGAATCTGCTCGTAGCAGCATCTATTTCATGCCTCGCCTCCAGCCTCTCTCCGTGGGCTTTCAGGACGCTCCGGGAGCAGTCTGTCCCTCAAGACAGACAGCAGCACCCTTTGGAGACGCTGGAGGCTTTTTTACTGCGTCTGCCACCGATGAAGACGGATACAGACAGCGTGCTACATTTATCTCCACTTGCTGCCTCGCTCGTGGTTCCTCTCAGCTATGTTATTGCCAATGTAGCTTCATATGACTGTACAGGGAAAACTGCGTATGATGTTGTGGCTGCAAATCTATTGTATGTTGCCGTGTCTCGACACCCAGCAGTCTGTGCTAGGGCTATTGAAGCAGCAGCAGCTCTGCCGTTTGAGGAGCAGCCGCTATGGGTTGATTCGCTGTCTAATGAACCAGCTCAGGATGGAGATGCGGCACACGCTGCAGCTGCCACTCGCACACAGCATGTCAAGTCAGCTGTAGCATGTTTGCTTCAGCAACAGGCGAAAAGGCAGGAAGGCACAGAGCACTAAACAGGTATGCCCTCCTCGCTGAGGAGCCGCATAAGCGTGCATCTTTTCTGAGAAGCAGTAGCAAAATCAATGGGAGCGTTGGGAGTAAATTTAAGATCCAGGTCCACCGGAGGTAACACTTTCAAATATACTGCAATCTTGATCGAGAACTCATAACGCAGGAGCATTGAGGTAACGCCACTGCCTCTATGATGCCGCTTAATGACCATGCGAAACAGCCACTCATTTTAGCAAGAGCGGCACCGTAGGGCATTGCTGCTAAGCTCGCTGCTAAGTTCGGTAATACCCGACCGGCTGAGTACCAAAGTGACAGCAGCTAATGCTATACTTTTCAATGGTACTTTTTACGCGACCTTCGAAGAAGCGCCTCAGAAGACATTTTCTCCGATAAATCCAAATTCCAGTTGTCGACGTAAGGTGTCCTACTATACTAGTTAAATGCGATAAGGAATTTCAAATGAGCTGACTAATTGGCTTGGCCATCCGTGTATCGTGTTTATGGCAAAGTCCTGTTTGCTCGGTGCAAACTGACGCAGCGTTTCGTGCGTGTGCGCAACCAGGTCTGCATGCCCGGGTGCTTGGCTTATGCAGCAATGCGTACCCTAGCTGTCTCTCTTCCGTGATGTCTGGAGCTCTTAGGGGGCGCGGCGGGCAGGGGAATGAGAGATATCTTGAGAACTACTCAATAATTTCAATGAAGCTTGCATTATGTTGGAAGTTGAGTGTCATCCTGCGAAAGCCTGATGCGGAGGGCAACGCAATGCACTTAAGCAGGCTAAGCAATAAATGATATCATAGCTTTGTTCTGCCAGTTTGAGTAAACGCATGTTTTGTGTAACCAGAAAGCTACAGTGTGTGCCTGTGCGTGCGTGCGCATATACCCACATGTGCACATGATTCGTGTGAAGGGTATCATAACCTGCGCACACATGGATTGTAATGGGTAGCTTGTACAACCGTCAGTATCGGGAGGTGTAAACGTGTATAGGGCCACTGGAGGTCACACACGGTAAGGCCAAGACTAGAGTGGCTTTGCGAAGCACAGAGAGACGCGCCATGAGCCCGAAGATTGAGAAGAAGGAAAAACAACGAAACTTGCATTGAAGCGAGTGATACAGCCGGGGACATAGAGTATCATATTCAAAAAACTCGGCGAGTAGGGCACAGCGTGCAGGACAGCGCGTGAAACGCACGATGAGGTACCGTGCGCAGATGCGAAGATTTATGAAAGATACAAATGCAGCAACTTTCGAATCCCTCAGATCCATGAATTTCCACCGGAAATCTGGTCATGAAACTTGAATCGTTTTCTGGTAACCACGACCCAGTGCCGTGCCTTGCATGTGTTTGTATACTGACTAATTGCTGTGGGGCCCACCGATTAGGCACGTCCTTCTTCCACGCTCTCTCGCTAGGGCCCTCACTTTTGTGATTTACCTAGTCAGGAGCTGATGTTTCGGCTCCTCTCGAGGGCTGAGCTTGATATTTTTTGCAGAGGAGCCGGCAAACTGCGGGATCATGACGCTCGGTTCATGATTCAGGGTTTGTCTCTGGAGAGGCTCTGGGATGAGAAAATCCCTCTCTGACATTGCAAAGCTTCTATTTGTCATTTTAATCTGTTCTTCGACCTATTACGGATATGCATTTCTGCCAAGCCATAAGGGAAAGACGAGGAGCAGTAGCACAAACAAGAGCGCTGCCAGTCCAAGCACAAAGGGAGAAATGGGGGCCAGCCGCCTGCTTGACGGCTTGTTAAACCCCAAGAACTCTAGGCTCTTGTCATGCCTGTCGCGACGGCAGCACCCACAGCTGCGGAAACAGCCAGCTTGGGCAACGTGGTCACCTCGTTCTTCGCCGATTGCACGTGTCGGGGTGCGTGCAGACTGCTGACAATGATTCTGTAGAGTGCCTTCAGATGCCGATACACTTGAAGCGCATGTGTCGCCTTTTGGTGCCTCTTTTGCTTTAACTGCAGGTGTAGAAATTGGACTGTTGGAACGCACAAAACACCACTTGCACTGTGTGGTACACGTGGATATAGTTCTCGATAAAACACACTCCTAATTTCACCGATTCACATCTGCGCTACTGCTGCTCTTTCGTGGGCTTTTTTAGGGCTTTTGCACCGGTACAAGGAGTCCTCTGTCACCACGTCGTTTGGGGCCTCTTGCACTGCCTTCGTTGGGGCGTGCCCCCTCAGCGCTACAGCAGAATGGTTTTAGTAGCACAGCATACAGCGGAACTGGCAGCGGCATGCCGCTGTATATGGAAAGCGTCTCGGAATGTGTTGATGGCGGGTGTAATACAGAGCCGGCGGCACTGCCCAGTGCCCCTGAGAGCCTCAGTGATTTGTGTGGCTCGGTGTTGAAGGTGTACAGTGACTACACGGATCCCAACTACGCGTTGCCATGGCAAATGCAGCGGCAGGGTAGCAGTACCGGCAGCGGTTTCATTGTTTCGCCAGAGGCTGGCCTTGGGGGCAAGCACATTCTTACGAATGCTCATTGCGTTGCCTGGCATAACAGGCTACACGTGAGGAAGCATGGGTGAGGAGTTAAGCAACCCAAGCACTATGAAGCAGCATGTCTTGGTGGCCGTGACTGACGCATTCAACATCTGTGGTACTTCAGGACGTGGGAGCTTTGCTTGTTGCCTGGTGTTTTTTTCCTGTTCTCTCATGGGTGCCTCTTGTCGCGAGACTCTAAGCATGTTGAGCTCCGCAAATCGCTTCCACCTTGTCGTTCTTTCGTGCGCCTTGGATGCCTGTCAGTTGGTTCAGTTCTTCTTAATTCTTCGGTTCGCGCATGACTGCATTCTGCTGTGTCTGTTCTCCCCTTGCCCTTGCATGTCTACGGCATTAGCAGCAGGATCAGTTGCTTCGAGTTATGCCAACAGTTCCATCGGCAGCGATTGCTCTTTCAGAATACAATGCAACATCGGCGGCACGTTTCTGCTTGCGTGTGCTTCTTTCCAGGTCGCCTGTGAAGTTCCCAGCAAGGGTGCTGGCTGTCGCCCATGAATGCGATCTTGCACTTCTCACTGTTGACGATGATGCTTTCTGGACTGACACAAGAGGACTGCAATTTGGGGAGGTTGGTTGCTGTCTTTGCTGCTTTTGCACATTCTTGGTCTGCTACCCTCGCCGAAAGGGCACCTCAATGCCGTAGCTCTCCCATGCGTGACTTTGCGTAACTTTTGAACTCCCCGCTGTCATTCCCACCCGCAATGCAGCGGCCGTTTGTATTTCTGCTGGTATCACCGGCTTTGCATCTTTTGCAGCAGATCCCCGCCCTGCAAGATGGCGTTGTGGTTCTGGGGTATCCCCGTGGAGGCGACAATTTGTGTATAACGTCTGGCGTTGTTAGCCGCGTAGATGTCAACACTTACGCCCATTCCAATGCAGCGTAAATCGTAACGTTTAAGCCCCCAAACGTTTTGAATCTTTAAGTTGAATGCCCGCGGATTTGGCAGGCCGTATCGCACGCACGTTCGCGGTTTCTCCCGTCCCAAGAGCTTTCCAACAGTGCCACTGCTGGAGCTGTTTCCTCAGTTCTGGGGTCGTGGTTTGATCTGCTGCGTCGGCTTGTGGTGGCTTGGCATGTTTTCGTTTGGCTCAGGCTTTTGTGTGTCCAAATAGATGCTGCAATAAACCCCGGGAATAGCGGTGGACCTGCATTAAAGGGGGGCCGGGTGGTAGGGGTGGCCTTTCAGGGCTGCGAGGCTTCTGCAGCTCAGAACGTGGGTTACATCGTTCCTTGGACGGTGATTAGACACTTTTTTGAGGATCTCAGTAGACACCGCAGATACACGGGATTCCCAGCAGCAGGGGTTCTCTTTCAGCAGCTCGAAAATGAATCCATGCAGCAGAAGCTCGGAGTGACGCAGTTAAAGCCGGAGGACTTACCGACGGGTACTTTTAATAGGCGTCTGATACTGCCACCGTGCATTCAAGTTGCATCTTATGTTTTGGGGGTGTGGTGCTTGCACTGGAGCCTCACGTGTTCGAAGGTGGCCTTTTGTGTCAGGTTTGCTACGACTGCCGACGGCAAGGGGGCGCGTGCGGCTGCAGCAGCCTGCTGGCAAGCGAATATGCGACTTGGTGATACCGAGCAGACGGTGCATTTCCTTGGCTGTTGTTGCTGCCGCTGCTGCAGGTGTCACCGCGAGTGGAATCCTCGTGACAGCGACGGACGCCTTGCGCACTCGCAACTTCTTGGACCGTGCGAAGGCAGCTGTAGATGAAGCAATCTCAGGAGCCGCAGCGTCGACAGCAGAATCAGGGGGTCTAGCAGGACAAGTAGAACATGCCGAAAAAGGCCCAATAGCAGCGGAGGCAGCAGCAGATGGCAATGGTAAAGGGGAGGCAACTGTAGAGGATTCAACGCCGCTTGCGGATCCGTCAGAAGTTGTGCGCGAGGCCATAGCGCAAGTAGATACCGGCATAGGTGACGCTGAAGCAGCAGGCAACATGCCACCGTCAGCTGCCGAGCGCAAGGCGTTGATACACGAGGCTCTAGACCAACGGATTGGTCTTCGGCCTGAAGACGTGGTTTTGGCAATTGACGGAGTAGACGTAGCCGGTGATGGAACTGTTCACTTTAGGTAGGTACCACAGGGGATGCGTGTTCTCTCGGGATCGCTTTTCGGATTGCTCCGGTGCCTAGACTGAATCACGTATCTAGCTACGATGACACTGCAAGCACTACTGCGCCCTTGCGAATAAGAGACTTCTTCCGTACAACAACACTGCTGCGCATTCAATTTGGATATGCCGTTGCTCTTGCATGCCTCCTCTGAAACCGCTGGAAAGCTGCAATCGACTGCAGCGACCGAGACCGTAATTCGAGGCTTCGGCTTGGGGCGTGGCATTTGTATGCAGAGGAATGGAGCGAGTTAGCGTAACGAATGTCATCTCGGAGAAGTTCTTGGGGGAGACGCTCTCACTGACCGTTCTCAGGAACAGAAAGGTTCAAAACGTTGTGGTACAAACAAAACCCTGCAGATATCTATATCTATTGGTTGCACAAACAATACCGCGAAGATATATATAAGTATATATATACATACATATAGAGAGAGAGATAGAGAGATTTCCATTTTACCCCTTGCACCCATCGAGGTGGCGGTAATAGGCTGGGGTCAGATTGCCCGGCGTAGACGCCGAACTGTTGCATGCAGCTTGTCTACTGTCAGACGTAAAATCTGTGCCTGTAGCTGTTTGCCGGTTTTTACTCAGGTACCTCTAGAAGCTGAGAGTTGCCTGATACCCAAGCACCAGTGGGGGAAGAAGGCGAGATATATTATTTACGGAGGCCTTGTGTTTTGCCCATTGACGCTTGAATACCTTAAGGCGAGTGCAGGCGCAGGGGCGTTTATGCGAGGGCTGAAACTCATAGAGCGGTGCTTCTAGAGGGTGCCTGGTGATGCTTTTCTTGTATGTACATGGCTCTTTGCATCTAGGCCGCCTCGCTGCTTCCCCGCATGGCCTCTGAGCTGAGCTCAGCTGTCGCCTCGACGTCCATGCCCCACTGCACCCCTTTGAGTTTTGTTGCGCCTGTGCGCTGTGGAATGCCGCGGGCTGCGTTTATATACGGTTGCCTGGATATAACGGTCTTGACCCTTCGGTGACCAGGTGTTGTACTTTTCAGCTCGCTTCTGCCCGTATCGCGTGCTGCCCCCCATGTTGTTTATAATATCTTTTTCATGGTTGTACTACGCTACTAAAGGCTTTTCGGTTTCGTGTCACGTTTCTTCACAGGATGAATTCGGTCCCAAGTTCCATGAGAGAGCGCCCAGTACTCTACTGCGGCCTCTCTCAGAGGTGTTCGCCACGGTCGAAGGAGAAGAGCCGATTGTACTTACGCAAGTCCGTGTTGAGAGCTTAGATGTTTGGATACTTTGAGTGCCAGTCCAACACGCGGTGCATGAAGGAAGGTGGCATTGCGTTCGGCAGTCCCCTTCGCCGAGTTCTTTATGGTGATTGTCTTCATTCCTTCATGACCTGCATCTGAGATCGGGCAACCGCTTCTGTTTCATAGCCGTATTTGACGGGCTCTTGTGCTTCATTCTGCGTGTGTTGGCCTTTCAGATTTTGGCCTCTGATCTGACCAGTGGTTACAGCGTGCGCAACTGCATGCTCTCCAGCGTGGACGGAGTGAAAGTCAGAAATCTCCGCCACTTGGCGCAGCTCTTGGGGATTCAAGCACCTCAGCAGCAGCACACGCACCAGAAGTACCTACATTCCCAAAAGCAGCAACATCAGGAGCAACAGCAGCAACAAAGTCAATTCGTTACTTTTGTATTAGAGGAAAAATTCCAGGTAGTGCTGAACAGGGAAAAGGCCGAGGCTATGCTCGCCGACATTCTACAGCAGCACGCTATACACAAGCAGACAAGCGACAACCTTTAAGCAGCAACAGTTAGAGCAGCAGAGGGGCACCACGACCAGCTGCTGTACATTTAAGTTCCAGTATGCCGCTCCCCGGTGCAGAGCAGCTGCCTCAAACAATTTCTTGCGGCTGGGACCAACAGCAGTATTTTGTTAAAGTGGGTGAAGCAGTTTTTACACCTTGTCCAGCACCTCTAGTGCTCCCTCAGTTACAAGTATTTAGTCTCGAGCCACTGGCATGCATGGGCACCCACCGAGGGGAATACACGCGAACACAGTTTGACTGCTGGAAATGGAGACAACACGCGCTTCAACAGCAATCAGAGGTTCCAACGATACAAAAGCATTGCTCCACAACACGATAATCTAGTTGATACCGAATCTTTACGCCGTAGGTACAGTGAAACTGCAACCTGCAAGCTTCAAGATATCCCTCCCAATAGCGCGCTAAACTGCACTAAGGACTCGACACTAGCTTTTATTTAGCAAGAATTAGTAGAGTGCTGAGAAATGCGCTTGTCCGCTCGTCCATCATATTCACTACAGAGTAGCTTCAGCTCAAAACAGCAAGACGTCATGTTGTGCGGGCTTGCCCTAAATGCGATATGCAATTACTTGTGAATGCTCAAGTGCTTTAAGAGGGCAGGTGAGAGCACTTGAAGCGCCAGTCGCCCTCTAGTTCGGAAGTAGAGGAGCACTGATAGCAGAAAGAGAGTCCTTTCAGGAAAAGACTCAATAACTTCCTACGAAGTTTGTATTGAGTATGGAGTAAATGACTTCCTACGAAGTCCTTATGTGAAGCGCTAAAAGGTCATCCAACACTATACTAAGGCGGCAAATGTACAGGCTAGTAGACCAGTGACGCTGACCTCTGCACACACTGGTCTGTGCAGATAAAGTTGGTGCATGGGTGTATTAGCTTCCGTATAACCTAAAGCCCAGGGGATTCCAGTTCCATGATATCAACAAGCTGGTGCAAGATACATGAGTTCTCGTTGTGTACGCGTTCAAAAAGTTTCCCTGTACTCATGATTAACTTTGATTTCAAGCATAAAGAAGCAGAATGTGCAAGATTATGGCAAACTCTAGAACAGTATCCTCCCACAATTATCTACCGTGTAGGATGCTGACTAAAATTTGGCGTAGGTATCACTGATCATGCACTAATAGTTTCCTGAAGGCTGAGCACTGCATCGGCGTAAGGAACTACTAGATATTCAAGTATTAATGCATAGACGGTGCCCAGCTGTCAAGGAAGCAACTGGACGCGCGCTCGTAGAGGGTTCACTTCAAAGCCCTCTCGTCGCGTTTGCTATTATTTGATAGCCAAATCAAGTAGCGTGACAAAGTATTCAGTTCCTTTCTAAAGTTTGGCAACATATATGCAGCATAGTAAAAGTTTCATAGACTTCGCGTGCCGGCTGCACTCCCTAGCAACTTCTGGCCCGCCCCTGAGTGATCCGCTTCACCCAGCCCTTCAAGCCTTGTTTGGAAACCATTACCCACAAGTGCTCTTGGATGGCAAGCAAATTAGAGACTGCCGTGTCTTGAATGGGTTCTCTCAAGCAGGGCCCCGCACTGTTTTTGTGGCTCTTTCTGGAGCTAGAGCATTTTCCCCCTCTTTTATCTGCGGATATCTTGCGTAGATCTATACATCAGAGGAAATGTCACCATGTGAAGCAACGGATAAAACAGAGAAAGAACAGAGCTGTGCGATTTTTTGATTTGCGGTGAGCTGGTACTACTAAACTCAGCTCACAGTATCCGATCCGCAAGCACTACAACTATATCTCAGGTAGGAATATTATACTTTTTCCATGGATAAGAGCACGATATGAGGAATGCAGGATTCGTTGCTCGGGAGAGTTCTGGGCTCGATTCAGTGCGAGAGACTTTTACCTGTGGGATTCATGAACATACACGGACGTAGCTACTCTCCACCTGCCATCGACTCCTGCATTTTTGAGTACAAGCCTTTTCTCAGGAGCTTCAGGATAATATACCAATAATGTCTAGCTCATGGGTCTTCTATCGTACTCGTTGATGACCACAGTCCCATGGGGCCCCAGTGCCTACAAGGCCCTCTCAACAAGTGGTCAGACGCTCAGTCTTCATCATGTTATGCTCTTAAAATGAGACCTTATTTGAAACTCAAATGGGGAGTCTCTGGAGGGAGCTACACCATTGTGGGGTCACTCTAGGTAGGACATCCCAACCTTTCGCCAAAGGTCATAGGATCGCTCAAACCTCAACCCCTCAACTGCACATCTATTGTGTCTTATTGATTTGTTCGATATTTAATAAGTTTTCTCTCTAAGTGTCCGCATATAACTGGTCTCCCAGCCTCCCCCGCCTTTTCGCACAATGAAGCAAGATCCCCCTGATCCAGGGCCTTCTGGCAAGGAAGGACTGCTGATTCAAGCTAGAAACAGTGCTGAGACTGCATCCAGACGCAACAGTAGCAGTGCTGCTATCTTTGGAGGTGGAACCTCCGGAAGTTCTTCCTCGACCCTAATGGGAATCTACGGAGCGCTGTCCAGCTGTGCAGCTGCTGTCGCCCTTCAGCCCCTGGACGTCATAAAGACCCGACAAGTACATCCTTGTGCTGTTGCGTGCATGTGTCTCCTACTGCAACGATAATACTCCGGATGTTGTCGCTGCTGCTTAATCATTCAGTTGCATCAACGCCCTCCTCGCTGTCACGGCTTCTCCTGCAGTTGTAATGACACCCTTCTTTTGCGGCACTTGCGCTGTGTGTATCTGCAGCAACAGCAGGGAGCTACAGGTGTGAAGGTCTGCATCAGGACTGCTGCAGGGGCCATACATAGGCAGTATGGCCTTTTGGGCTTTTGGAGAGGCTCCATTGCCACTGTCCTTCGAGTCGCACCCGGCACCGGTGCGCACTGCGTAAGAATAGGTTTAAGCATCTGAGTAGCAGGGTTTGAGTTCATAGCTTAGATTTGGTGACTATCATTTTTCGATAGCCAGTATCTAAGGTTTGGGGTCAAAGTTGCGTGTGTTTCTGTGGGCATCAGGCTTGTACTTTTCAGCGCTAGGGCCTATGATGGGAACCTGGGGAACGGTGGCTCCTCTGTTGCGTTGTTTGCCTTTGGATCGCCTGATGGAAACTTCTTCGAAGGTACCATATTAGTTCGTGCACCTGCAGCAACGTCCGCTGTCGTTGCTGTGCAAGCATCTAGTGCAGCGAGCGCCGCACGTCATGTTCCAAGTATGCTTTCCACTGTGCAATGTGCCTCTGTATTTGCAGCGGTGAATTGTTTATGATGTGTGCAGTTGTTGCCTTTTTCGATCGTTGACTTCGTGCCTGTTTCTGCGTGTGATAACTCTTTCATTTCAAAGGCATTGACTGCCATCTTGGGAGGTGTCTGCGGTCCGTTGTCTGGCTGTCTGCTTCTTCTACAGCTCGACCCGAACGTTGTTCCTGCATGGTATCTAGGTGTTATCTCTGGGGTCGCCAGAGGAGCGGCAGTCGTTCTTTTTAACCCCATATCCATTGTCAAAACGCGCATGGAATCCTCGCTGGTAAGTGGGCAGGCCGAACAGAGACTAGCCGTCTTCAACAAGCGACCGCAGCTGTGCTACACGTTACTCTGCCGCGTCTCATGCGATTCTTATCAGCTGTACATATATATATATGACGTGCCAATTTCAGGGAGTTCCTGGTCTGTGCAGCGTGTGCCCCTCAATTTGTTGGTGCTGCTGCCTGGATGGTTATGTTTCAGGGGTCAGGAAGCATGATGCAGTCTTTCTGGCACTTACTGCGGCATGAGCCGCCGCTTAATTGGTGTCGGGGCTCTCTGGCGACCATTTTTCGCGATGTACCTTTCTCAGGTTTATTCTTTGTCGTGTACGTACATTTAAAGGGCTACCTGGGCGTAGAAGCTGACTCTAGAGAGAACGTCAACTTCTATGCACTCCAAAACTTTGCATGCGGCGCCGCTGCGGCTGCCACAGCATCAGCCATCACGCATCCTTTCGACGTGCTGCGGACACGGCTGCAGTTGGATGCGGTGGCAGCAAGCTTAAATGGGTCGACGGCAAGTGGGAGTAACAGCGGTCCGTCCGCTATAAGGCACCAAGGAATAATGACACGGGTGGCAGAACTGGCGAGGACTGAGGGTCCCAGCGTTCTGTGGCGGGGTTTGGGAATTCGGCTGCTGAAGCGCAGCCTGATGGCTGCGCTGACGTGGACCTCCTTTGAAGAGATAAAAACGGCTGCCTCTGGCTCTTTGGCGCCGGCCGCCGCTGGCGAAAGGAACGGCTAAATTCAAGTGGATAACAATGTACATCGATCCGTTTAGGGTCTAAATGTGCGCGAGATGTAATGACTGCAGACTTCGGTTTTGAACGCCTCCTTTGTAGGTGCTGTGGTCGCACGGTGGAGGGGCACTAAGCCGTTGACGCCAAGGAGGCCTCAGCTGGCGTGACTTCAAGTGCTACATGGTTCAGTGGCTGGAGGGTGAAGCTTTCTTCACCCGCAAGACTCTTCTTAGATGCGTACAATGCCGGCCCGCATATGTCATTTTGCATACTTCCTTGCAACAACAACTGAGCACGACCTCCCGTGTACTTCCAACTAGTGAAGTGGGTAATACCCACTCCAAAATATTTAATGTAGTGGAGGGTTTACATGTTACCTATTCTATCAAACAGCCTAAGCACGGCACATCAAACGAAGTTATACCCATATAAGGAGTTTGGATGATACTTTGAAGTTTCGCAGCCTTCACGCTTTGCCTCTTGAGCATTCTGAAAGATAAGCCAGTTTGTGTGTATCTACAATGGATATGCCCCCATTTACGCTGGATAGAACCTCTAAGCGTCGGCACAGCTACCCGTCATAACGGAGGGAATGCTCTAGAGTTAAGAGAGTTAAATTATTAGACATTGAACAGGCAGCTTCACACTGCTAAGTCGTGCTTTCTTTGCCTTATCGCAGCGCAAGGCATCCTCAGTTGGCACAGAATACCCAAAGGTAATGTATTAATACATAAAAGGCAAGAGCAACTACACGCGCACTGTAGGTGGGTGTTGATGATTCCGCACATCAACGAAGTCATTCCGCCTGCAGCTAATCCAGGCAGCATCCAATGGAACGGTCACAGCAAACACTACTCCGATGCAGATGCCCCTTAAGCGTAACAATTCAATCGACCGTTTGCTCCAATATTCACCAAGTAATGCAAATTGCCCTCGCTGTGTGTCTCTCATCCTAAGATTCTGCTGAAGACTAGCGAGTAGATGCGTTGCAGCTAAAGGCACGAAGTATACTAGTACAGTGAGCTACCATTGTTTCTTGGCACTTAATGGCACATGAAGGAACATCTATAGGAATAAATCCTTCAATACCGTGCAAAAGATGCCTAGAGTAGAAAGTAACTAATCACTTTTCATTTGTCAAAGCGAAATCACGCAATGCCCGCTTCGCTTTTGCCTTGCTATAGCGGATCCCCATAGCTTCCCTTGAATAGAGTGACCCCTGTAGCGCAGGTCGAAAATTGCTCTATGATTAAATCTGGCCATCGCCTGCCATGGAATCGCGTAGAGCGATTTAAGTACAGCAGTACTGCAGCGAATAGCGCAAAAATAATGTGGTACATTTGCATGTAGCAAGGGAAGCCGTAGTTAGTGCCTTCTAACAAGCCCTTTCTGTTGTTGCACATAAACCGCTAATTTTAGGGGATGCCCTAGAGGGGTAGTGAAGACGTACATACAGAACCTACGGGGCAAAGCGGTTCTAAGAACTCATGGCAAAAGAGTAGTCTTCGATTTGTACTATCGTCTCCAGATCGCTTTCATAGTCCTTGACGTCTTCTTCAATGCCCAAATCATCAAAGTCTGCAGCATCTCCCTCAGGTGAAGAACCTCTGAAGCGCGCAGCACCACAGGTCCACGGTGATCCTATACCGGCAAGCAGCATCAAGTAACTTTGCCTGCCCATGAATAATTGCACCCTCAGAAACCAATGCCCACGAAGGAGACGACATATATTTTCATGGCCTTTCAACTTGGGTAGCTGCTTACAGTCCACTTGAATACGCAAATGGCCCCCCTACTGCTAGAGCAAAGAGGGCGACACCGCCAACGAGGCAACCAGCAATCAAAGTGTTATTGTTGCTTTCGCCTGAGGAGCCGACATAACAATAATTCGCATTCTACACATTGGGATTTTTCTGCGTAACTTCCCAAGTCCTACTATAGGTTGACATATGAGCCGTAGGGCCTTGATATTCTCAAAGAGAGCAATGAGCCTGTTGGTTTTCGAAACTTTAACGAGAAAGCCTGTAGGCTTCTGTTGTATACCTAGAGGACAGGCAAATGATTCGCACTATCCAAGAATAATTTGGTTGGAATAAAACTCGTCACGTCTAAATTGCTTACTTTCGCCTTCCGTCGATTCTTCTGGTGTAGCGATTTCAGGTCCAGCTACTTCTTCACTCTCATACTCCATATCCTCAAGACTTTCGCAAAATGTAGGACTGCAAGCCTCCTCCCATACGTGATATAGTCTCGTACAAGACTGCGAAGCTTCTGCACTCAATTTGTCGGTTCCCCTATTGAGCCACAAAGGGGAAGAATAAAGCGATTGCCCGAACGCCTTTGCCGTACTGTTTATTTGGGCTCGGCATAAGAAAATTTCTCACCAAAAATGTACATTTCTAGAAATGCAACCAGTGGAGGAAGCATTGGCTAGGGCACTGGAAAGGATATGCTGCCCATTTGGTAGCAAATGAAGGGAAAGCATCGCAGCTGTTACGCAATTGCTGAAGAGATTGACGTTTCGATATTGAGTTTACCTGTGCCTCTGACGGATGCTGCAAGGAGCATCGCATGTAGTCCATGAAGTCCATTCCGCCTCAGCCCCCTCGCAACCAGGCTCTGTTTTCAGTTACACGTATGCTCAAGGTATAATGCGACGAGTTCATAGATATCGTAACTGGCGCCCTCGTGGCCTGTGCCCAATTCTATAATCTGTTACAGAGCAGAGTATGGCGGAGTCTTCTCCCGAAATAAGTACCCTACCCGAGCATGGCTGCGTATTGCATTCCACGTCTTCCGATAGAAGGGCACATTCACCACCCGCTGCAGCCCTCGTTCTTCGTCTCGCACCCCCTCCACATTCAGCAGAACAAGGAGTCCAGCTGCCCCATTCGCTACAGTCGAAACCAGCTGCATCAGACAGCACACTAGAAGTGTTCAAGTTACGTTAAACTCAACGTCGAAAAAAATGTAACGTGAGGCAGTGTCGAATCCTAGCTTACATTTTAGCCCTATCTGCCAAAACGGCAGCACCGCAATCTGTAGCATCACAATTGAACCTACAGTAATGTGACCTTTTAGTTGCCTTCCAAGAAAATGCCACTATCACCAAATGAAGACCCTAATTTCACACATTTCTGCTGACGCGCGTTCCTGTGGGGAGTTATCGTAGATGCGTTTGAGGTAGGTGGCTCACAGGGGTAGCGCATGTCAGATACGACACGTACACGCGGAAAGGCATACCTTTGCATATCGCGGGACATGGCTCTTCACCCATGACTCCTAGACCATCGTCACATACATCTGCACCTGTAATCCTAAATCTAACTCTCTTGCCTCCACAGAGAGTGGAGCAAGTGCTCCATTCTGACCATGGAGTGCATGTGGCGCCCTCAGTGAAGACTCTTGATGCCTGCTCCGAATGTATGTTCAAGTTAATAAGAGAGGTAGGATTACCTGCAAAGTCAAAAACATATGGGGTTAGTGCAGCTGCTAGGTCAATTCGTGCCGTTTCTGAAAGTCGTCCCTGTCTGAAGTGTGCAGTGGTCAATAGTCCGCGTTTCCCACTCCCCTAGGTAATTAACCATATTCGTACCAATTGAATGAACGGGATGGTAGGATTCTGGATATGCGTAGGATAGCTGTGAAGAGTAGTATTCTGCAACCTTGAGAAGGAGTAGCACCCATCGGGATATATCCCGTGCCCGCCGCGGCAAGGCCGGACACACCATTGCGGCAGGCTGGCGAACTGGAATCTGCCAAGGTTGGCTACGGCACGAGACACAATGATGAACAGAAGAGTACTAAACGCATATTGCTATGTGTGGGAGCCATTTTAAGTGGCACACTACCGCAAGGCACTTCGTGTGAGCGCTGTGGCACCGCCAAGCTATGGAAGCCATCGTCACGCAATCTCGATTGCTGTCCGGAGTCGAAACCTCTACGGGCTTTATTTCTCATTACGAAAGCACTAATAATGGTTGTCAAGCAATTAATAATGTATCTGAGCCGAAATTCAAGTAACGATTACCAACTGTGAGCAGTACAAAACTGACTCCGCATCAATGGATCGTGAAAAATGCCTGCCTTGCAGGCATGGTCTCAGCGATGCTTCCACAAAACTTGCACGTCTTTATTTGCCATCAAGTGTTAAGCATAGGAATTCAGTAAAATAGGCTTTTCCTTTCGCCTTAGATCCGGTATTCCCGTGCTTCATGTCCAGCTCGCTAGGTCACTCCCAAACTTATTCAGCCCTCAGGTAGTGACCCAGTGGGCTTCTCAGCATTGCTTCTTTAACTACTTGAAAGGATTCGTTCAGTATGCACTAGTCTGAGCACTAGTCGAGCAGTAATACATTGCATAAACGTTCGAATAACCCACAGAACTAGTCTCGGTACATCGCTAGTGCGACGCAGCGTCGTGTGCAGGTCTCCCCGGAGTCTGGCCGGCTACTTTTTGCATGTTAGACTAATATGATAAGAATCCAATACTCAGTACTAGGTTGAGTCAAAATAACTTATTCTCGACGAGGTTCGTGTAGAATATACGCGATGTTCCTGGGGAGATTTCTGCAAGAGATTTCACTGGAAACGAGCTAGAAGAATACGTTAACGAGTACTCGCATTTCTGAATCACCTTCTTTCTTTAAGGCTTGCTCACCGCACCAGGGCCTACTAAGAGCAAAACATTTTTTCCAACTGGCATATGCATGATTGTGAATAGGACAAATATATGCAGTCCAATTTCAGAGCTTGTTTAGACCATGTATTGCGAACACCGACAAGCAGACGCACATGGCCATCAGCCTGATCCCGAAATAATTTGCTGCTGAAGATAAAGATAGTGCTAGTTTAGGCGCAAGAAGTCAATATCCCCAGAGCAAGTGAAGTGTGTAACTGTGGCTCAGAGAAGCCCTACCTTATTTGTTTCTGGTGGCTTTCTAAATTCTGAATTTATACTAACCCAGCTTCCTCTTAAACAATTGACTAGAAAGCTGTAACTTTGGTCCTTCTGTGCTTCTTGAAAATGCAGACGCTCCTCGTACATTGACTAACTTGCCACATTGTGAAAGCATTGTGCTTAGCCACAGGAAGGTCAAGACCCTTAACACCGTATCTCTCACGCAATAAATGTAATTGTTTGGATTCCTACTGAGTAGATTGAAACCGTGTGCTCTATCTTTTACCTGTCGCAACAGCTAATTAATACTGTCATTAGAAAAATGGCACGTACACATGGTCCATTTATCGCCGTATGTTCTCTGAGCTAGTAAATCTGCAGCAGGCTGTTACCTACACAGAATCCCCATTGGCGTCTGATGGTCATGGAATCACAAACTGGCAGCTGCATGACCGGAAGCCCCAGTGTGCTGTGCAAGAACTGGTAGTACAGGAAATGTCGAAAAATAAATGAGTTGGGTGGCTTTGCATCATTGATAAGCAAGACTACCTTCAAATGACAATGGCTGAGTAAATTATCTTGCATAACAACCTTGATGGTAGTGATCCCACACCTAAAGCTTCGATTAAACACAGGTGATTGTGATGACTCTAGCAGAATGCAGACTCAAGGCTCATTCAAAGTCACAGTTCTACCGATTCACCTTCAGAACAGACAGGTCAAAAATCTCCAATCCCAAATTAGCACGATCGAAGCAGAAGCTAAAGATTTTCCCCAGCTCATTGGTGGAGTCCCTCCGTGGCGTGCTGGGGATAGTAGAACTAAAGTAACCCGTCAGTCTCTAAGGACCACTACTTTCGAAGGAATTCGTGCAATCTAAAGATGATACTCCAAGATCCTTCCCACGTTAAAACGGGCCTCGACAACAGCACGTACACTGCTACCCTGCGACTTACTAGTCCGCAGGCAGAAGGCGTTTCCCAGAATTTCATAAGGATGGGCCACATCGCAGAAACTCTTCCTTGTTGGTAATATGAGGAGAAGTCGTTGGTGCCTCACCGTAGAATCTGAATTTTCATAGCTCTTGCTTGTCCCAGTAAATGCCGATTCTAGCACATGTGGGTACAAGCTTAGTGCATGATATTTCAATCTTCTCTATTACTGCACCCACGTCCACTGTGTGGCTTTCAAAAAGAAAGCAATTAGCTAGGAAAGTTTTAAAATATAGCTTTTTTCGAAAATGCGGCAACTGCTTGGAAAGGCTCAAGCAGAGGTAAATCTTCTGGTGGAATTCTGCACGGCTGGTCCAAGGGGCCGTTTACTGTTGTTGTCGCAGTTGCACGTCTCAATAAAAAGCGAGTGAATGGTTCACAGCTTAGAGCTTGTGCTAACGCAGCTGGAAAAGTGAATCTTCACAAGTTAGGAAGGTTGCAAAAGGACGTTTGTGAAAAGCTCAAGACTCCTAAGGTAATGACCGGAATAGAAACGATTCTACAGGCCTGCCTGAGGATGTTGGCACCTATTGAGTATATTAGTATATTCTGCACGAAGCACAGAGAAACTATAGACAATTCTAGAAGAATTATTGTGTCTAATACTTCCTCTCCACGAGGTCCGTGGTGATGGCTCCTTGCTTATGGTTTATTTTACAACACTGCGTTGTGCTGTATCCAAACTTTTGAGGCTATCTATCCCACATTTGAGGGCAGTCAAAGTAGAGCTCGCACGATAAATATGCGTCTCTACATTGAGCTCGCAAAATTATTATTATAAAAGCCAAATACTTTAAGGAGAGAGGCTGTCCAAAGAGCTACATGCAGACGCTAGTGCAGCCCTGATATGCGCTAAGACACGCCAAGTTTCTTGCTCTGTGTTTGTGTGCAGTAAAAGTCTTGGGAAGGCAACCAGGCACAGCTAAGACCTACCTTCTCTCAGGCGGAATGCTATACACTCAAGCACGACGATGCTCGCTGCGACGTATATTCCTGATCAGACTGTCAATATATTGGGAAGCCGGATAAAGCGGGCAAAATTTACTTAGGCAAAACCTAGGCTTTCACTACACAAGAGATTTACTCCTCCTTACTTACTAGCAATCCATTGTTTTGTCCTGCCGGTAATACGTTGTAGTACGGAGAAGAGCATGTAGCCATATTTCAAACATAAAAACACACGGCTGGGAACAAAAGGAAGGGATTGATGGACGGTAGGAGGAAATACAACGGTATTCGCAGGTCTCGAGAGGGAGCATTCTCAGAGAAATGAAGCCTCTGTGAAGTCATTCCTAACTTCCGGTATTGTAGGGGAGTTTATCTGCATCAACAGCAAAGCCCTGTGAACTGAGGGGTCCAGTTATATTGGTGCTAAATATGTGGTCTCCTTCGAAATGACTGACCACGAATGCCATCAGGATTCAGTCATTACTGACAGGGTGGCGTGCGATGAACCTGAGGCTACCCACCGCATTAAAAGGCTTGCACACGCAAAGTAGTGCCACCCCTCGACTCTAGGGGTTCTGCTTGCCTTTCACCAATTGTATGGAGTTGCAGCAGCACCGCTAGCAGAATTCCACGGCAGTAGTGGGCAAAACAAGGGAAAAAAGGGAAGGCAAGAGGCCTGTACCACTGGGGTCACTAGACACGAATCGGTAGAATGAATAACACCTCCTTAGAAGAAACTTCTCCCTCACCCTGCATCGACCCCTTCAGTTCGCGCTCGCGATTGAGTTGACAAAATGGCCCACATTGTATTGAGCTACCAAGCCATACCGATTCTGAGGTACAATGAACTGGGAGTCTGAGTTGAGTCTTCTACAAATTCAGTGCATCACCGAATGAGGGTCGGGTATACTCTTCGGTGGCTAAAACGCGTCAGCAATGTCCGACAGCTCTAATGCTCTCCTTACGCTGGCCCCGCGGAGGAAATGCGGTTAACGGGGGCGGGTTTACTGAGGAAAGCTACTGCCTACATCGTCCAGTTTTTGTGCCCTTTTCGATGGGCTCGCTGGGTAAATTAATGGCTGTCCCGTGCTCTGCGCAATACTGCAACTTTTGGCACGATCTAGGCAAATAGAGAGCCGCACATGCGCAGCGGAACAACAGAAACAAATACGAAGTACGCAAGGCGAAAGCCGCTTGCTTTGATGCCTTTAGGCCACACTTGCAGACGGCATGGCATATGGAAATACCTGCTTTATAGGATTTCACAACGAACGATGGAAAACAAGCGCAACTGAGCGCTAAATGGGTGGAATGATAGGGACTGGACAGCTAGCTGCTCAAAGTGGGCTGATTACACGAACTGTGACGGATATGAGCCTCTACCTGGAGGAACATCACAAGTAAGACACAAGACGGAGTACAGTGATATAATATATATGCATTTATAATGTCTGACAGGTCTCTTTTTTCCTGTGAATTCTAATTAGGCGCCATGAACGTATCACAAGCACAATACGAAAAATGGTGGGTAGTGCTGTCCCGAAGCATCCAGGGATTTAGGCCTCCGGGTTTTGAATCCATCTGCACGAAGACAATCTCTATCATGTGCTTGGAAACAGCAGTGAGCCCTGGTGGAGCTGTGCAAGCAAATTTTATCGAGCATGTTCCGAGATGTGTTGGTGCATGCGAACACACGTGTGCTGGTGCATCCCATGGGATGCAGGCTACTCTAGAAAGGACCTCCAGGTGGTCTGTGTGCAAGGTGCATCGACGCTAAGGGTTGGACGCGTCCTGCTGAAATCTTTTTGCGCGCAACACTGCGCCTCTCCTGAAATTCCCCGGTTCCACCCTATTAGCCGACGAGGAAGTGCCTCGCCTTCTTCGGTGGCTGCTTAAGTCCTGGTCTTGCTGTGGCTGTTGCTGTTGCTTTCGGAAAGCATCGGTGTCCGGAACAGGCTTGTTGGAAGTCTAAAGCAAGCATACAAAACAGAGTCGATCACACCAGTGCCTGGTCATTGGAGGTGTCGAACTTGAACTTGGCAATACTACGTGCATACTATCGCCAAAAATGCGATCCTCCAAAAGTTATTACACCAAGCCGCTACCCGTCCCCTTCCTTCGTGAAATTGAAGCGGTGTGTGCATTGTTCCCCACCATTACAACGTTTGCATGTGGTGCCTCTAGGCCGTATTCCCACACCGTATCTCGGACCTGTTGTTCGTTGGCAGCCGCCTCTGTTACTGCTTCACCGACTCGCTCGCCATTTCCTGGAAGGCTTTTCTGCCCTTTGCTAGTGATGTGGGCAGGATACGTCACACCTTTGGCCGCTAGGGGTGGGGTAGGAGGAGGGGGTTCCTGGCCCTCCGTAGAGGAGGCCTCTCCAGTTGGCGATGAATTCATCGCTTTGAGAAGTTCCTCCAGGAGAGTACGAACGGCGAGCGAGTCATATTTTTCTCTACTAGATGGCAGGACCATATTTTCAGCCACGCGTTGAAGGGCGCTATCCATTGTTGCAGGGTGCAGCATTACGGAAGGGGCCTCACGTGACATTTCAAGAAGATCATTCACAGTCAAAGGTACAGCAGCCTCTGACATACTTGTGGCGTGCGAATGCTGCCGAGGCAACTGAGCTGGAGCTCCTGTCGAGGCTCCAGATGAACTGCAATGCGAAGAGCCAAGGGATATTCTCCAGTCCGTTTGATGTGTAGACTGTTGATGAAGCTGTTGTTGCGGCAGTTGTTGTTGCGGCAGCTGTTGCTGTGGCAGTTGTTGCTGTTGTTGCGGCAGTTGTTGCGGGATCGGTGCCCACTGGGGTGGCGGCATTGGCGAAAGCGGCTGGACAGAGAGCTCTTGAGAATGAGGCTGCAACAGTTCAGCCTCAAGGCACTGCATCTTTAATGCACTTCCTGGAATGCGGTCGCCTGCAGCCATGTCCTGAACTTGCTGGAGTTGCTGCAGCTGCTGAAATCGTTCACGTCCTTGTTCTGACCATGCCACTGGATTTCGCAGCTCGTTTTTCAAAGGATTTGCATGCGGAACGTTCCTGGGATTTATTGATGAAGCTTCGGTGTGCTGAAGACGGTGGGGTAGTTGGAGGTGCGATTGCGGAGCTTGTTGCTGCTGGAGCTCTTGTTGCAACTGTTGCGAGAAAATTAGCAGCTTCGTCTGCTCGTCTATTTGTGCGGCTCCTGGCAGGGAGGCGCCGGTTCCGCCTATGTTGCCTTTGTGGGAGTCGGCTTGCTGTTGGAGCTGCATCATGTGGACTTGGTGCTGCAGCTGTTGCACATCGTGGGGACCTGACGGTGCTGATAACGCGTTAGAGCTGTTGTGAGTTTCCGCCTGTCTGTACGGAAGCTTGTTTGAATGTTGCTGTTGCAGCTGCAGTAGCTGCTTTATAAGGGAGTGCTGCAGTTCCTCCAGGTGTTGCAAGAAACCTGGCTGCATATTCTGCATGGTGGTCCCAGGGAGGTCGTGTGGCATGCCGGCATGCTGAGGCTTTGCCATGCTGAGTTGGTTGAACAGCTGCACATCTTGCCACTCACTTGCTGGTGCTGCAGGCATCATGCGTTGCTGCTGTTGTTGCTGCTGCTGCAACACATGTAAATGCTGTTGCTGCGGCCAGCTCACAGGCGCAGATGACGGGGGTGCAGAAGTAAGGAGCTGCTGTGTAGGTACACCTCCCGCTGCAGCGGCTGCTGCAACAACAGCTCCGAGGTGTTGTTGCAGCTCCATCACGAGGCGTTCGTCTGCAAGGGAAGGTAGGGGGCCTGCAAATTTTTCTGCTGCCGCATTTTCTTGGCCGCTCCTAACTCCACCACCAGCACCTGAAGCAGGATATCCAACACCCTGTAATCGCTGTACTTGCGAGGCCAAGAGGCGCTCAGTATGGGGTAATTGAGCCGGCGAGGCATTTTCCGAGCTTCCCACAGTTGACGGCATGCAAATCATAGATCCCTGCGAGTTTGCAGAGGCCCGTAGTGCTTGCAGGAGTGGCGCCGGCTGGGTTCGTGGGCTCCAAGCGCTGGAATTCACGAGTGGCTGCTGCCCGCTAGTCAGTTGGAGCACTGAGGCTGGGTGCGCAAAGTGGGGAGAAAGTCGAAGTCCGCAGCTGCTACTTAGAGCTGGTGACGGAGGCGGGGTAGGGGGAGGTGGCGGCGTTGCAGCAAGGTGTGCATGCGAGTAATTGAGGTGAAGATACGAGGGCAAGGAGGGGTCTCCCTGGTAGAGAGATGATATATCAACGACTGCTCCCGGCACGGCATCTGCCGTCCCAATTATCTGCAGTACTGTTTCCTGCAGGGCAGGCATCGCAGGGGTGTGACAAGTACGAGGGGAAATCAGAAATAACGCATGCGTGTGGGAGAAGCGCCAGGCAAACTATACAAGAAAGCACAAAGCGTCTCGTCTTAAACATAGATTACGTGCGAGATGGTACCTTCATCTTCAAATGGTGTATCTTATTGTGTAGATAGCCGCCTTGGGCGGAAGAGAGAATCTCAACCCCGTTCTTCTTAGCTGCACAGGAGAGCAGACCTCGCTGAAATTATATTTATTTAAATACACTATAACGGCAGCTATGAAAGACCCTGTGTCACCCACCAGTAGTTGCAACAGGCCCCCCTCTCTTTGCATAGTATTTAAAAGCATCTAGCGTCATGAATCTAAAGCTTACCAACTTCGAGCACCGGCACGTTTCCGTCTGAACTCGGTGTAAACAGGTGCGTCAAGGCATACTCCGGTATAACAAGCTTAAAGCAGCCCTGTGGAACACAAAGGCATTAGAAATTTGTGCTTCTTTGCACTTTCTCTTCGGAATTGAGCTGAATCCTCTATCTCCGAGTGCAAATACAGTTGTTGCTGAGTGCAAAAATTTTCAATTTCTATGACACATGGGCGTGTGTTTCGGCAGCTCACCTTGGGCTTGCATATTTTCTTGCCGTTGTCGATTCGCCGCTCCTCCTCTTTGTGCATTGCTCTGTCAAGTGCCACGCGTGAGATTTCCATAAGAGCACGAGCCATTCCATCGCCAACACCAACAGCGGTTGCGGTTCTCTCCAGCAAGCAGGGGAAAAGCTCCCCTCTCTTGGATACACTTACTTTCAGTCCTGGGCCATTTCGCGACTGAAACTCCTCAATGCCTGAGAGTGTGAGGTTATACACAAGCTTTCCGAGCAACTGGAATTCAACCAACCACTCTACGGAATGCAACAAGCATCCTGATGTATATATCTGGAGTTTCGTGCCGCATTGTGAGGAACCGCTAATTCCAGAGCAGGCGGATTCTGCAGGTACAACTGCTCACCGACTCCCTTCCTTCCAACCAGAAATCCAGCAACATCTTCCCCTATGAGAAACTTGCAGAATTTCAGGGGTACATTTGAGGGAGCATTCTGTGAGTTGAGAATAGTTGTAGTTTTCCTGTTGCCAGCTGATGCGGCAGCTGCTGCCGACTCTGCACGACAGGTAGCTCCAAAATCAGCAGAATGCGTCATTGGCACCGGTCCAAGATGGGCGCCAAACCCTGGATGCAGACACTTCTCTTGTAGATGTGATTCAATGGGTGAGAAAGAGCCAATGAATCCCGGTTGGGGCTGCTCAGTGAGAACATGTGAGCCATTGGCTGCATTCAATGCCTGCCTCGTTGCTAGAGGCTGCGGAGTATATGGAGGGGCATCAGCCGACAGTACGAAGTCGGAAGGCACAGGCTTCCCTTCCACCGAACGTGGCGCAGCCTCTTTCTGCTTGATCTGCGGTTGAGTGCCCTTGGGCGTTAGCTGGCCTCTGGTATTTTCGTGTATACCGACCAGGCCTGTGACGGATCTCGGAGTTTGCAGCGAGTGTCCATCCTGTGGTGGTCTCTCTTCGGCCTGGCTGTACAAGGATCCGATTGGGCCGTCTTGAGAGAGTACCGGGGATAAAGGCGTTTCTGTTGCCGAAGAGTCCATCGTTCGAAGGGGAGCTGCAGAGCGATGCAACTGACACTGTAACGCTTCCACCTTCTTCATTGCTGTGAACACGCCGTAGTGTGCATGCAGCCCAGATCTTAGTGTAGGAGCTTTGCTAAGGCTACTCGGGAGCATAAAAAACTGCGGCCATAGGAAGGTACTGCAGGACCACTGAACGCTCTTGCCATCGTTCTGTTATCGACAGGGAACACCATACATATGCTCATGCTTGCCTTGTGACTTCTGGGTAGGAGGGTTCATCATTGGGATTCAGCTTGCCGGCGCCTCAAATTACTGCCGGTTTCCCTGTTACCCAGCGAAGAATGCGGTCCTCGACTTGTCGATGTATATCGCTTGAATAGCGTAACCAATCGTTCACTTCTTCGCCACCTTCCAAAAAGCGACGAGGGCCTCCAGTGTATGAAATGGAAGTATATTTGAGAATTTAGCTGTTGCTGCCACAAAACTGCCTCCGCGATTTGGGAGCTACGCAGCAGTGTACTTTCACGATGAATACATGTCAGGGGGTGCTCGAAACAGTGTTTTCCTCGCGTTCGGTGCTCTTCTCAGCGAGCTGCACCGAGTTTTGATAATTAGATGCAGAATGTGACTCCATGTGTAGGACTAGATGCTGGTTACAAAGTGGCCAAGTGCCCGCCAGTCACTGTTGCCACCCCACAGGACACAGGGCGGTCACAACTCGTTGATCAGAATGCAGCTAAAAAAGAACAATGCTCGAAGTTCCTATATATGTCCAGTTGATGACCTACACTTTTTTACCTGCACAAGACGCAATTCAGCCTTCATTTATGGGGTTGCTGATTTCACGTCATCGGGGTGTGCGAACAAACTTCTTGACCATAGTCGTGGACCCAGCACGTAAAAATAGGCCAAATCAGCCTCCAAGGGTTGGCAACATAAGATTCGAATGAGTGCTGAAAACTACGTGGTATCACGTGGCGGAATGATGACAGGTCACCTGGGCGACGCTGCGGTCTTCGGCGGTTCACGCAGCTTGAAGGTGTGGACCTCCTTCCCTTCTGCCGCAACTGATGTCTATTCGCGTGTCAAATAAATAAGAATATTTCATCAACGATCCATAAATAACGTACGTGATGAAGTGAGCGATATGCTTCATCGACTAGCGCTGGTGATAGGCTGGTACCGTCAGCGGCGACACCCCTTCAGAGCCCAACTGGTATCCCTACCATGCCGTGTTGAATGACGTTCTGCATGTGCCTTCTTTGAGCCCCTTTATGCAATGTATTAAAACAGGTAGTCTGTTCCTAAAATTTATGCATCTTATTGGAGAATATTGCTTTAGCCGTGGTCTACTGCACACATCCTGTATACCGAAGTCAAGGAAACACTGATGTGGGGCCAAACCAGAGACGTCGTACAAGGCCTGCTACTGATAACGCTTGAATTCGTACTCTAGCAAACGGTAAAAGTAACCTACAAGCGTTCTTCAATGACAGCAGCACTACAGGGTTGCCCCTGTCCACGCATCACTGCGTCGCATTGATCGCACGATTGTCACTCTTCTCGACAACAGCTGAGTGCTAATTCGAGGCAACATACCAGCCCAGGATGCCACTTATAGCTCCGGTAATCTCAACACTGGCAATCCTCATAAGCTGCTCTTCCAGCAAAGGACGTACGAAATAATCCCTCCAATCCACCACGAGGTGAAACAATATGCTATGAACCCCTAGCATCTACTGCACTCCCCTGCCCACGACTATACAGCAGCGCCAAATACTACCTAATCCTGGCAGTAGAGGCAATTAACTAAGCATGTCTCAACCTGCCTAGCTCAGCTGTCAGCCGCTGCACTTCCATCTTGATTGGCCAACATAAAGCAATTTTAGCAGTATTGGTCGTGCACACGGCCGCCGTATAATTGTCCCATTTCTGCCTTAACTAGGTCGTGCGCATCTGTCGTATGTTTTCAAACATTTAAACGGCAAGGCGAAAGCGCTAGGCAAGGACGTTCTCGTACTTTCCGCCCGGAACAACTGAAAAACAAACGCGATTGCAGGCAGCTCCGTGCACGTCAATAAGAGCTGTGCCCCACGCAACTTGCCAATAACGCTACCGAGAAGACCAAAAAGCTCCCCAGAAAAGCGATGTTACCCATGCAGCAGTACCATTTAGAGCCATGCAAGTGGTCTCCTAGGCGAAAGCCGGGAATTTCTGGGCGTCTCTACCAACGAATTAAGCAAAATAGCATTACACCTTTTTTCTTCAGATATGGAGGGAACGCCTAGGCGTCTGGCATAGTGACATTATGAAAGCAGTTGAATTCATTGAAGTTCGGTAATGCCCGCAACAAACGAGGATCGAACGGACAATCTGACTTCGCTCCCATCCCTCCTGCCCATGTGCGTATACGATATGGGAATGCAAGCCTGAACAGAAAAGAGGCCGACAGCAGTAAGCCACGTTCTTTAGCAAACTACGACATGCTGCACTTTCGGCAGCTTATAAAAACAGCTAAAGTCATTTTTTCTTCCTCGATCGGATTTCCGACCCCCTCTAGAGAAACGATGGATTTGGCCACTGTGGCTGCCACCACTCCTCGACAAGAAGCCGCATCAATGTAACCATGAACAGTTCCGCAAATGCAGGGCCTACAAGGACCAACCATTCGCGTTATACGTTCATGGTAGCTTCGTAGGGGCTGGAGACTGTGGAGGATGAGAAAGGCAATAGACTACACCAGGAAACTACGGTTTCCCCACGTAAGCCGCCGCACGTAGGCACATTCGGTGCATCTTAATCATATGAATCGGTGCAAACATTCCGTGCGAGCCCTATCCAAAGGCATAATGCAAGGGCAAAAAGTACCACTGACGCAGTCGAGAGACCGCGGCACACGTAGGCAGCAGGACAAGACCACAAGTGCACCTTTCGCTCGGTTCACTAACTCGAGGAACGTGCAGGCAACATATTTGCTGCCCACGTCCAGAGCGCACAAAGCCATACACGAACTCCTTAGAGTCATACGGAATAACTCCCGAGAAAGGATTGCGTGCCGAGCTGTGGAATGAGAAAATCTCGGCAGGTTCAGCCATGCGGCATGTACACCGCGGTACAGGGCACCTACCGCAGCGAGAATGCAGTAGGCCCCGTCCCGTGGTATGTTCTTTGTCCCCCTCTACCCAAGGATGTGCGAGAAATATGTGAAGCTCGTCTACCCAAAACAGAGGGGAAGCAAATATGTCTAAAAAACGTCGAAACTGGAGCAGGTCTAGTGCGACGCAAAACTCCTCCACCGTTCGAATCCGCATGTAAACAACGTTGAGCAGAAACTTTCTGAGCGCCGTTTCCCTTAATACCGCGAATCACTCTTCAGGAATACACGATAAGCGCGTCTTCTGACTTACCATCCAAACTACCAATAGGCACAGGGATGGAGAGCACATGGCAGAGGCAAACTTAGGCCCTGCTAAAACGAGGTTATTGCTAGCCCTGGGAAAACCGCCTTAAACGCCCTTAATTAGGCAGCGCTTAGACTCACCACGCGGAATGTCCGAAAACCCTGCCTCCTTGAACACGTCAGAAAGCTACAGCATTCCAAGCCTTAGGATCAGTACACGTCTCGACGCACAAATCAACCTCTTGATATCGTAGGTGAATACAAGAAACCACATTGTACGCAATTTGGAGATACCAACATCCTCCGAACGCTTACAGCGCTTGAAAAGGAGGTCTCGTTACCCGTGCATTCCATGTTCCCAACTTGAGCATCACAATGCATTTACACAACAGAAGAGGAGAAGCAGAGCACATATCATTATCCACCTCAGGAACTCAATGCACGCTACCTACTCTGTCAAAATATGAGCCACAGCATGTGTGTCTTGGACAATAATGTGGGACACCTGCCCCACAGCCCCACAGAAGCAGGACCGCTCAGAATGAATTCTACGTTTGGGGCTGCCAAGTGTGCATTTCTTCTTCACAAGCTTACCTTTGGGTGCCCTAATTTTTTCCTCCACCTGTAATAAGCGTCTTCCTTAGCACAACAGCAATTATACAGGTGTACAAAGGCTCAGGAGCGCTGTGCATGAGGATATACGCGAGCTGCACTCCCATGGCAGGCATTGTGCACTCCTGGCCACAGTCCATAGCAATTTAAATTCCTGCTAAAATAGACAATGTATGTTGCCTATGCAATATGCTTACCATTGAGTTTGTTTAAATATCTTCGCATGCGACCTTATGTTCCGATATAGAGGCATTTTGAGCAGTCATGCCTCACTTCAGCTTTAACCGTGTAGCCCATTACTTTTGTGGCTCACATGTATCCGGAGGCCTACATTAGACTCGGGTAGCCCCTCCCAATCCCGCGGGTTACCGACTCATGTTATGCCCTTTATGCTCCTCTTGAGGTGCAGCGGGGTAAGCTACATTTAAAGCACGCTTACTTCGCTAGCTATACTTAATTATGCACTAGCTAAGAAACGATGACCAACGCGTTTGGGTGCTCGCATATCTTATTTAATTGTTTATTGCCGAGTAGCGTGGCTCGGTATACACAATGCTGGGTGTATGTGAGTTCGCTGCTATGCTCAAGTGGCTATGAATGGTCGGAGTGCTTTGATAATGCAGCTAGAAACTCTGAATGTAATTCTCTCTTGATGTCTGAGGTCGATGCCTCTCTACGAAAGCATTATATGGAGCTTTACATGGGGTCTCGATATGCCCGCCAACACGAAGTCTGATGGAAAGTCAGTAACTGCCTTGAGGGAATCCATTGGCTTCCCCAAGAAGGAGAGGATCAGCTAGCCTTCGGGTTGGCACACCCCCTGGTCACTCAGACCGCTATCACCCAATTGTACACATTAATAATTACATGCATTCACAGATTTTGTACTCGTCACATCGGGCTACGTATATCGTGCGGCAACTAGCTATCATGGACAGCCAAACCAGTCAGGCACTACTAACTTTTGTAGAAGGGATTGCAAGGCATCTGAATAACACCAAGAGTTGTAAGTCGGACAGCAGTGATGAAAACTTATGAAGTTATGCCAGCCCTACACCCATTTTTGCTTTTTTGGGATTGCGCAGCCTACTGTCGAACTCTATTAACTGGGGAGCTGACAACTTCATGTACCATATTGCTGATTCGGTGGTGCATGCGTTCCCTGCTGTAGACTAAAGCTGCCAAGTATCCACTTCGAGCTGGCTGCCACGCAGCAACAATCTGCTGGGGGGCACCAGCCACTTCCAACTACAGCAAGAACTGTATGTTCGACCACGAGCAGACACTGAAACATGGTATACTATATAACTCCATCGACAGTGTCCACAGCTGTGATAACTTTGAAGGCATATTATATGCATCATTTTCTCTAGTTTGTATATGGGTGAATATGGCGTGTGCAAACGACACGACACCATACCGTAATCCTCCTCCCCGAAAGAACGATTTAAACGATCTTGTTCAACCGGGCAACCCAGCAAGCACAGCGTACGCTGCAACTGGGAGCAAGGCTCCAGTTTAGAGGTTAAGAAAATAGGGTATATTTAAACCCCCATCTGGCTGGCCTGAAGCAGTTCATACACTATGTCGATGCGTTGGCCAAAATACAGCGCCATCTGGGTAGAGCAGTGATGCTGAGACACTAAGTATGCAGAAGCGCAGGAATATATGGTATGACACCTTGTGTGCTCACCCACATCATCCATTCGCTAATCATGCTCATGGCCGTCATATCATGCTAAACAACAGTACAAGACTTTTTACTTAAAAGGGCGTCACAAGCGTCCTGGAACCAATATCGTTCAGAAGAAGGCAATGTTTTATTCCCTGCCGAACAAAGCACATATGCGCAGTTCACGGAGCTTCTGGCTTAGGAAGGTCTGGCCCCAGCGAATTCGCAGTAAGTGCAGCTTTTGCGGACGCTCCACTGCCCGGAGGTGCAGAGGCTCCTGGCTCGGCGAAGACACTTCGCTCCACGGCCGCTCACAGGGCCATTGCCAAAGACGGTTTCTTGGTCGCCGGGGCCTTTGACGCTGCGGTAATCGTGAGCCCTCCAGCTGAACCTACTGCCTGCGCAATTGATGCTCGAGGTGCAGAAGGTGCTGCTTGTTTTGGTGGTACTGCTGGGGCTACCCACCCCAGCGATTGTCTTGCGGACCCTCCTGCTATACTTGAAGGCTTCGCGCCTGCCTGCAACAATAAATATACAGCATTGGGTAGTATGGCATCACATTTCCCACGTGATGCCGTCGCCTCTTGCAAAATGCACGCTACTCTGCTCTAGGGCTGGCAAGTTCCACAGCACTTACCTTTCCCCCCAGTTCTTCCGGGAGGTCGTTCTCTGCAACCGGACTTCCCCAGTTGTCTACGAAATCGCCCTTCATGGTGACAAAAATCTTCGAGTTGCCGGCGGTTAGGTGCGCACCCGACTTAGACATGCACGGGGACACAAGTAGGGGCGCTCCTTGCGGAGTTAATACTTTGACACCGTTAGGATCAACAAGCGGTGCGATTACTGAAGGTGCAGCGGCTTTCTTTGTTGATTCAAGCAGCTCTGTACGTTCATCGCTTGTCGCTTTAGACCAGTCATACCCAAGCCAGGAACGAACCGCAGTGCTGGACACGACTGCGAGCAGCACCAGCGTTGCACACGCAAACGCTCCGCACAGGCAGCATGCCACAAAGGTAGCAAAGGACAGGCCAAATGCAAACACTTCATCTTCACTCTCGGTCTCATCCTGAGTCGTTCCTGTCACAGCGTCGGCATTAGGTGACACGTCGGCACTCAGTTCTTCACCAGACTCTTCCTTCGTGCTCTCCTCAGCTACACCGGCATGCTCATCAGTTGTAGGATAGTCATAAGGAATCTTCGTTTCATCCGATGATGAGGTATTAAACCTGCTTTGGCCACCCCCTGGAGACGCCGATGGCACAGACGAAGTGGGAAGGGATTCAGTATTGCTGGACACCGTAGTATTCGGGCTGACAGAAGGCGATGCAGCGGCACCACCTGCGCTATCCTCAGATTTGTTGCTTTGATGAGGCACATTTGTTGAAGACCCCGAAGGGGGGTCATCTTCCTCTTCGTCTTCAGCGACTTCATCAAAAGCATCGTCTGCGCTATCCTCAGATTTGTTGCTTTGATGAGGCACATTTGTTGAAGACCCCGAAGGAGGGTCATCTTCCTCTTCGTCTTCAGCGACTTCATCAAAAGCATCGTCTGCGCTATCCTCAGATTTGTTGCTTTGATGAGGCACACTTGTTGAAGACCCCGAAGGAGGGTCATCTTCCTCTTCGTCTTCAGCAACTTCATCTGAAGTTTCATCATGAATCGAGGCAGCACGTTCCAGAAAACTCTGCTGTAATTCAGCTGGTGTTCTTGATGCATAATCTCCAAAGGCTGGCCTTGCTTCACCGTCATTTATAGAAGCAATTGTATGTAGAGCCTTGGTTGCCCGCAGTTTTGGGGAAGGGTTCCCCTTCAGAGACACAGTGTCTTCAAGCGCAGCTGACTGGATATGCAAGTGAATATCTGACACAGCAGAGACCGCTGTGGGCAGCTCATGTGTTAAGGCCTCGTCTGCTGTGGCAACTTCGCCTCCTTCGTCTTCTTCATGCGCGCACATAGGAACATCTGGACACACCTCCTCTGACTCAAGTAAATCCGGATCACAACTGGGAGCCAGGCCCGTCACTGGGTATTGCTGCACAGAGCGCGTGCGAGTCCGGTACGCAACGACTGTATCATCAGAGAGGCACTCTGGCGTGCATTCGCCCCATTCCGAAAAGGGGCTGTACTGACACCAGTTAGTGGCATGGTTTGCGATGGCACCGGTAAAGCCACTCATCAGTTTTGTCACTTCCGTATCGGCCGTTGCTCTCTCCGTGCAGAGACGTGCTTCAGCACGCACGTCACATTGCAGCGCCGCCTTGGGGCGCAGTAGCACCTCTTGAAACCTGACTTGCCAGATTGCTGAAATCTTACGGCCTGTCGAATGTATCTCGCTCTCCTCGTTGTTCCAATCATCATCGGACACGTCAGGCGCTGCTACATAACAGGGTGACCATGATGTCCATGTAGAATAGATACAGGGGACTTCAGGGCACGCACTTTCTTGGCCGTTGGGCAGCTCTGAGTCACCATCAGTGGCAACTATCGCTGACGCACTAGAGTCTGCACGCGGCAGGACAAGTACAGAAGAAGGGCTGAAGTGTCCGCATGCCGTTGGGAACTGCGCACCTAAAGTATCGCCATTCTGCGTGATACGTGGCTCGAATATCTGAGAACAAAACAAAAATCAAGCAGTGTTGTAGCTCGGCAGAATACGTCAGTATTCTTTGTGCCTCGCCTACGGATCGTACTACATACGCGTATGTGAGCACGGCGTTTCGCGAGCATGTGCGACGCGCGAAACAAATTCACAACAAAAAGGTTCCTATGCACAGAAACAGTTGATACCGTTCCAAAGTCCACAGGTGACGAATGACACGCAAAACATGAACACCCTACAAACCCGCTGAGGACTGACTATGTTCGCAGCTCTTTCTTACGGCTTTTATTGCGCAGGCCTCCTTCACTGTATCGAAAACTGCAAACAGGTTGCCACTGCCTTTTCCCAGTCGCTCCACCGTCTCTTTTCGCAGGCTGAGTGTGTCCATATCTCCACGAAGTGGTGCATCCTTCGTAGTTGCTGCATTAGTGCTTGTTTGTACATCGATTCCATTCTCATAAATAGACAAATTTGCTGTCTGAACACTGTCGAGATCTAACAAGAGGCCCCCTAGTCTCTGGGCTTCTGCCGATACGTCCGCCATCACTGATCCTTTAGCCTCCATCTGAGACACTGTTGCGCGGAAAGTTTCCAGGAGTTTTGATGACTCTTCTAACAGCTGCCTGCACAAGTGCCAGGTCATGGGACTTGCATCAGGCGAGCTGCGCTTGCTGCTTGAGGTGGTAGTACGAGACGAACTCGATTTATCTGTTTGGTGGTGTGTTCGAAGTGTAAACGGCTCTACACACCCCCTGCCAAGCAGCTCCACGCCTGTGAACACTGGACAGGAGGCACTGAGGGGCCGTGCAGTATGAAAGGTCGGCTGAGTTACTTCTATTTGGGAACCCGAATCTCCTGCTTCCTCTGGGTTAGCCTTAACCTGCGATTGAGACGATCCCGCGGACTGGGCAACGCTGATTGCTTTGTGAGCTTGCCGCGCGGCTCCCTCCAAAAGCCCCACAGCCGCCAACAGGACGCGCGCGGCAGAGACTGCGTGCTTATTGGCTTTTGTAACCTTAGTCTTTAGTCGGTCTTCCCATTGAGAGCTGTTGGAATCAGTTTTGCCGCCACTCCCCTTCACTTTCATAAGGTTGGCGGCATCGTCCACTAGATTCCCCTGTCGAGTAAACTCCATAGCCAAAGAACTACGCATGCCCCGTGCAGCCTCCGCGAAATCAACATTCTCGTTTAGCACCAAAAGCGTCAGCGAAGCGTTTCCAGTCTTCTTGGCTGCCTCTACACCGCAGTCCGTCACCCGCGACACCTTTAGGCGTGTGTACAAACTGCAAACTGGATTGCGGCTTGGCGATCCTTCGTGTTCCCTAAAGTCGTGTGAGCCATGCATTTCTCTAACACCTTCCTCAAGAGCGTCTACTGCAAAACGGGCATTGACCAACGCTTCTTCGAGTCCAGCAGGGGATTCAGTGCCTTTGGAAACAATTTTACTCGCTCCCACATCTTCAATATCCTCAGTGTATATCACGGCTCCGCACAGGCGGTACAGCCGGCACAAACTGACACAGCTGTAAAGGCTAAGCTGCTGTGGTTCCAAGACAGTCGACTCCCACACCTCTTCTGACCCCTGTACTTGCTGGCTCCTGGCATTACTCCTCTGTTCTGAGCGCTTCCTGTCCCAGTCATCCTGGGTGATTCGCTCCAGCAGATGCCGGTCCTGGCACGCTAAAGAAAAGTCCACCTGAGGAAGAACTCCAAAAGATGCCACTGACTTTGGTTCCCTCGCAATTTGCATCAATGCAGTCGCTAAATCGGTCGGCACCTCAAGAGGGCACCTAAAGGTATTGCAAGGACGTGTTTTCAGTTGTGCTGGGTTTGTATCGCCAACTATTAACAATTTGGCGACCTCATCCTGTACCGCTTTCTCATACGAGTCGGACCAATCCGTAACATCTAAAAGGGCATGGCGCAAACCCTCTACAGCCAAAACATACGACCGATCTCGGTCAACTGACTGCGTGCCACCGTTGCATAGGCGAGAGCACACGCTCCATGAAATTTCGACGGAAGCCTCAGCAGCGATTTGAGGAGCATACGATAACGGGCTTCCCGCAGCCAAGGCTTCCTGAACTCGAGTGGATACGAAGGTTGTCTCGTCACCATAGAGGGGCTCAGCAAACAGCAGCTCGTTTTGTTTGCCTTCAGATCGTCTCAGGTTACCTAATGCACTGTTTGTTGGCTCGCTGTCTGTTGCACTGGAGGCTACGGGATACCATACAAAGGTGGCAAGAGCCGCGGCGGTGGCCAAGAAATGAACATAACTTATCCAGTGCTTGTGGAAGGAAGTTTCCGCGCAGCGCTTGAGGCAGCCCCTGGTGGGGAAACCAGAGAATTTCTGCTGTAAAACAAGGCAGCTAGAAGAAGAGGCCTGCAATTCACCACCGCACGGTTCGCGACTAAGCGGGGGCTCTTTATCTGTACATCCTGTGTTTGATTGCTTCCAAAAGGGAGATTTCTCATGATTCCCATCGAGTTTGTGTTGAGTGTGTATGGCCCGAAGTCCGCCAGAACCACGCATCCAAAAATGTAAGTTGCTTGTAGACTCCTTCCGATTTGGCTTGCATGAGCACACTTTTGACTCAACAGCGGCAGCTTCGCAAGCGTGTGCCTCGATGCTGCACCTTGAAGCTGTTGAATCCCTGAGTGTTGTGTCCCGAGGAAGAGCAATAAAAACTGAAGCCATCTCCCATAAAAATACGTTGGAAAATGCTCAGTGTGCAAGTGCTGCTCGCTTAAATCCGGTATTCACATTCCCATGCCACCAAAGTAACGAAAGAAACGCATCGACGGACTCGCCAAGGAAAAGCCAAGGCGCAGAGGTGTCAAAGGAAACCAATACCTATTGCCAATACCCCTCTAAAATCAATAATAGTGGGCCTTTGTTAAACATCGACTTAAAGCTGTCCATTCAAGCATCTTGTAGGAAGTCATCACGTCGTTTCCATCAGTCCGCAAACAGGACAGGCGTCGTTCCTTTCACCCGGCTGCGACGCCAGCCCAAAATATCCGCCTCCTAATAAGATGCATGCACAAAAAACAGGAAATATAAGAATACTTGGATTCAATGGATGTTTTGGTGGGCATAAAGCTGGCATAGCATTCCGAATGACACTGAGCCCCGATAGCTAAGCAGCACGGGTAACGCCTGGCTTCCCAATCGCTCACATTAACTGGGTTAGTTTTCAGTATTGTACGACTTCCGTTGTGACTTTTCTTGAGGATATCAGCGTGTCAATATGCTTACTAAGACCATTTACGACCAACTTCCGTACAGCTTGCAGCGTGGCACAAAACTTACAGCTGCATGCTTCTAGAGTAACAAGAATCCTCGTATGGTATACAGTTGGCACTTCGACAATGCAGAACTTGAGCAGAGAGTAGGTTTGGCATTGACTCATAGGGGTATGTGAGAGTCGCAGTGCCAGTTAGCCCCCTTAGAAATCAACCTGTGACCACGCAACATGAACACGCCATTCTCAGTGCACCCGGTAGTAAGAGTACTCAGGCTCATATTGCTCTATCATTCTTTGCATGACAAGGGCTCTTCCTTTTGATGTACTTTCCTACCGTGCTAAGCCGACCCACTCGCGTTTGCATCTTGTATGCCACGGATCAAATCAGCTCACAGCTTTGTAAGGTCCAGTTACTTTTAAAATAGTACAACTGCAATCATCCGCATAATGGAGCTAGAAGCATTAGTTATTGCCTTGCACTCCTTCTTTCTAACATGTAGGACTTTTTAATGTTCACATGCGGTATTCCTTTTGTTTTCTCCGTAATACCCCGGGCGCGGGTGTTACCAAACGCTTCAATTGCACCCTTGTGGACATGCGTAAACCCTAGGTGGTTGTACGTACACTTGGACTGAAATACATATCCTGGCCTCAGTTTTTCACCAAATTGTTTTCCCGTTTCTGCATGAACTAATGCAGACGTTAGTTTTTCCTTAGAAATTCGTGAATCGTTGCAATCATGATAGAAACAAGAGAACACCCAGGGAAGCGGCTTGCCCGCTTTCTTCCGATGATTGTAGGTTTCTGTATTTTGGAGGAACACAAAGGAGCCAATTATTCCATGACTTCAGGTAATATGCAGTGTTATGGCCATCTTGTATACAATATATTTGTTGGTAAGACACTGCGTTCTCCGAACTGAAGAGCGGAAGATTATCTAGAATGCCCTACAGTACCACTGTTTACCAATGTTTCAAGTTGAGGTACCCCCCGAGTACCGCGATCATGAAGCAATTGCAACCGGAGCACTTCACTTTTTCACTGGTAAACATCATGACGGGGAAATGAGCAGCGCAGTGGATTACATCATTTCATCAGTGCATGTTGGTGCTGCTATGGTCCTCTGGTCGTTTTATAAGACTTATTCCACAGAGCCAGGGCGTATTCCAGGTATTACAATACGTTAAATGTTATCTGTCAGCTGCTTCGTAATACTTGATGGCAGGCACTAATGAATGGCAGCGGCAGCCTCCACCTAATCTCATTCATGAAAGGAAACGGGATGGTACGCCAGTCACTTCTCTTTGACATGGATGTTGACTTCATTGTAGCATTTAGGGGGAGCTAGATACTGCCACAAGTGTTCGAAGTATAAACCCGACCGCTGCCACCACAGTAGCAACACAGGACGCTGCGTTCTTAAGATGGATCACTACTGCCCATGGGTATGTGAGACCAATTCCATGGTAGACATTAAACCTATTAAATGACTGTACTGTTCCAGGTTGCCAATGATGTTGGGTTTTTCAATTATAAGTTCTTCTTCCTGACGCTGCTGTATAGTGGGGGTACCCTGACATTCGTCTGCACAACAATGACGACCACTGGTGCGTCACCAACACCAAGACAAGCGACGAAAGTTTATTAACTAAGCGCTCTTAGTTAGGGCTTCGATTGGCGACTCGAATATTTCCTTCGAACAGGTTTTTTTTACACTTCTTGGAACTGCATTGAGTTTCTTTCTCCTCGCGTAAGTACTATTGGCATTCAAAATGTCCACTTGCATCCATTCTGCTTTAGCATTGTTCTTCCATTCTGCATTTTTCACTGCTGGTTAATAGCCACTAATTGCACGACCATCGAGTTCTGTGAGAAGCGACGCACAGGCAAGGACCACCCCTATGATGTTGGCACTGCTGAAAACTTCACACACGCACTCGTAAGAACGCTTAAATCATGTCTGTTGAGAATCACCAAGCATATTTTGTGTAGGGAGAACAACCACTGTGGTGGCTCCTTCCCGTTGGAGGGCCATCCGGGAATGGGATCATATTCCCTCGCAGCCGCTAGGGAACTACCATTGCAAGGCTTTGGATAACAAGCAGAACACAAGTTATATTCTCGATAAAAATTGTCACAGTGCACTAATCGGCACTCCAGCTGTCATCTATGATGACGATACCAAAAAAGTGAAGTGCGGTGCACACCCCTCGTTCAATTTAGACCCATCCGCGCCTGGAACTGTGCGCGAGAAGGGCCTTACCTAAGCACTAACTAGTCCAATTACAAGGCTCCTTGTGCATATCGAAATATACCTTATCCAATATAGCAATGCTCTGAGCAATAATTTTGATTTCCTCGCTCGTTGTTATTGCATGCACAAGTGACCCGTATATGATGCTCAACACCTTTGTGCCAGTAGAGCGACTGAAACGATAACTCAGGAAAAAAAGCGGCATTTGCAGAGGACATGTAGAAATTCACAAAATCTGCCCATATTTTTCTCTTCAGCACTAATCTTGTACTCCTAGCGAGATTTTGCTGTCCGTTTGATTTACCTACAACAGGCTAATTGATAGAAGAAAGCCAAGCCTTCGTGAATTCACTTACGCTGAGTGTCTGACTGAGCACCTGTCGAGCTCTACGGAATCATGTTCTGCGTAACAGCAATTGGCATTGACAGCAGTACTAGACCTGCAATGTTCAAAAGGGAGCATTGATTCCTATACACTTCCACGATGACAAAGGTGCCGTGGAATCAACTAAATCTGCAGGAAGCATACGAGCACAAGATCTACTGCCGCGTTCGTCAGACAGGAACTGCCGTGCTCCTGCGACTTCAAAACGGAGAAGACCCTCGAAATGTGTTCACATCCACTGGGTTGCCTCGATGCCCCCCGTATCCCCTCTGCTGTAAACTTTCTGAACTAGGAGAACTTGGTTCTGGTACAGCGTTAATTATTAAACTCTAGATGTTCACCCCTACAGCAAACTACTGATTTGTGTGCTGATTTGTGTTGTTCTACAAGGCAAGTAAATTTCATGTGGACCAACCTGTAACGGAATATACCTCTCACTTGCACCTCTTTTTGTTCAGGGATACCACTTCTATTCCAATTCATAAAATTCATCCTTTTGGTATCTGCTATTCATGGCCTCTTGTCGTTGCCAGTCGTTATTGGCGTGTACTCGCATAAGGTTTCAGATGGATCAGCAAACTGTTCTGTATTCAACCGAAGTAGGGTGAATGTCCTAGCGTCTGAAGCTTCCTTCACACATTACTATCATCTATCAGAAAAGCGAGTACTTGATTTTTAATGTCTAAATTCTATTGGCAAGCTCGTATATGTGTCGAAACAGCAAATTCACAGCTTTTGCCTGAGTGGTCGCAGCACTTTTTACAGCCGGATGCGTGGACGGCACTGCTTCCGAGTCGCAGCTTCCTGGTGCAACAAATCTTGTAATGGTCTTAAGTGCTGTCATCCTACTACCAATTTTATTCAGGCAGCAGGTAGCTGGAACCACGCTAAATTTTTTTAGCAGCTTATGGGAGGGCTCTAAATGCTGAGCTCCTGTACCCTCCAGAAGTTGAATAGCTTTTGCAAAGTAACTGTTACCATGTTTTGTGGACCTTTGCTTATTAGGAGCACCTAAGGAGGTCGGCAGGAGAGCAAGTCTTCCAGCCACAGGATTTCGCTCTTCTGCTAGAAGGATTTCCCGCCGATGCAACTGACGAACATGAGATAACCAGTTTTGTGTGCAATTCACTCTTGGCCAACCAACCACCAGAGTGTGTGGTCAAAGTTGTCATAGGTTTTGACACCAGGCATTATGAAGAACACATAACTCTCATTGAAAGGTTAAAGCGACGGCTAGATATTTTGAAGGTTGGCCTCCACGCCTATTCTTGCAATGGTTGTCATGGAAATGGATTTTTCTCATTGCTCGTAACCAATTGAATAAACTTTATTAATGAGTAGGCAGTTACTATATGGTATACAGGGGCAAAGTGCGAGACGTTGGTAAAGCAATGGGTAGTTTCGCGCCAGAGAGAGGGCGGCTGCCTTGGCAATTGATTTAGATTGCGGAAGTCTTTGAAGCTTTTCACATGTTACTCATGTGGCGCGCACCCTCAACCTTTAAATAAGTGCACGATACCTTTTAAAGTATTTAAATGTGCGCTGTGGTACAGTCAGGGGAGCCGCAACAAGAGCCTCTGTCCACGAACAGCGTGCGCTTGCTGCTAGAGCGCGTGGGGCAAGACATCCTTAGGTAATTCTGGGATATGCCCAAGACACCTAGGGGCCCGAAAGAACAGGTGCATCGCAAAAAACTCAAAAGCAAATATCAAGATGGCTACTGTGGGCCCTCCTCACGCAGCTAGGCATTCATCGTTTTGCGTATAGGATGCGTGCATGGATGTGCAGAAGTACAGGTTACGCGGTGGTTGTTTTCAAATATGCACAAGTAAGGTGCCATTCCTAAGCTAGTTCACGGTATGATATCGTTTCCGCGTATTCCTAGATAAGTGTGGCATCTGCCAAGACTGGTTATTGCTAAATTACATGTTGATGGAACCCCATTGCGAGCCACGAGGAAGGGGCGTAAAGTCCTATGGGCACATCTTACAGTGTCTTCGCTCAGGACCGTGATGATTGCTTGTCACGGTTTCGTACATGGAAAACAATTCTGCGGAAGTGGTCGTGCGTTATGTGTAACTATAGACTACTCCCGCTTTTCAGAGGACAGTATCCAATAGGCGTAGGTTGACGCCTGAGCCAACGTACATCCAAAAGTATCTCCTTGCTGGTGCATGCGTTCATCAGCCAACAGCACTGGTGACCACTTTATGAGTAGCATGATGGTGCAGTGGGACCATTCTGCTGCATTCGTCACTTCTGCCTGTGATAGGAATCTGGGATGCTAAGGGATTCCAAGAACGTAAGTATGGAATCTGCGTGGTGCTTAGGTGGAGCCTGCGCCAAATCCGGAAGACATTGCTTGGGAAAATCTTAGCTATTCCAAAGCAAAGCGGATCTTTATGCAAGTATGTTTACGACTAGACGGTTACACGCGCCCCAACCAGCTGAGTTATCATGATGTTAAGTTTGCATGCGACACTCCAAAACAAGTGTGCTAATATTGGCCAATCGTTTGCGTCGCAGGTCACGTTGTGGGCAGTTGCACTGGGCCTGTGCGTGGTGTCCTTTTGTACTGCGGCGATACTAATCATTTTTAATATCAGCCTCAAGAATAAAGCATTCACAGGAGTGAGATACACAGGTCCATCTTGCATCCGCAGGCTATTGCTTTCAAGGCAAGTGTATAATAGGTGCTCTTGTCCTTGCTATTGAGGTAGCAGACGGCAGACGGCGCTTTTTGGCCTATGATCTTTAGACCGGGATCACCATGATAAAACCTGTGGAAGAGTGGATCTTGTCAATACGTATCGATGAGGTACAGGAAACACTAGCCATCCACGTAAAGTCCTGCTGAGGCCACTAAAAGCTTTGACAAACCCTTGAGATACCGTAGCTTTCCTGCTGGACTGCCGTATCAAGCATGATCCGCTATAGAATTCTTCAGGGGAAGGCGTACGCTATGTGCCAACAGCAAAACTCATAACCGGTCTTCAAGGCCCATATAACAATAAGTTTGCCACCTTATATATCCCTACGAATGCCCGCCTGCTTCTTAGTTGCGTGTGGTATCTGAGAACTGCTGGTGCAGCTGAGTGGGAGTTCGTGGGTTTCATTAATTCTCTCCATGCTGCCAGCCATGACAATCAACGTCATCAACACACTCTTAAGGTGTGTATTTTACTTCTTGGTACGTCGGACATGTGGATAGTTTTGGGGTTTCACATCTCTAGGCAACGTTTCGGCTACTACAGCTCGGGAAGTTTCGGGCAGCCAACTACCAATGACTAGTGCGCATGTGGTGTGTGCTAAAGTCGTCAAAGGAGCGACACATTAGTCGAACGGGAGAGCAGGTCAGGCCCGCTTTTGCAAGACCACCAGTTTTTAAGCACAGCTGTTACAACCGCGTAGAATAACAAAGGGCCATCCAAAAAATTCGGCAGCTCTTGTTGCCGCTGGCGAGTCCTAATACCTCCCTGCAAAAAATTATTTGTATGGATGGTGCTCACACAATGAGAATAACATTGTCGCAGACTGCCTTCATGGTCCGTTTGACGATCACATATACCATCAATACCGGCCTGACTTACATCATAGTCCTACAAGATCCGAGATGGTGGTGTGTGGGGCACTCTAGCAAGCAGCTTTTAGAGGTGCTAAAATTTTATCGCAACCGCATAAAATACATGCTTCGTGTTTACCCTTGACACAATGAGAACACTGCAAGAACTTTGAATCGTCGCAGGTATGTTCGAGGGGGCCTCATTGAGTGCATTGCAATGCAGTTCTTTTCATTTCTCTTGAGTGAGATCGGATTGTCGCTCCTGCAAACGCAATGGCTGGTAAATACAGACACTTGGAATCACGCTGCTTTCACCCATCAGCACGCTGCATACGACAATCATTCAAAAAGTGCATCAATAGGGTCAAAATAGACGAGCAGCTGCCCGATCGTCTGATCGCCATACAGAGCCTTGGTAACCTCAAAAAATTCTTGTGAGCTATCTGGGGGCAGGCACGGGTCGTGCAAAGAAATTGTTTGCTACCGCTGACAAGGAAGCCCATTTCCCAGGAAGCATTCAACCGGTTATACGAGGGCCCCGACTTTTGCACGGCGACTAAGTATGTGTGCACGCATAGAGAGCTAGCTATAAGCTCGCAAATCGCCTGTTACGGCTGTCCCTGCCAATAGAAATCGCGGCTCGTTTAGAGTCGGCATTTTCCGCAGGTATGCAGCAATGCTGCAAGGGCTCTGTTCTCTCTCACTCTACGTAAGCATTGCACCATTCCTAAGCCTGCAGGCCATGTCCACCTGGGCCATATTGTATTGGGTGTACAAAGTGGCTCTCTTACGCCTGGCCAAACGCCCGAACCCCGAAATGACGGCAGCTATATACAAAGTAAGGCATTATATTCCTCATCAGGGACAATGATTTGCATGCGCCGAAACGCTGAAAAGCCGTGCACAGCTTTAATCTTTATATTCCAGAGGGCTGCACTGGTTGGCCACTGTATAGCCACCTTGCTTCTACTAGCAGGGGCATATATGAGGCTGCTCTCGATAGGCCGTTTTCGTTCTTCGTGCGTCGGTATTACTGCAAGCTGCGGGGTGCCTTCTATTGAAACCCACAACAAAAGGAAGTGCTCTGGAGCCTCTGAAGATCTACGGAATTTCAGGAGGGGCAATAGCGCTCCTATCGATTCTGTTGCCTCGACGCTTACAGCTAAAGTCCACCTACTTATGCGTTGTGCGTAACAGTTGTCAGCGATTATTTCCAGACTTTCTGGGAATGAGCCTAAAGCGTAGACGCGATAGTTGAAAATTCGCGTAACTCATTTCTCCTCCATAGTTGACCTTCTTCTGTGTTGCTTTTTTCCATGTGCTTCACAGCCGGAAAACAAAGCCAGCACATGGCGTACGATGCATTACTACAAACTTCAACACACCTTCTTTGCAAAATACCACGGCACACACCCTGTGTATGCATCTTGGGGCCAAGAGAAAAATCCGGATATCTTAAGCGAGCCTGGATTTGCCTCTTGCTCCAATGCTACGGCAAAGGAATTTGCAGCTAGAGGAGCAGGTTCGCGGGCGCAACGACGCATGGCCGCGATTGGGGGCGGACTACTTCCTGTGAGTCTGAGGAGGGCACAACATACAGCTTTATTTAAAAAGTTCCTAATAGTCCTAATGCTCATAAGATATCCTAGAGACCTATCAAGTCTTTTAACACGAGAAACGCAAATGGCTCCGGTATCAGCGCCACTCATGCATGCATGCATGAGTGGCAGCTTTGGTGCACGAACAATCTGGAAAAAAGATCATATGATGGCTTCAGGCTCGCCTGCGGAGAATGCTAAGTAAGGCAACGTCGTCGTTGGGCACCTCCACGGAAGAGGGTCGGGCGAGCAGCAAAAGCAACAGCAGCAGTAATGTAGCAGAAGATAACGCAATCTTCGATGTGACAGAAACATGCAAACTCAGAGCCACTCTCGTCGAGGGTCGTGCCGCTCCAGAAATCCAGCGGCTCCTCATGCAGTGTCGAATGCAAAGATGGAGCTGCCCGCCACATGAACGCGCCTCGTTTGCACGCGCATTTGCAGTTCCGGCTAATGCGCCGAAGAATCCTGTCGTGGAATCGTCTTCAAAGCATTCACGCGTTTCCACAGCGAGTTCTGGAGAAAGTGTGGCTAAGAATATGACAGAGAAAGACGCAGAGCCTCCGCAAAGCAGCAACGAGGTTGTTTCAGGACCCCCGATCCCTGGTTCCAGCTTTTCCGCTAGGTGGAATGAAGCAGGCGCGTCCGACGAACAGGATGACTTTTGCGAATGGCTTTGTAGTGTCGTGCTGAGACAGCTTTCTTATGCTGACTGCCTCTTCGGTGCACTATACAACGAATCGCATGCCGCTAGCACATCCCCCAAACAAACAGACACCTAGAAACTCGGCGTTTTTTAATTTAAAAACTCGCACCTGCCCCTGCTTCTGTGAAACACCACACAGCAACCTTACCACGCACCCGCCTTAGCAGCGTCGAAATCGAAAATAGAGTGTAGCAGTCTTTTGAGGTGACGTGTGTGGACGCGAAGAGAATTCATACACCACGTTGCGTCAAAGACGAACCATCATATCCCTTGAAGGCCACCGTCCAGTTAGGAAACCCCCCTTGCGAGTGGCGCTTTACACTCCGACCTTTACAGCCATTTTGCACGACACAGGCAAAAAGAGTAAAAGTTGTCGATCTTTGTATATCATGTCGTGGGACCGTTGCGTTCGACTTGAGGTGACCTGGCTAGCTATAACGCAGAGATGCAAAATTCTGGTTGAGACATAAGGCGAGCTTCTGTGATTTGTGCTCCAGTGTCCAGTGCATGTGAAAGAATGAACTCAGCAGCAGCAGCAGTGATGCGCATCTAGTGCGCCTGAAGAGTGCCCTACACGTCTGTAAGCCATGGAAATGTATTTGAAAGCGTTCGAGAATCCGCCACGGCAGCGGCAAAAAACAAGCACAAACAATGCGGTTCTCGTCAGTTTTCTCAGAGGGGCTACATGTGCCCGATTTTTTAGCATCCAATTCTCTCTCTCTCTCTATGTAAATATGCATTACATGTGCTGAGTACTGCTTGGCGAGTGCTGCAGAAATGCCTCTTCTATTTGGGGTGGCAGAGACCCCCGCGTTCTGAGATGTTGGCTTGCGTGTGAGGGGAGTGCAGTATCTCCCCCGGAGAGGACGTGGGCATGCAGATAATTTTCCCCGTTATCTGTCGTTAGATCGAAGCTTTTGCCCGCGATTGCCGCACCGCCTCGTGGCATGTCGCCTACACAACTTGCCGCATAGCCTGCAGCAGCACTGGTGACGTCCTCTCCTTTGCCCGTCATCTTTCGAGGGCTATGAAAGTTCAGTTTTTGCGCCTTCCGCTGCATGTCAGCGACGGGTGGCTCATACTGTGGATACAGCCGCGTCGGCGTGGCTGTTGCTGCTGCTGCCTCTCCCCCTCCTCCTACTCTGTCTCTCGGCAGGGAAAGTCTGCTGCTGCAGACTTGAACTGGCACTGAACTCCTCTGCGGCACCGTCGCTCCCCACTGCGAAAAGGGGTCCTCACAATCCACAGGCTTCAGGAAATGTGCGCTTTCTTGCCCCCCCACCCCACAGTGGTAGAGCAGGCGCTGGTGACGCTGATCGAGGCTCTGCTGGTGACTGTACGTAGGGGTCTTCCACGCATCCCTGCACTCCGACGGCTTGAGAGACTCCTCAACGTCGCTGCCGCTGCTTGATTTCCCGCTGCGACAACTCGAGTGCCCCCGTCCCTGCCAGGCGCCGCTGCTGCCGCCGCTTTCCCCGCCACTGTAGGGCTGCATGCGCCGCGTGCATGCAGTCATGCCGTCACCGCCAGGACTAGCTGTGCTGCGTAGGCGTCGTGAAGGGATCGGAGCCGTCTGGGGTCGGTCCGCTCGCATGTTGCTGCTGCAAAGGCTGTCGCTATCGCCGTCTTCTGCGCCTACAGTCTGAATCTGGGGAGGCACTGGCCAGCGCGAAGGCCTCTCCGCCTGCGTTTCATCTGCAGCAAGCGGAGCCTCCCGACTGTCTCTTCGCCAATACGCAACTCGATCCCCCCCTGTGGGTGCCCTCGAGGGAGTCCATCCTGCGGGAAGGGTAGAGGAGGCTGCCTCGAAAGCGCATTTGGAGGGGGGATCGGTGGTCTTGCTCGGATGGGGAGGCAGCTCTTCTTCCTCCTCTTCTTCTGGGAAGAGCAGCTGATGATGACTGGAGGCATCCTTTGCTCCCCCCGTCTCTCTGCGCTGCTGCAACACCTGCTGCAAGTGGTGCTGGCGCGCTAGATGGTCGTCTAAGATTCTAGTAGAACCTCCTACGGAATCTCCAAAGGGATTTCGCTTGCCCGTATATGCATCAGTCGGCTGCTGTCTTGGAGCATGCACTGCACTGTCTCCCCCTAACGCGGGAGCGAACAAGGCCTGCTGCTTCTGCTGCTGCTTCTGCTGCTGCTTCTGCTGCTCCTGCTGCTCCTGCTGCTGCTTCTGCTGCTCCTCTTCTTCCTCTTCCTCTTCCGCCTCTTCCTCTTCCTCCTCCTCTTTGCGGGGAATACCGTGTAGAAGGGCACCCTGCTGTGGAGGTCGAACGTCAGGGAAGCGCTCAGGGAAGTCTGGTGGCACTAAGACCTCTGCAGCAAGTTTTGTCGAGGAGGAGTCTTCAACCTCAAAAAGGCTTTCTCCTGATGTCGGAGATGGCTTGCCAGATGCAGGAGCTGCTGCTGCATGTGGCAGACTACTCCAGTGAGGCTTCTCGCCAGCTGCCTCTGCTGCGCCCTGCCAGAGCTGCTGCGGCTGCTGCTGATGATGATTGTATTGCTGCTGCTGCTGATGATGATGATCGTATTGCTGCTGATGCTGATGATGATCGTATTGCTGCTGCTGATGCTGATGATGATGATCGTATTGCTGCTGCGGCTGCTGCTGCTGATGATCGTATTGCTGGTGCTGCTGATGCTGATGATGATCGTATTGCTGCTGCTGCTGCTGATGATGATGATCATGTTGCTGCTGCTGCTGGTATTCCCCTGTGAGCACATATGCCCGGTGATCTTGAGAAAGATCCTTGATCTTGCAGGTTCTGCTGCCACTGCCACCAATACTGCCCTTTGCTGTCACCCCTGGAATTGCTGGAATGCGTCGAGGGGGTGGAGAGGGCAGCTGCTGGTGACAGTGATGCGAACTAGCACTGCTAGGAGGAGCTGTAGCAGCCTCCAGAGTGGCTGCAGCAGCTGCAGCTGCTGCAGCTACTGCCGCTGAGGCGTGCTGCTGGCCTCCTCTTGCATACACTCCACTACCAACTACGCCCCACGGCAGCCTCACTTTACGCGCGTTTGGCGATGTGCTTCTGTTGTGATCATCTTCACTGCTGTTGTGATCATCTTCACTGCTGTTGTGATCATCTTCACTGCTGCTGCGATGATCATCTTCACTGCTGCTGTGATGATCATCTCTGCTGCTGCTTCTGCTGCTGTCGGTGCCTTCCCAGTAAGAAGCTGCTGCCTTTAGTTGCCTGCCGTCATTTCCAGGCTTATCCGCAGCGGCTGCTTCTCCTGCTACTGCTTCTCCCGCTACTGTTTCTCCTGCCACTGCGCCTTCTGTAGGTCTTGGAGTTTCACACCACACACACGTAGTGAGGCAGCGGCGAGCAGTGGCAGTGAAGGGTGCTGTGGGGTGCACTGCTGAAGATCCAGCCTTCCGTATTTGGGGCCCTGCTGAGGAAGCGCGAGAGTTTGAACGCCTCGTGAAGCTGCACACTCGAGAATTGCGGCACCTATTGGATGTCGTAGTGTCTCTGCTGTCAACAGCCGGAGGCGGAGCGGAAGGCTGCTGCGCTGTCTCAGCCTCAAACGCTTCACGCTCAGGCTGCTCACACACACGCGGCTCTAGGCCTTGTTGACGAGGCATGGAAACAGTGCTTGCCGCTGTTGAGCACGCCGCACTGCTGCTGCTGCTGCTGCTGCTGCTGCTCTTGGTGTTGTTGCTGCTGCTAGACGTGGATTTTGGACAGACACTTCCGCATGTTGAAGGGATCTCATTCTCGCTGTCACTAGATGCCACCGACTCCCACGCAGCTGCCACTTCAGCAGCATCCGTTTTCACAGATTTCAAAAACGCTGCTGCTACAGCCTCATTGAGTACATCTGCTGCTGTTAAAGACGGAGCACTTGCAGAAGCCAGAGGTGTCTGACCACTCCAGGCAGCTGCCCCCTCAGGCCCCTTGCCACAGGCTTTACAAGAAGCCTCCTCCTGCTTCTGCTCCTCTTTCTGCTCCTCTTTTTCTTCCCCTTGCTCCTCTTCTTCCTCCTGCTCCTGCTCCTGCTCTTGCTCCTCTTCTTCTTCCTCCTGCTCCTGCTCTTGCTCCTCCTCTTCTTCCTCCTGCTCCTGCTGCCGGTGCAGCCACTGCGTGATTTCTGCTTCGCACTCTTGCAGTATCTTTTCTTTGTTTTGCTGCTGCTTCTGGAGCTTCTGAAGCTCTCTCCAGCGCAAAGAGATGCTGCAGCAGCTGCTGCTGGTGCTGCGATTTGGCGCTGGTGTTGCGGCCTGATGCTCAACGAGTTCTCGCTCCAATTCTTGCTGCTGCCTCTGCAGGCTGCCGATGGATCGAAGAAGCTGCTGCCGCTGCGTCTGCAGTCTTGCAAGTCTAGGTATGGCCTCCTCTGGCTCCTGCTGCTGCGGCTGCTGCTGCTCCTGTTGCTGCGGCTGGTCAAAAGTGAGTTGCGCAGGCTGCACAAGTGTAGGCGAGGGGGCAGACGGCTGCGCAGGTTTGGAGGCAACAAGCAACTCAGGATGCCTATACAGCGGCTGATTTGGAAGCAGCAGCTGTCTTGCGTAGGATTCAGGATCGAGAAGCGCTATGCGTGCTTCATTGAGCCTGGAACAAACACGACAGAGCCAAATGAGAAGCCAGCCCAAGATGCATTTGATGTGCAAGCATGCATACATGAATGCATGTATGCACGTAAGTATACAAAAGGGGAACAAGCACGAGATCACATGCGATCGCCTTTCAGGCTGCAGGAGCAGTGTTGCCTCTGTGCATGCATGCATGCATAGAGGCCATGCATTTCCCCCTCCTCTTTCTCTTTCTCTTTCTCTTTCTCTTCTTCCTCTATCCCTCGTGTGGGCATGACGTGATAGAATGCCTTGAGCGTCTTTCTAGCTGTATCTCCTAGAGTGCCCAACTAGCAGCGTGACTGTCTGTGTGTTGATGGTCGCCACATGCAATCACCCTGCTGATAGCATCTCAAGCTCAACCAACTTAGCGGCATCGTTCGCCAGCCACGTCTCGCGCGCCTGCGTAGCCGTGGACAGACGTTTTGAGCCACGTTGTAGCTTCGAAGCAGTATGCTGATATCTCAAAAATTACCTCTTAAAGTGATTTTCATGCCGTAAGCGAAGGTCCTCACACAGCGCAGACGCCTTATCAGGATGCCACAAGATGCTCATCCTGCGAAATGCCTGCAGGGGGAGAAGCACGACAACACAAGCCTTAAGGGAAGTGTGCGCGTGTTCTATCGGGCAGCTCGTGCAGACAAAACACATAATTACCCTTGTGCCAGACAGACAGCATGCAGAGACGGAGAGGAAGTGAGAGCGAGAGAGAGAGAGGAAGACAGAGAGGAAGACAGAGAGAGAGGAAGACAGAGAGAGAGAGGAAGACAGAGAGAGAGGAAGACAGAGAGAGAGAGGAAGACAGAGAGAGAGAGGAAGACAGAGAGAGAGGAAGAGAGAGAGAGGAAGAGAGAAAGAGAGTGAGAGAGACAGAAAGAAACAAGGACAGAAAGAGAAAGAGGTAGAGAGAAAGCCAAAGGGAGAGACCTAAAGAGAGAGATGCAGAAGTAAAGACATAAAGAGACAGAGACAGACACTGGAGAGGGAGACGGGGGAAGAAAAGCCGCGTATTCGGAGAAAGCGCGCCTAAGAGGAACGCCGCTGCATTCGCGAGCCTTTGTGTGACTGCGGTAGCAGAAGAAGGCAGATAATTTTAGATAAAGTGCAGAAGACTGCCTTCGAGCAGCAGCAGAAGTAGGCAGATATTTTAGATAAGTGCAGAAGACTGCCTTCGAGCAGCAGCAGAAGTAGGCAGACATTTTTAGATAAAGTGCAGAAGACTACCTTCGAGCAGCAGCAGAAAAGGGCAGATATTTTCTGACAAAGTGCAGAAGACTGCCTTCGAGCAGCAGCAGAGGTAGGCAGATATTTTAAGATAAAGTGCAGAAGACTGCCTTCTAGCAGCAGCCTGTGCAGCGCACCCGATTGACAGCTGCCTTGGGAGCTCCCTTCTCAATGCTCAAAACTTGGAAGCTTGACGCTTGAATTTGCGCTTCGTAGAGTCTCCGTCTGCGTGGACATGCGCATGTATGCGTATAAGCCTCTGACGTGTGTATAGTTCTGCCTATGGGTGTGACTGTGTAGATACAGCGGGCGGCTTCTGGAAAAAATACTTCTTGGGGGGGAAGGGGTACGAGCTTCTGACACCCCTAGAGAGGTTCATTGTTGCAGACCACACGCATGCTGCGCATGCAGCTTCTAACCCCTGCAGTCAGTCAGCGTCTCTTGGAAGACGGCCAGAACTGAGCCGCTTCTCTTCTTCACAGCGAAGGCAGAGTTGCGGTGCAGGGAGAAGCTTCTCTACACTGCTGCCACGGAGGAAAAACCCTTTTGAAGCGCAAGAACGAAGCCTTGAGCCGAGAAGGAAGCGCAAGTAACTCGCACGCACTTCTTATAGTGATCCACAGAAAACGCTTCTGGGCAGTTTTGACGCATCAGCTGAAGATAATTCAAGGCTCCTTCAAAGTCCAGTAGCCACTCGCACGCCTGCGCACACAAGGAGATTCAAAGCCGCTTCTACCGACTGCAGTAGAAGAGAGTGTCTTACACATTCTTAAAAGCGGCCATGAGGAGGTATTCGTTGTCTATGTATGTATGTATGTGTGTATGTATGTATATATGTGTGTATCTAAGTATGTATATATGTGTGTATCTATGTATGTACGTATGTGTGTATCTATGTATGTATGTATGTATGCATGTGCAAAATGTACGTACACCTCAATACTGGCAATTTTCCCCCCCGGTAAAAGGAGCCTCACTTGAACCCCTCCACACAAACTTTCGCCAGTGCCCCCTAAAAATACGTCTCAAGCGTCCTACTAGCGATACTTCCTAAGAGCCCCTCTTAATGGAGCACTGCTGCTCATTTTATGCAGTCTTTTTCGGCTGTACGTGCCCCCATGTGTGGCATTCGAGCAGCTAGCTCGTTTGGATGCTCTTCTCACCTCCGCAGCAGTTTCATAGGCTGCCTTGTAGTTGGGAGTCATGCTGAGACAGAGCACGCAGCTTTCCAGGCTGCAAATCCAGCGTCCTAGTCGCAAGGCACTTCGCCCCTGAGCAGGCAGACACGCGCAGTAACACCTGCAGCTGCAGCGACAGAGACGCTACAGCGTTGAATCTCTTCCCAAGGGCCCCACCCAGCAGCACTCCAGGCAGATCCACACACCAAGCTAGACTGGGCTGAACCTGGCCACTCTGTGCGCATCACGACGGCGCATGCCAGCTAGCCAGTTCCAGAAAGCCGCGCTCGAGACACCCCTTCCCCCTACACCCACATAGATCTATTGCAGCAGCAGCTATGCATACACAGGCCTTGTGCCTTGTTTCTGTTTGCGACTAGGGCAGCCTGCCTGTCTGCCTGCGCGGTTGCAAGGCTTGCACTTCGCTCTGGCCTCTGTTTTACGCCCTCTCAGCGGAGCAGATTCAGGCAGTGCTGGCTTGCCTTGTTGAATGCGAGCTTGGCTGTATTTTCCACGAGGGACAAGTTCGAAGAAAGAACGCCCCCCGTAGCTTCATCCAGTTGCTGCTGCTTCTTGAGCAGCTGCTGCTGCAATTTAAGAGCCTCCGAATACAGCGACAAGGCCGCTTCATTGCTGTGCTGTCTGTACAGCGTACTGGCCTGCACAAGTAAGCATAGAGCACTCACACACTCTAGTGGCACGCGTGCAAACCCTAGACAGCAAGCTCTTTTGCCCTCTTGCTAAGGCTTTTTGTGCATTCGTGAAGAGGAATATATTTATTTGTCATGGCCTTTAAAGCGTAACAGAGAAACACTGTCTGAACCCTCACTACGAGCAGAGCCAAGGAAGCGCTCTCGAGACGACCTCCCCGCTGTACCGCTACACCCCACCCTCTCCCTTCCGCCGCATATAGTGTCTGTTTCTTCACGTCTACGTAAGCGCAAAGCAATGAGGCAGGGTGCCAAAGAAGCAACCTCTACGGGGAAAAAAGGGGGATACTTGCTTTTGCAGCGTATTCAAAGACGACACTCCTCCACGTCCTCAGATTCGCAGAGACGGCAGCGAGCTGCTGCTGCAGCTCGCCATGCAGCTGCAATTCTCCCGTGGAGGCTGCCTTCTGCAACTCCTGGAGCTGAGCTGCCGAGAAAAGAGGCAGCAAATCGGCAGGAGTCTTGCCTTGCCGATTGTGCGCATAGAGAAATTCATGGGGCAGCGCCGACAAGCCAAGCAGCCCAAAGAGCTGTGGCATATTCCTGAACGCCACAAACACACGCCAACGAACTCACTATACACTTACGCATGTGCTAACACATTCATTATATACTTGCGCATGCGCCAACACACTCACTACACTATACACATGCGCATGTGCTAACACACTCAATATACAATAGACTTGCGCATGCGCCAACACACTCACTACACTATACACATGCGCATGTGCTATACACACTCAATATACACTTGCGCATGTGCCAATACACGCATTATGCTATACACTTGCGCATGCGCTAACGCATGCACCATACTATACACTTGCGCATGTGCCAACACAAGCATTATGCTATACCTTTGCCCATGCGCTAACGCATGCACCATACTATACACTTGCGCATGTGCCAACACACGCATTATGCTATACCTTTGCCCATGCGCTAACGCATGCACCATACTATACACTTGCGCATGCGCCAACACACACTCATTGAGGCAGATCTAGGAAGGAAGGCGCTATGCAGCCCAAGCCAGAGCAACTGGGAAGCCTCATGGATGGCCATTGCGAGGTGTTTCGCTAGTGGGGTTGCTTCGCGGAATGCGACAGAAGCGCAATGGTTTAGGGGGAGAGAAGGCGGAGAGAGGTGCGGCTTGTGGGCAGTGCAGTCGCGCGCAGCTGCAGCTGCAGGCTGGGGTGTCTGTACAGGGAGTCCGCCTTCCTGCCAGCGAAAGATGCTGCGTGACGGCTCGCTTGGTGATCGCTTAATGACTTGCCTGTGACACAAGAGGTGGAAGATGTTGTTTCCACTTTCAGCGTCTGTAAGCCTTGCAGCATGCAGCGTTATGGGGGCAGACGAATGACGCAGCATGCCTGCGGCAGCAGCGACTCCCCCCGAGCCTTTCAGGAGGAGCTGCAAGAGGACGTGCTGCTGCTGCTGAAGGTGGTGCTGGTGGCTCCCCCTCTTCCCATTGTTGTTGTTATTGGCAGTTTTTTCCGAGCCTCCAGGAGCTCTCAGAGTTTCCACTTGAAGAAGCTCATGCGAGGCAGCGCTGGTATCCGCGTGGGCAGGGGGAACGTTGCTGGGAGTTTCCGACGAGCAGCAGCGGCTGAGGCGTGAGCTGCTGCTGTCGGCACAGCTGCAGCCCTCGATAAACTTGCTAGCCACGGTGTCTTTGAGGAGCTGCAGCCATCGTGCATTCGCGAGCAGCACGCTCTGCTGTCTTAGCCGCAGAAGTGCTGCAAGGCTTTGCACAGCGAGCAGGGGAAGTAACACCTCCTCGGGGAGCGCAGGCTTTAGCACGTCATACGCCTCGCGTTCGATCGTCTCGTCTATTGCCGTCAGACCTCCCTGGTGAGAAAGCAGCTGCCTCTCGCTGGAGCTGCTGCCCGCTGCTGCCTGCTTCGAAGAAGCGGCTACGACGTGCCGCTGCTGCGCGTAGACGCGTATTTGCATGCTTTCTGCTCGCAGACGCTCCAAAAGCATGCCCTCGATCTCAGGATCAGCCCCTGCAGCTGGGCACTGGTGAAGAGCCTCTCTTACAGCCACACTTCCTGCCGCTGCAGCGGCTGCAGCATCAGCTCCTAGGAAATCCCCATGCTCCTTGCGACTCTCTGCGGCGTAGCGACACTTGTGCAAAGCCGCTTGCAACGATCCCACCGCCGCTTGATGCGCCTCCTCAGTGCTGCAGCAACAACTCGCGCTGCAACCCCACGCCGTGCAGGCTCCCACCTCAGCGGATATCAGACAGCACGAGCCTCCGTAAACCTCCCCCAGGAGCGGCGTGGCTGTGGGGGTGACATCGCGCTGTCTGTGCGAGTCTGCCGCGCAAGTCTCCCGCTGTCTGTGCTGCTGCAACGGCTTCTTCCGCGGCTCTCCACTCGCGCCTACGCCCCCAGAAGGAGCTTCCGTGGAGGCGTTGGCTTTTTGCACTTCTTCTTTCTCAGCAGTTTCTTCTTTGAGCTGCTCAGTCGAACCGCCTCCACCATGCCGCCCCTCGGGAGAAACAGACGTGGACTGGACTAGCCGCTCAGAGAGCTGCCGTCTCAAGCGGCGAACCTCCGCATACAGATGATGCGCATCCTGCTGTTGCTGCTGTCGAACCTCTTCGACTAAGAGTCGCGCCTCATCGCCAAGGGCCACACGCTGCTGCAGCTGCTGCAGCGATGCCGTGGCGTCTAAATAGTTGCCTTCTGCTGCTGCCAGCCTGTCTGCCCGTTCTTCTAATTGCTGCTGCAGCGAATTGACTTGTCGCAGCAGCAGATTCGCTTCCGCCTCTCTGCCGGCGAGCTGCTGCTCCTGCTCCCGCAGCAGCTGCTCCTGGTGGCGCAACAGGGCGTCTTGCTGGTGCAGCTGCTGCTGCTGCTGCTGCAGCAGCTGCTGCTGCTGCTGCAGCTGCTTGTGCAGCTGCAACTGCTGCTGCCTCCCCGCGTGCTCCCGCAGCTGCATGCGCCGCGCCACTGCGTGCAGCGTGGCAGCGTCAGCAGAGGCATGGGAGGTGTCAGAGTCTTCGTCACTTGCCCTGTGGCGTTCATCCTCCCGCATTGTCGGCTACGATGTCTGTAGGAACACCCAGGAGCTGATGCAACAGCTGTAGAGCTTCAAATGCATGCGGAAGCCCTCAAAGATAGAAGCCGGGTGCGCCTAATCGACGGCTTCCCGCATGCTCCTTCATAACACAGCAGCACTTGCTGGCTGGTGTGGCGGCCCTTAGGCGTAGCAATACTCTTAGGTGTGCGTGGGGCGAAGCGCAGAATGTGGCTTTCCCTGTTGTCAGAGTGCAGATTCAGTCGTGCGCGTTGCTAAGTGCTGAAGCGCAGGCAGGCAGGCTGACAGGAAGACAGACAGACAGACAGGATCCGTGTCTTGCAGCTGCGAAGACAGGCAGAGAGTGCCCATGTAATTAACAGCCGATGGCAAAGAGAGAAGGCGCGGCAGTCTGATAATGGACTGCGCAGGAGAAAAGCAGAGGTACCTGCGACTTCGGCCGGCAGAGCGCGCAGCCGTTTCCGATCAGCTAACACAACGCCCTAGCAGGCGATCCACCCCAAGGGCAGTGACCAGCAAAAAACCGTCAAATGGGATGAAGAAATCAATAGAAAAGAAAGGACGCAGCCATGGTTTCAAGAGAAGAGCACTGAATATTCAGTTTCGTATGGCTACGAGGAATTCAACGAAACCACCCGAGATGGGGATGGCGGGAGAGGGGCCCTAGCGGGGGGCCCCTGCTTTGTATTCCTGGTGGCACTGCAAAGAGGTGGGCTGCGAGAAGAAATAGCCAGAAATATTTCTGCAAAGGGATTGCTTTAAAACAGATATCCGACGGATCACATGTGGTTGTTACCACGGTTTACTCACCACACGCGCACCGGACTAGCAACTTTATGGGCTCCCTACCCTCCACGCAAGGTGCATCCCAAACACGTGGATTTTGAACACAGCTGCTGCGCAATGCAAAATGCATGCAGCCACATGCAAATAGCGCTTTAGAATAACTACGAGCTGTGCATGCAGAGATTTGTTATCAAGCCTAATCCAGCTAATGTCTGCGCCGTTCGTGTGAATTCTGGATGCATTCGGTGCAATGTCCTCCATCTCGCCCATTTTAGAGGTGTGGTGTCTAGACACTACCGATGACCGCGAATCCGTAATGAACTTCTCTGCACCACGGAGCTAAACGCAAAGCATAGACCAAAAAGAGGAATTCCATGTGTATGCGCTATGCCTCCTCCGTACGGTACTAGCACTTCAACCTTCGTGATCAAAGAGGGAGACTTCTTTATACCTCATTTCCATGGCCTTAAAAAAGCGGATTTGTTCATAGCAAGCCTCTCTCACCTCTCATGCACGCAGTGTCCAGCTGCCCAAGTGGCCGCCAGTCTCTAGAAACGAACCTCTGCGTCAAAATTGAGACTCCGGATCCTTTCTCTCTGTGTGGTGGGCCAAAGTCTACTTGGACGCTTTCTACCACACTAAATATTATTAGCATAGCACTACCAAAAGACTGACACACTGGATTGGCTGTATAGGTATACTATTAGTTGCAGATTAGGGCTATGGCATCACAAAAAGTAACAAAACTTTGTGCCTATGTGGAAAGCTGCAGTGTGCAGCCGCTAGGGATCACTGAAAGCTTTTCTCTTTGCAGCAACCACGAAGGCGTGCAAATGTCACTCTCTTCCAAATGGCTGGGATGCATATATCCAGCTTCAAGATGCCTCTAAGCATGCCAGAAATCAAAATTTTCAGCGACAGGCTGATTTCCAAGCGTACTTGTCCCTGCACCATGGACGCAACTCACCACAGAGTAGAGCCATTAATAGCTACTCTGCAGGGGACGAAGAGATCTAATAAACCAGTACGTTTCAGCCCAGCGCGTTTAGACGCACTTAGTCGAAACATCTTTCCCGTCTCATTTCCCTGGCGTAAGAAAAAAGAAGACAAATGCGTGCCGGCCCAGCCAAAGAGCTTTATGCGCTTGCAAGGCTGTCTCGCCACCCTGCCGGAGATCCTCTATGGTAATGTGCTACTTCAATACAAAGAAAGATGCAACTATACTCTTGGTCTTTTGATGTGCCTAACTAGGCACATACACCCACCCACGAGCGCGCCTCGGACATTTTCACAAATAGTTGAATCGTCGTTTCCTCTCCCCACAATCTATCAGCCACAGCCTTGCTTCGCTGAGTTCTTTCTTGATCTCAATGGGAAAACCCTTTTAGCGGCAAACTCATAGCAAAAGCTTTGTTGAATTTAGTATTGGCCTCCTCGTAAGCGCTCCCTCTCCCTACCCATGCTCTGTATTAACATCACGGAGGTCCAAAATGGAGGAAGCGTGGCAGCATCCACAAAAATTGCTGCTCGCTGTGAGTTTCTGAGCTTTTGCACCCGGTGGTTATCCTTATCAACTCGGTACAGGGGCACGCAATGTTCATTCTCATCGTATCAGGCCAGCCGTGCTATGAGAGGCAAAATCAAGAAACGACATTTTAGTTTGGGGGCTTGCAAATATGATCCGCTGACAACTAGCGTTAGTATACTGTAATAAGAGTCAATATCGTGTGCCTGTGCGGCCTAGCTACCAGGTGGCACTAGCTTTTAATGCTCGGTGTGTCGTTCCATCACAGGTCTACATCAAGAGACATTTGACGTCAAACTCAATACCCACTTCTTGAAAAGTAACTTAATACTTCTTGGATTAGCTTCCTTCTTTCCCTATCAACGCCCCTCAGAGTTGGGACATGCTAGAAGGAGACAACTAGAGTGAGGGAGCGTAGCTGCGCCCTCAAAGCACTCCGAGCATGCACACCAAGTTCGCATGGGATGTAGCGCACATTCACACAGCATTGCCTCTTCTCGTATTGTGCGAACAGTGTGGATAGGCGTTTGCGACAGCCCCAATCGACAGTAAGGAGGCCCCAGCGTGCCAGGTGGCTGACGATCTCCTGAAACAGACTAGAGTGGACGAAGTAACCACCAATATTTCGGCAGTGTGGTAACTTCCCATTACTGGCTGCACTCATATCGGTATTCCCCCATACCTGCCCGAGAAGACGGACATCGGAGATATTGCGCTGAGCACATCTACCGCTTGCACGCCAAGCACGACATTGCGTATGCAAGAAACTGTGCGCTTGGTGTGCCGAGCTCACTTTGGTTTTGCCAAAGATTAGCAACAGATGCGGAAGGGTGACGAAGTAAGATGCAGAACCTAAAAGTGTGGTTTCCACCGCAAATACGTGAGGGCGGAGAACACAGAGGGCTTCTATGCCGTGCTGCACTAATGCAGCAAGAAACGCGATCTCGCGCGCCGAGAAAACTAGAGCCGTCATTCTTTCTCGCCTATACCCAGCCACACTAAGGCGTGAAGACAGCATGACTGAAAAGTCGAAAACAAAGCTGCAGTAGGTGCAGAAGATGCGCGCCAGCAGAGAACTCGAACCTGCACCGCCCTTGCGGCGTCGCACATCGAGGCCTGCACTTCCTGCAGGCTGCCGCCTGGCTGTTTCGCGGTAGTGTGAGAGCACTGCTATTCTGCTCAGTTCAGAACCCTAATCTGGATTCCACCCTCGTGGAGTAGCTACCCGCAATCCCAAGCGCAAGGCCAGAGCGAGCAGGATGCGGGTTGCCAAAGGGTAAGCAACTGGAAGGGCCGACACCGCATACCTAGAAAGGAATCAAGCAGTGCAAAAAGCAGCAAAACCGATTCAGTGGCGTGAATGCGAAGAGTGCGCATTGGCAGGAGCACGCAACACCACGCGACTGTCAACCGTTCGCAAACAGACCCAACTCCTGGCCCGCTTCGAAGAGTTTGCAACAATCAGTACAACACAGAGCTTAACTGGCGGGTGCTGCTCTGTGGCGGCCTACACCCGCGACAGCAAGATGCACGATGCAGAAGGAGCAGCGCCACTGCGGCAAGTCACCAGCTGGTGGCGTTTAAGGCTGCCCCTTGCTACCGTTGCTGCTGCGGTATATCGGGATAATGCGGGATAACATCCTCGGGTATTTTTCCGCCCTCTCGAGCCCTAAACGCCTGCCAAGGGGAGCTGCTCTCCTGGCTGGCTTCACCTAAAGTGCCGCGAACGTGTTTCGCAACAAACGGCTACACACTGCTTGTCATTTTGCGCTCTCGATCACGCGAACGCGGGGATACAGTTAATCTGTATGAATTACTGCCCAATGCAGCACGCCTAAACCACCATGCCAGCCTTCACAGGACCCTATAGCCCCCAGCCCACCTTCTCATCCCCAGGCAGGCCCATACTGCACATACACACTTCGTCTGCATGCATGCATGCATCCCATGCCATGCCATTAGCCGCGCCGTGCCCCAGAGTCTCTCTCTAGAGTGCCGAGGCAAGGGGGAACGGGGGCCTGGACTTGCGTCAGCAGTTGTCGGATCGCGAGTATTCTGCCGCAAATCCGACGCTGTATTGACATGCGCACCTGGCGCGTCGTGTGTGATATATTTATATACCGGGAAGTGGCATAAATACACCCTGCTTCCAGCTCTGTGGAGCCCCCATCGGGCGTCGATGTGTATACGCAGGCCCGTCACGACTCAGGGTCTACGAGATCGTTCATGGTTTTTTGAATTGCACAGTTCACCAATGTGAATTTCGCATCCGCCGCGAGTGCTTTGTGATTCAGCATGACCGCCCCCTCAATGTCCTCTCCTCGCAGTCCAAACTGCTTTTGCACCAACGCCCCAACGTATGCTTGCGCAGCCAAAGCAATGACTTTCGTGTCTTCCTTAGGCAAGCACCCCGCCTCCGCTGCCAAGGCTTGCAGCTCGTCCCGCATGAACTCGTGCACCTTGATTAGGCGTTCTGTAGTAATCTGATACGCTGCCGCGCTGGGGCTGCACAAGCAGAGCATTACACAAACAGCATGCGCAGCGCAGAGGCCCGAATGATGTGCTCAGACATACAACCACATACATGCACAGACACATGCTTCCCTTGAACTAGAAAAGCGCAGCCAGCCCATTCAGACGCAGTGAAGCAGAGCATGTTCACGCTGTGCAAAGCCCAAAAAATGACGCGCCTCTTTTTTAAAAAATAAACGCAGGCATGCAGGAGGCAAGGCGTGCAGCCTCATGAGTGCAACCCTCCCTACCCCGCAACCCACAGTGACATGACAACTGCCGTTGAACGCCAAACAAGAAAGAAACGTCGATACGATGGGGCGTGCAATCCACTTAAGCGTGCACAGCCTATCGGCAACAAACTGAGCGCCAAGACGCGTAAATGAAAGTCAGCACACGACGGGGGACGGCACGAAGCTGCCAAGTCACTGTCATACTTAGGGGCTGAGGCGCATCCCATGATGCTAAGCACGAAATCTTTGACTTCAGGGTCTTCTCCGAACTTGTCCAGCAAGCTGTCGAACGTAGCGACGGTCAACCCGTACCGCGCCAAGGGATCCTCGGGGTTCTGTTTTGCCACCAAAGAGCATGCTTCTTGAAATCTGAAGCGGCATCCAGCACAGAAAATGGAGTAAAACAAAGCTGCCCTCAAGACTAGAGCCACAAACTACAAGATCCTCCATCACAAGCGACACTTTCCAGTTCAAAACACCTCGATACCGCCAGGGAAAGCGAAAAGACATCCAAAGCCCGCCCACGCATGCAACATCGACATCCATGATCGCGGCGAGTTGTACTGAAGGGGTCTAACACGTACGTGCACTCCTCATCCACGAATTTCTGAGTAAACTTCTTCAAAAGGCACTTCATTTTCTCTTGCGTGGCCATGATGTCTTGGAGGACCATCAACACCTGCTCCTTTGTGGCCTGCGATTTGCAATACATGCATGCACAATTTTCTTTCTGAACGTTCGGCGCTGCGCGTACACTATCCACAGTAATCGAAATTTCTGCTGCCGCCAGGGAGCACAGAAGAGGACAGCCCGCAACACCCATGCATCTTTCCCATTCTCCCCCTCCTAGCCCCCTTTCCCCAGGACGAAGAGGCAGCTACGGCTCCAGCATCGGGAGAAGGAGAGGTGCCCTCAGAACTGAAGACACAGCATGGGAAGACAAAGAGCACGTAAAATGGCTCACGTCATTTTGATTAAGCTTCGTGTTATCCGAGTCTCTCTCCTTGGATGCCGCCCCATCATCCCTAAGGAGATAATACGCAGCCACCCCCGTGACCGCTACTCCCCCTGCATCACGCGCAGACACATAGATGATACACCCGGCTTCAGTCAAACAGCTCAAACCACAGACCACCAGCCCCCACTGACGTGCTGCTGCTCCGCACATATCGCGCTCAAGAGGGAAAATCCCCAAGGGCTTAGCCCGCAATGCGTTGAACACGCGGTGTCAGCACCCGAAAACAACGTCACATGGGGAGAGGGGGGCATATACACACACACATACATACACATACATGCATGAACGTAGAGACACACCAACAGCAACACTCAGAGTTCATAGAAAAACGAGACGGGCGAAAACAACGCAGCGCCCGTGCTCAAAGCGCAGACACAAACATTCTGCATGAGCAAACCAACAGAACGAAAACGCGTCACCAAAAATGGAAGAATATTCAAATGCAATTCCCGGTGCATTTGTTGATAAACATGCAAGGCCCCTGCATACGCGTTGTTTTGGGAAATTTCTGCCTTTGGTCAGTAGCTGCATCGTGCAGCCGTAAAGTGTATCATTCAGATATTCAGGGCCCAATGCTATCATCAGAATGGCAGGAAACACTAGGGGCGGAAAAGAGAAGGGCGTTTCTGGATATAATAGATCTCAACAAAATGCTGCCACTGTCAGTTTCTCGCTTTCTAGGCGAAGAAATATTCCTCATGGAGCTCGGCGCCCAATGCTATCATCACGGCAGCTGCATTCGCTTACACCCTCAAGGCTACCACTTTGAAAGCTACAGCCTAACGCCCATCGGCCACAGGACAGCAATGATATTGAACGCGTATCATTGCATCCATACAGACGCGCTGTATTGCAATCAAAAGCAGGTCGCCTGTACGGAAAGCAGGGGGTCAGGAACCCTACAAGCATAGAAACCATGCAGCAACGGTCCTGCAGCATGGTTGGCCCCCGCTTGGCGAGGTCTCTAAGGGGGTAACGCGCCAGAAGACAACAAACTCGCACGAGAGGCGAGCCACCTGTGGAACGGCCGGCAGGCGAACATGTCCACACAGGGCTGTAGCTCGTCAGAGGGAGCCTTCCCACCTATCTGAAGCCACCGTGAGGCCAAAGAGGCTCACGGGTCAGTGAATTCCACGCAGATGCACCGGGATATGCGAAGAAACAGCTAGAGGCACGCAGCAATTCAGATGTACCGGCCATTGCCCATCTGCGGATTCGAAGGCGAGAACGCACCTGCAATCAGTAGAAGCTGCTTCCAGTCGGTATTCATTTCCAGAATCCGAGCTAAGACTTGAGAAGAGGGAGATTGGACCTGGTTCTATGGCGCCTGGCGCGCAGCGCAGCCCGCGGGGAGCATACACAGAAATGACGCCGGCAACTGCTGAGCTACAGCCTAAGCATAAGAAGAAAATTAGAGCTCACATATAGAACAACAAAATGGACTCTTACCCAATCGCAAAAGTATTCTCTTTGCCGTTAATTCCCCCTCTGCCGCTGCTGCGCGGCTTGCCCCCCAGGAAGCCCCATTCTTCGTTCCCCGCAGCACCACATGCCGCTACTCCCTGAGACTTCGAGACCCCAGGTAGACCCTCTGCTGCATCATGACACCTATTTATGAAGTTTTGGGTGAGACACTCTACCCTGTTGACATAAGCGAGCCAATTTAAGCTAGTTTTCCACTTTGGGTGCTGCACAGACGACGACCTGTTACAGAACCCGAGGCGGCCTCAAACAGTACGGAGAAACTGACACTCGCTGGAAATTGTGCTGTATAAGGCTGTGTCAAGCGAATCAAGCCAGGCGCAGTACCGCTGGCCACGAGCAGCATCTTTGTGGGCCTCGCGATGCACTCTGGCAAGGCTTGAAAAAGCGTCATAGATTCCACACTGAAATCATGCTTCAGTGATCAAATAAATGCCACGAAACGAGGCCAGCGTGTGACAGCCGTGCTGGACCAGCGCGCGATGTCGCATGCTGTTTATACAGACTCTTTGTGTGGGCTTCTATGTCACAAGCACCAGCGTAACAGTAACGATCCTCTTAGGTTATCCATGGGTAAGATACTGCATTCAAGAATCTGCACAAACCTAATAGAAAGTTTTTGAATATTCAAGACCAGCAGCCCGTTACCCTGCCCGCGCAGCTTAGAGTTCCCGATAGGATGGGAAGCAACACGCGCTGTTGCTTCCCATCCTTGAACGCTTTCTGTTCCGCTGCATATATTGAACTGAGAACTCTTGAACAGTTGACTAATTGTTTTATATGTTTGTGTATATTCTGTGTTGTTGAGCACGTAGTTCGACATAAGATGCAAACTTATGAGCATGAGCTCTAGATGCTATATGCCACACGCTGTGAATGCTGGCAGTGCTAAGGGTGCAGCTGCACACTCCAGCTGATCCTCTTGCCCCATGTCGGAACCTCTGACAGTCTTTGGTACCAGAAGACAAAGGATCTTCCAGAAAACTCTCACTACTTGTTTATCCGAAGTTTGTATTGAATCTGGTGTGTGGCTGTTGCCAGTAGATTCACTGGCTGTAGGTGCAGCGCGATGTCAGTTGCCCCTACAACAGCTGGATGACTTCCATCCAGTTAATACCTAATACAATATTTTAGATTCTGAGGAAACCAGCTTGAAGAAGATCTCTCTAGGAAGAAAACTGAGTGTGGCACATCGCCTGTTGGACAGCCATGGCCTGTAAGCTAATGTAAACATAGCAGCTCCAAAGTTTCTAGAGGGACCTGAGTGGTCAGCCGATAAATAGTTCATGGATGCATCGATGAGCCTATGCACACTAGAAATTCGTGACACTGTAAGGATGGGCAAATACTGAAAACTTCCATCGACCGGTTGCAGATATCGCGCTTTGCGTTTTAGAAAACGGAAACGAGTGTTCCTTTATACTTGTTTATATGAGGGGAAAGGACTTCAATGGAGATTATTGATGTAGAGAACACAGCCTTTTGGAGGGCTTACTGTAGTAGCTCAAGCTATCATACAAGCCCTTACCCATCCATTTGTGCCAAGACCAGCCCAACCACCAAGTCTGAGAGATTAGGAACGGCTCAAACAGTACGCTTTATCAAGAGAGAGGTGTAATCAAGGAAAAACATTTGCTCGCAAAAGGCATGACGTAGACGAACAGCTTGCCTTAGTAGTCAGCCGGAACGTTTAAGAGCACCTACAGCACCCTGGGCGACCGCGTCACCTGTTGTGGGAAAACAGCTGAAGCCATACGAAGATTCAATTTTAAGAGGAATCGCATTCCTAGAGCTCTGTTTTTGGCTGCAAAAATTAAGCCAAATGCGGCAAAAAAGTTGAGCCAGTCACAGCGTGGTCTTTACCTTTTCGCACGCGGAAAAAGGTGTCAAGTTCCACGGGCTTGCATTTCAAAAGTAATACCAATTCCCTGTATTTTCCTGGACTGCTGCCGCTTCTTCAGGAAACGCAAACTGGGACCTAGCTGCTTTCAACACTGCCGACTGTCGCGCTGCCCGGTGACGAGTGTCATTTCTCTGACAACCAACGGCAGTGGTGCGGCAGTGAGCGGTTGATCTCCCGAACGGGGAAAGAGTTAAGTGCACAAGAAAGCTTTTTATACGCTCTAATTGGAAAACACATCAGACAAAATATACACATATGACAGAAAGCCAAAAGCAGGGCAGCAACTCTTTGCCAGCAGCCTCAAGCGGATCGTTACTCGCGAATTTTCATTCCTGCACTTTTTGTTCTTTGGGGGGTCTGAAGGAAACCAACGTTCTGAGTTTTTTCCGGGGATTTTCAGTTTGGGGGGACGGAACAGCGTGCTACCTTGGTCGGCGTGTGGTTGGCCGTCTCGCAGAGATATGGTGCGCAACACATTGCGAATCGCCGTACGTTGCGAATTAGAGTGCACTCCTTGCTGTCTTCAATTTGTAACCAAACCTTTCCAGCCATTTTGTTGCTCTCACTTCCTGCCTTACTGTAGTCTTCCTCTTTTAGCTTCCGTTTGATCTGAACGAAAACGATGTGACGTACAAACAAAATGTACACGGTCGTCATTTACTTTTCAAAATTCTCTTCCTCTATATCTCTTACATACAGGTATGCTACGTCATGGGAGGTCGGACACTGGGGATGCACGTTGCCGAACCTTATCAGGGCATTTGCGCACTGATGTTTTGCATGCAGATGCCGTGATGTTCTAGCTGTTGCAAATCAAGGGCAGCATCATGCTAAAAGACCACACCCTCGCGTATGCGCAGCTAGCGACTGGCCACTGTATGATAGTAATACAGCTAGTCCACCAGAATGTCTCTTTGTGTAAAATGGCAAGCTGCACTGACTTGTCATCCATTTCCTGTCGCAGTGAGTTTGCACAACCCGTGGCGTTTAACCCAAAACGAAGGGGGGCTTCAGCTTTTAGCACACACCCTCAACAATGGCCACTGAAAACGAATTCAATACAACAAAAAGTATACTACGCTAATAATACCACAAAAAGTATACTACGCTAATAATACCACAAAACACTAATGCTCTATCCCATAAGCTACTACCAACGCCCCATGCTACGCAACTAATGTAATATATCAGCCGCTTCCTCTCTTCAAACTAAAAAATAAATAGGCTTTGAGGCAGAAACGACAAGCTGTACACATAAGGCTGGAATCCGCTTGATGCTGCACCTCCAGATTATTTCTTTTCATTCTCATCGCTTCATCGAAAGCAATGAAAGGTATAAAGTGCCAGCAAAGAATGCATGTGAAGTGTGGCTAAGCGAGAAAAACCTGGCACTAAGACATGGGCGTCATTTTACTGTCTGGACTGACCGGGAGTATCAAGCGTTACTTACGTAGTGTCTTTAGGAAGACAATAACCCTGGAGTTGCTCGCTCGTTTTAACTCCTCGTACTGCACGAGTTTGCACAAAAGTGTCTGAGGGGCTTCACCCGCGTGGTCACAGACGCGCTCTCGCGACACCGCGGCGATTCACTACACCTCAGTGCAGGCGCTAACTGTAAGACCTCATGTATGGTCTTAGTAAAGGGATACTTAAATCCAGGCTTTGCAGCAACAAACTTATAAGAAGGCATTCATTTTTTCGTTCTAGGTGAGCGGAGCTGCACCATTGAGGCACCCCTAGCATCTACAGCTGGTTCCACAGCTCATCTACCACCCATGCAAACACCGTGTCTTCTTGTACAGAGCTAACACTCCTGTGTCATTGTGTCAGCAGCAGCACACAAAGGAGCAAACCCATACGACCGCGTCGCCTCGATGGCTCGCTGTCGTCGGAGCAGTAAAAATTGTAAGCTTTTTGCAAGGACACAGCAGAAATGTATGATCCGTAGAGTTGATCAGAGTGCATACCACTTCAGCAGTTCCTTCGCCCCTCATAAAGCAATGCTTGCATGCCAATAGAGCAGGTGCATGCAGCATAAGAATTCAATGCAAAAGGCAGCACAGCTGAGAGGACCTGCGCATAAATACAAATGGAAAGGACACCTTTACAATAATCCAGGGATTTTCAAGCGATACCTATGCGCGAAGGTAGCTGTAACGGGGAACGCATGCACTGGGAAAGGCTAACTACTAGCAACCGCATTGACTACCGTCAATGGTATCCAGCATTGCAAGTCAACCACAGCCGCAAGAATTCCCGCAGGCAGTGTAGCCTGCAACTGCTTCTTCGGCAGCCAATGAGGCCAACGTTCCACTTCATTTCACGAGAGACTCCCGTCGTATGTGTCCTCGACTTTCAAATAATCTTGGATCCGGCACGTCTACCCTATGGCTCCTACGCCTCCATATGGGCTCCATTTTGCAACAAAGTCAGCGAATACCTCAAATAGTTTTGCAGTATTCCTAGAAAGTAAATATCGATATTTTTGTGGCACATTCAAGTTTGGAGGAAACTTGCGGAATTAAAAAAACGCAGATTCATGTGAGAGTGGCAAATGGCTTAAGGCAGCTGATCTCAAGATGTTTCGTTTGGTCACGTTCTGAGGCACCTCGTAATGTCAGTCGATTCACTAGGACCATATGCCCAGGCTCAAAGCACACGGATGACTGCTGCTTATCATCGCTTCATGATGATCTTTCCTGAGCTTTGTGCATGCTGCGCGAATGAAGGGGTCCGTGTGGAAGCGGACGGTACAGAGGGAAACGTAGCTATGCTGCATTCTAGGACTATTTGGACGCCGGAGACACACCAGAAGGAATGTGATCGTGCGATGAGATAAATCGCTGTAGCTAGCTGTTGTCTAGCTCCCACCGTGCTATGAGTGG